TTTGGGGGGGGGGGGGTTTTTTTTTTTTTTTTTTTTTTTTTTTTGGAGAACGGGCGGAAATCCGTGCGCGCGCAGGATGTCATCCATAGAATTAAACAAGTGTGGCCTTACCCATATTCTCTTTGAATAGGTAACTGAATATGCTTTAAAGAAAAAAAAAAACTTTCAATAATTTTTAGCCATTATACATAAATATTTATTTTGATGTAATTTTTTTCTCCTTTTCATTTCTCAAAGGACATTCATTCCACTGTCTTTGTGGTCAGTATTATAAATTAAACTTCAAATAATATAATGAAAAAATTGAATTTTATTTTAGCAAAATCCCCTGGCCCATCTTAGAATATACGACTGTTTCTCTCCCTTCAACCTAAGATCTAATAAACGGTATATTAGATCTTAGCTTCAACAAAGTGACCAGCTCGCTTATTTTTCGCTTTATTCGTCCAAGTGTTTATATAAATTCTAACAAAATTATTTAACCATAAAGACGGAGGGACTTCCTTGTAAGTGACCCTCGTACTCAACATCCAGCTAATCTATATCTGTGAAAGTGGGCGAGCACCTGCTAAACAAATAGTTTTCAAAATCTCCGCCAGGTGGCGAAGGATACAATATGGCGGCGTTTCCACTATAACAAAGCGGTGGTCACTCGTTTGGACCAGAAAGCTAGTCTGGACTAACTGGGCAGCAGGTTGTGTTGAGCTTACATTCAGTTGCATGGTGTTGTATTTATTGACGCCATAGAAGAATTCGCCCAGTTTCATAACACGTACGTTAGTAACTTTATTACAAGCTTAGTTTAATTTACATGTACCTAGCTACATATAGGCTTTATAGCTACAGTACAGTACTTAACAATATATGTTCTCACTGTGAAAAGGCGCGTATATAAACTGTAAAGCTATTACTATCGGTAAATTATGAGCAGGATAATTATTCCTAACTAGTAAGATTATGAACCTAATTTGCTGGATGCTTTTCAAGGGAATTCAATTAATAAATTGTCTCTTAATTTATTTCTTCATTTTAGCTACATGGAGTTGTCCTCGGTGTGATCACCACAATGAAAGCGGAAGCAGAGTAGAACTTCACCAAATCTGTAAGTAATGAAGGCAAAGTTAACAATATTGCACGCTAGAATAACTAATACCCCTGCTACAAGAGAGAAGAGCCCACCACTGAACCACCTATGGCTGCATGAAGTTATGAAGATTGTATGCAACCAGAAAACTCCGTGATATACTGAGATACCCAGTAGGACTTAGGGTGCAGCAATGAATTTCCAAGGCCTACGCTTTCGTTCCCCTTCACAAAAGGTGATGGTTGGCCTCTCAGTTGGGATTATTGTTGTGCTTTTGATGTTTTTGTGGATAATTCAAGGTCCCCAGTTGGTAAGTGCTCTCTCTCTCTCTCTCTCTCTCTCTCTCTCTCTCTCTCTCTCTCTCTCTCTCTCAGGGTAACTTAAGATTAAGATTTTTCATATTGCCACTGCCTTGGATATCTAGCACAGTAAAAAAAAAGAAAAAAAGAAATGAAAATGTTGAAAATTTACAGTCTATTTTTGGCAAACATGCATATCTCAGAAATTAAATAATCCTGATAACTATTTGTAAAAAAGGTAAACTATCTATTTCTTTTTAATTTCAGCATCTAACAGGTGTCACATCATACAATCTGATGGATGAAATAATCTCGACATTAAGGGATAAAAATGACACCGATGTCAAACAGTATGGGGACCCGTTCTTTTATAAAGAAGAGCTAGGAGGGGAAGTAGCCTCGATGCTACAGGGGGATGTGGATAAGTTTATACCCGAGTTGAAAATGACATTAAAGGAATACGACAGACTGGAGAAAGGGTTTTATGGGTAAGTCTTTTTTTTTTTCAGATGTCCCTTTTCCAGTTTTATTTTAAATTCTAGATTGAAGGATTTTTGTAGTTTAAATTCATGTGATGGGCTGTAAGCAAGGACTAACAAAAATTAATATTTCATCAAAATTTTATTTCAAATTGTTTATTTAACTGTGTTTTATCTATCTATTGATTTATGATTATCATTTATACCTCTGTTTATTTATAATTTGAATTTTTGAGATATATTTGTTCACTTTTTAATTCTCGTATATTGCAGCCATCTCATGCGCCAGCAGTACGACTGCCGTAATAGAGTTCGTGCTGGAATCTCTGAAGATGGAGGTTGGGAAGTGTGTATGGATCCACAGTTTGCAATCAAACCTGGCTCTTGCCTTGTGTATTCTTTTGGGTAGGAATAAACTCAACCATATGTATTGATAGAGAGAGAGAGAAAGAGAGTGAAAGACAGATTTACAATGGTTTCTGTTAGATAACATTGTTCTAGTCATTATATGTCTGGTTAGATACTGCCAATTTTAATTAAAAAATATTTTTAGCTACATCAATAATACATTAGCCAAAAAATGTGTACATTTTGCATTTCCTGATCTAGAAATAAGCATAATCAGCTGTTGGCCAATATTGACAGGTTGAGACCAGTTTGCACTCTTTTTGAAGGGTTTTATCAATTAAAAAATTCTGCAAATAAAATGAAGATCTTTATCCTTATGCATTAAACAACTTATATGTTAATGTTTTATGTTTATGTTTTGCATACAGATTGGGAAATGAATGGTCCTTCGACAAATATATGTCAAAGAGTTGCACAGTGTATGGATTTGATCCAAGGTCAGTAACACCACGTGTTTACAATGTAAAGTTACTCTTTGTTCTAAAACGTGGCTATGTGGGACGTTTTACATATGCATATAATAAAGAATACATTTTTCAAACTGCTATGCTAAAACATCATCATTATTATTATTACAGTGCTATTATTGTTATTATTATTACTATTATTATTATTTTATCTTACTCAGTATTGATAATAAATTTTCTTAAGAAACTGAAAAATTTGAATTTTTTTAAAATGCTGATAGATATAGATAGGTGATAATGTTGATAGAAATTATTGCATATTTATTTTTTATGTTACCTTTTTCACCTAAGTCTAAGACTTTGAGCACACCGTTATGTGTTTTTACAACTTCATGCTTGTTGCCTTTTTTGCATAATATCAAAAACGATGACATCAGTGTTTTTCAGCATTTGTCAGAAAATAAATCATAAAAAAGGCTAGAACTCTAACTTGTGACTTGGCAGATACAATGATCTAAATATCTTTATGGGGATGTATTTATAATTTTCAGCATTGGTCTAAAGCATGAGTATCAGGAGGTGCAACCAAATATGTGGTTTTACAACATTGGGCTGTTTCGTGAAAACAGAATCGTCAGGTGGCAAAATGGACAAAGATGGACTCTCAAAACTCTTGGGACAGTAAGACAGATGCTGAAACATACAGATGTAATTAATATTTCTTCTTTTATTGGTCTGTTCAAAGGCCAACAACTAAAATAGAAGATTATCACAAAGCGAAAATGAATTGTCCTATTTCCCCAATTTGACCTTTATCAATCAGATTAATTCTCTGCAAAACCGTGAAAAATAGGTACAAGATGCACATTTAATGAATATTAGTTACTAGTACTGTTATTCCTATTCTAAGTACTGTTCAAGTTGCATCATAAAGTAATTTTTAAAGGAGAAATGTATGTCATTAATAATGATAGTATTTACATCTTATAAAGAGCATTCTGTTATGGTCATTGCACTTTATAATTATTAACACAACAGTGCAGTGTTAAAATCATAAAATGTGATACTGTTCAATACTTCAATTATGTTTATACAATATTGCTTTTGAACTAAAATTACAAACTTCTGTAATGCAAATAGGGAGTTATACAAACACATGAACCTAATCTATATATAAATCTTTTTTTTTTTGGACCAATTTTTATGGCCAGAAAAGGGTTATTAAAAACTGATATAAAGAGGTATAAAAGAACCGTTAAAATGCCACATTGATTCAATCTCGCTTGACATTAATTTATTAATTTCTCATTTCAGGCAACAATAGACTACCTCAAAATGGATGTGGAGGAATCTGAGTGGGACGCTTTAAAAACTGCCTTTAAGGAAGGATCTTTAAAAAATGTTAAACAATTAGCCATGGAACTGCATATATGGAACTTTTCTAAATATATAACACCGAAGCATGTATATGTATTGAGGAAACTAGAAGAACTTGGCTTTAAGATATTTTTCTCAGAAAGAAATGGGTCTTCGAGAATTAAGTCCAAATTCACTGGAAGAGTGCTGACGTGGGCCAATAATGTTTATTTTGTCAATACGAACTATCTACAGACATGATTCACATAAAGGGAACGGGATTTGAAAATTTGTTGTCAGTATTACAGGAATAGTAGTCCTAGAAATGGAAACACGTGCTTCCATATGATAAGTGCAGGCTAGAGTTAATCAGCGTATTGGGGTTAGTATATGAAACGAATGTCACGTCAACAAAGTGAGGGGAGAACGGACTACGGTTCTTAGCGGACTACCACTAACCCTAACTTATACTAACCATATGGAAGCACGGACTTCCATTCCTGGGACTTTCATTCCTAGGATTTTCGTTCCTGCGAGACTGATTGATATAATGGCCTCCATTACCCCTCAAACCTCAAGTGACAGTGGCCGCCGCACAAACCTTTTTACTTTTTTAGTTATGACTGCAACATATCCACCTTGAGGTCAAACGACGTCTCATATTAATGCCATAAAACAAGTTTTTATTTATGTGAACAAATCATTTAGGGTCGTGTGATCTGTGATACGTACATTTCTCATACTCCTATGTTTATGAAGTGGTACCGCTATCAAAAATAATCTCGTGGAGTTGAATCGATAACAGTGGTGAATGTGTTTTCGATTTAAAAAAAAAAACACGTTTTATGATATGTTTTTATGTCTCTGAAATCAGTATTGGGTCTCTGAAATAAAAGAACTACCAAGTTATCATATTTTATTTAGGTTTATGACTATATAAAGGGGTACGAGTCAGTTTTGTTCATTAACGAAAAACTGCACTATGTCTTTTTTTTTATTTTTTTTTTATCAACTATATTATTGATTAGGACCAGATCAGCTGTAAATAATTCGGCAAGTTATTTGATAAATATACTTCCAGAGCTTCCGGTTGTTTCCTTTGTCGTGTAAAAGACGGTTTTCTACGTAGGTATTTCACGTACATAAAAGAAAGTACGGCTGGGTTTCCATACCTAGATCGATTTAACAGAATCGATCCATCTCTGAGGGGTTTCTTGCTAAATTGCTTTCAGCTTAAGCGGCTTAGGTGTCTTGCACGCCTACTGAAGCTGCTAAACGATAATTGATTACCCCCTAGCAGCTTCAGTAGGCGTGCCAGACATTAGAGCCGTTTAAGTTGATTGCAATTTAGCGAGATTCCCGTCGAATATAGACCGATCCACAGTTAAGACGATAGGGTCTGGGAATGGTCCCTACGCGCCAATGCTGACACTAAATTGACACGAACGCGACAAGATATTTTAAAATCATGATGAGCACGGTGGACTTCGGGGAAAGGCAAGATTCACAGAGCCGATAGAAGACACATTTAAAAACGGGTGATTAATTTAGCGCGGTAGCTCTATCATCAAAGGTCCCATTCCCGCAGATTTTAGATCGATCTATCCCCGTGGGGAGTCTCACTAGATTACTGTCAGCTTAGGCGGCTTAAATGTCTGTCCCGCCTACTAAAAGCTGTAAGGGGGTTATTAACTTCCGTGCTCGGTCGTCTGACAGCAATTTAGCGTGAACCCCCAGGGAGTTAGGTCGATATAGTTGGACTCAAAGACAGAAAAAGCCAGCGTTTACGCCGTGATTTACAGTTATTGTATTCCCAAACATTGTTATTGTTGGATGCAGCTTTGCATGAGCTGTGAAAATGCTAAAACGAGGATGCGTTGTCAAGTTTAACCAACTTCAACAAAGAAGTTTACCAAGGCACCTTTAATGTTAGAAATAAGAGTAATACCTTGATTAAATTTCGAACAAGCTAAGATAACCTTCAGACAGAAACTGGGCGGCAAAATAAGACCACATTCCCATACCAAGATCGATTGAGCTGGATCGGTCCATCTCCGAGGGGATTCCCGCTAAATTGTTTTCAGCTTAAGCGGCTTAGATGCCTGCCACGTCTTAGCTGCTAAACGATAGTTAATTACCCCTAAAAGCTCCAGCGTACGTGCCACACATCCAAGCTGCTTAAGGGTCGATCCTGCTAGACCGATCTATGTGTGGGGACGGGGTCTACATTTGATGGCCGCTATAATGTACGCTATATCATCTTAAGGCAACAGTGGACGAAATTCACTTTATCGCATTATGTCCCCATTGTGAGGAATTTAAGTATGAGTTATATCAAATTATAGGCAATTCAGATCCACTTTTTAATACTTCTTGCAACAAAAAGTAATTCATTAAGCTAATGGCATGTGAAAGGGAGCTTATTATTATTGCACTAGCCACAGTCTATTCATGCATTAATTTTCGCCGGTATATGCTGGTGCGTAAGATACAGTCAATATTCATGTATTCAAATATTCATAAAGTTCTACATTTGTGTATTCAGTGGGCACTCTAGCGCTATGATATCGTGATAAACAATGATCAGAATTTTCATGGTTCACATGGTTCTTCTCAAATAATTGATTCTAGAAGTTCGGCTCATCAGCAAAGACAAAGCGTCTCCACTGAGATCATATTCTTTACAGTTAATTATATCCCAAAACACTATAATGACACGATCCAGTGCTGGGTCCTTATACCGTCCTTTCCTGGTCTTGGTTAATGTGCTGTAAAAGGCTTTTCCAGTGACAGAGAAGAGGTAACAATTATAAGAGTTGTGAACGTTTTGGTTCGTACTTGAAACTAATGATTAAAGCTGTATGGTGCAGTGGAATAGTGCAGTGTTGTGATTGTGCTGGAAGCAATTCCCGGCCTGCGGGCAATTGCATAAAACCTGCATCGCCTGGAGTGCAGTGAATACTGAGTGTAGTTTGAGCCACGGCGGCAGAACGGTGCTAATCAGCACAAGAGAGACAGTTGCCAACTCACTCACATACTATCAACACAATTTCACTACAGGATAACTAACAACTCTAGTTGTTCGCAAGAGAGAACGGTTCTCCACTGAGCAGCTCAGAGTTGCAGAAAGTTATTAAGATATATGTTACCAGAGCACAGCGTGATATACAGAGAGAGGACGTCACTACAATGAAGTTCCACGGCCCATGCTTTCGTCCATATTTACGAAAGGTGTTTGTTAGCCTTTCGACTGGGTTTGTTGTGCTTTTGATGTTCTTGTGGATAATTCAAGGCTCCCAGTTGTTTTTCTCTCAAGGCACCAACTACCAAGGCTCCACATCTCAAGGCTCTACATCTCACGGTTCCACACCACAAGGCACCAACTCTGAAGGCTCCCCTTCTCACGGCTCCAACTCTCAAGGCAACCATTCCCAAGGCTCCAACTCTCAAGGCACCAATTCCCAAGGCTCCAACTCTCAAGGCTCTACATCTCAAGGCTCCAACTCTCAAGGTACTAATTCACAAGGCACCAACTCTCAAGGCTCTACATCTCAAGGCTCCAACTCTCAAGGCTCTACATCTCAAGGCTCCAACTCTCAAGGTACTAATTCACAAGGCACCATCTCTCAAGGCTCTACATCTCAAGGCTCCAACTCTCAAGGTACTAATTCACAAGGCACCAACTCTCAAGGGTCCAACTCTAAAGGATCCACGTCTCAAGTCACTAAGTCACAAGGCACTAATTCTCAAGGCTCCAACTCTCAAGGCTCTACATCTCAAGGCACCAACTCTCAAAACTCCAACTCTCAGGGATCCACATCTCAAGGCACTAATTCACAAGGCTCTACATCTCAAGGCACCAAATCTCAAGGTTCCAACTCTCAAGGCTCCCAGTCGGTAAGCTCCCCCACTCTTTCTCTCTCTTTCATTATTAATATAGTCAGGTTGCCAGCCCTGGGTTTGGTGTATGTTGGAATATCCGGAATAGATTTTTTTCTCATTGGTTTCCGCATCTTCCTAAGAATCTCTGTGAAGACATTCAGAACAGAAGATCCGAGGATCGACTGAAAGAAACATTTCAACTTAAAAAATGCCAGCCAAAAAAGGGAAAACGCAAGATTTTGGTTTTGACTACAGTGTTTCATAATGCCCAATTATGCACAAGATATTATTAGTATGGTCACTGTTTTCAGTGACAGAACACCATGCAGTCCTGCAGTAGGTTTATGATACACTTGAGTGATTCCAGACAATGGCCATCTTTAGATTTTCAAACATCTCTTAAACTGAACCGCCAGTCATACCCTACCAGTGTCAGAGAGTTAAGAGCTTCACTGGAGAAGAAAGGAAAAGGATGACTCATAAATCAGTACACGTAGCAAGGTGCATTTTTTTACTATTATATGTTCATTATCAAATAAGTCATGTTTATCAGTGCTTTTCGCATCCTTATTGCCGCTGTGATAAATATAACTAGTGGATAACAAGTGCGTGTCTAACCCTGCCAATTTTCAGAAAATTCAAGATGACTGCAACTTGCTTCTTGAGACGGTCATCTTTAATTCCCAAAACTCCCAGCACGCGAGCTTGTTTTCCACTTGACATATTATCACTGAGGCTATGAGGAAGTGAAAAACACTGACAAAGTAACTTTTATCTAATTTTATAATGGATGCTGGTAGTAATTTATATATATTGATATATTCCTAAATGCCATTGGTGGCAATGTGCACTTTTCTCAAATGCACAAGGATACGCGCTTTTTATCCCGCCAGATATATAATATTGGGGTTAAAAGGATACAGAAACCGCTGAGACAAAAATTTATCCTGTATTTTCCATGCACTATACTCCCTTGATTTATACAAGACATTTTCTCACTTTTTAGTCAGGGTAACATACTTAAGAGTTAACATTTTGCCATTGCCTTGGATATTTAGTCCAATGAGAAAAAAAAAAAAGAAATAAAAGTGTTAAATTTAAAAGTTTATTATTTGTTCACGCACATTTAAAAAGAAAAATGCAGAAATCACAGAATAATGATAATAAGGTAGAAATCTTAACTATCCAGTTTTTTTTTTAATTGAGCGTCTCACGGGTGTCTCATCATACAATCTGGTGGATGAAATTACCATGGCGTTAATGGATAAAAATGACACCGATGTCAAACAGTATGGGGACCCGTTCTTCTATAAAGAAGAGCTAGGAGGGGAAATAGCTTCGCCCTTACAGGGTGATGGAAATAATTTTATACCCGAGTTGAAAATGACATTAAAGGAATACGACAGACTGGAGAAAGGATTTTATGGGTAAGTCTTTTTTTCAGATGTCATTTTTGGATATTTATTTTAACAGACTAAGTCTAACCCCTTTTCAACACTGTTTTTAAGTATGTATTTAATTATTTTACTGTAATGAATACTATAAAGTTTTGTATGACACACACATTGCCTTGTGGAGTTCAGCAGTTAGTATGTGACAGTATTCATTGTATAGACCAATTAGAGATGGGTATCTAAAAGTTGTGGATTAAGATGCAAGTGAAAAACTTGAAAAATATGAATGTGTTTTTTTTCTGAATGAAGACACAATTTTCTTTTCTAAATTCCTGTTTTTATTACGTGATATTTAAGGTACTGTTGATGTTTTTTATAAACAAAAAAATGTCCTCCAAAACGTTCACAGAATGAATTCTGATAATTTTATCCAAAATGACAAAATAACCCTTTTTGCGCATCATTTTTCTGCTTCATTTCTGTACCTTTGACAGCTTTGATGCCTTGGTTTCCTCACGCTGGGCATTACGTTTCTTGGAATTTATTCTGTTTCTATCTTTCTTCTGTTTGGTTGTTGACGCTTCACTGGCTGCACATGGGTACATCTTTTAATGTGTCTTTCTCATTTCTTCAATTGTTTGCAAGACCTGCAGATTTTCTCCACTCTATGGAGTAGAAGCTACTTGTGGTGGATCATCTACCTGTATTTCTGCTCTTCCAATAAAAGTGGATCATGGATTATGGTGGCAAATAAGTAAGGATGGGTTACAAAAATTAGCTTGCTGTTATATGATTTTCCGCCCCCAACCTCCACCCCCCGTGCATGCTGACCAGTCATTTATAACTGAAAATGGGCTACAACAGGCATTCTTCCTATAAATGGACCACTTTTCGGAATGGCTGAATAAGCAGGGACAAACACAATAATGCATTTCATGCTCAATTTTTTTTTATTTAACTGTGTGTTACACATGAATTCTGTTAATGCGATTGGCACATTTAACGCTATTCTTTCACAACTTTGTCTTTTATAAATTTCAGTCATCTCATGCGCCAGCAGTACGACTGCCGTAATCGTGTTCGTGCTGGGACCTACGGAGACGGAGGTTGGGAAGTGTGTATGGATCCACCGTTTGCAATCAAACCTGGCTCTTGCCTTGTGTATTCTTTTGGGTAGGAATAAATGGAACCATATTTTGAGAGAGAGAGAGAGAGAGAGAGAGAGAGAGAGAGAGAGAGAGAGAGAGAGAGAGGCAATGACGAAAGAAGAGATAGAGAGAGATTTGCATTAAATGAATAGGTAAAATGTTTTCTTATCAGAATTCGATTATTATCGCTAAATCATTGAAAGATTTGTGACATCTGTTGGTGTAAGTTGTATATTGCACTTCCTAATGGTGTAAACGGACAGCTAATCTTGAAAAATGTTGTGAAATTATAACATTTATTTGCAGATTTTGCAGATATGCAGATTTAATGCAAATATGCATCTTTACTAAACTTGTCTTTTTCAATGAAGATAGCAAGAAAATGGTTTTCAAGAACGAAATGAAAAGAAAAGAAAACCTTTCTATTAATGCACATCTTTCTTCTTGTCATCACGCTAATGCTTTCGAATCAGTTGCGTTTAGGTACTTAACAGTCGGTGGTGCGTTTACAATCCATGTTAAACTTTGGCGTGAAACTGCATACAAGATAACACAAGATTGCAGAAGAAATGAAAACGTTTCCTTGTCATCTAGCGGCAGACCCCCAGAGATGAATTTCTAAAGTATATTCTATATATTATTAACTAAATGAGTTATTGTGATAAGTATTATATGTTTATTATAAATATTTTGTATGTTTTGCATACAGATTGGGAAATGAATGGTCCTTCGACAGATATATGTCAAAGAGCTGCACAGTGTATGGGTTTGATCCAAGGTCAGTAATACCATTTAAATAATAATAATAATAATAATAATAATAATAATAATAATAATAATAAGTATAATTATTATTTCCTTTTTCAGTTTGGTCTATTTCATTTTCTTAAAATACTGATGGACATGTAAATACCAGAATGATGATAAAAGTCATAATTGTATTGTAATTCATTTTATCCTTTTTAACTTAGTCTGAAACCCTCACAAAGAGAGATGCCAGATCCTAATGTAGTTAAAAAACATTATGACTTTTGTTACAATATCAGTGTTTTTGTTAAAAGTATATTTATACTTTCAGCATCGGCCTAAAGCATGAGTCACAGGAGGTGCAAATGAACATGTGGTTTTACAACATTGGACTCTTTCGTGAAAACAGAGTTGTCAAGTGGAAGAATGGACAACAATGGGCCCTCAGAACTCTTGGGACAGTAAGGCAGATGTTGAAACATACAAATGTAATAAACATTCCTTCCTTTATTGGTCTGTTTAAAGGCAAATTAACAGCAAGAATAGAAATTCTGTAACTAAATGGAATTACCTGAAAATTCCAACATTTTTTCGAAATGCACAGCGGCATGTTCTCGGTAATCTAGCAATTAAATTAAATTAAATTAAATTAGTCTTGAATATGTATCATAAGGTAATTTTCAAAGGAGAAATAGATGTTAATTATAATGGTGATGTTGATTTCTTGTAAAGAGCATTATATTATGCACAATTCAGTGCATTCAACAGTTGTATACATTTTATACTGTTCTTAGAATGCATAAGTAATTTAATTTGTTTATATTTGTACAATATAAATTTAAAAATATTTAAAAAAATACTATATGTATAGTGCAAATAGAAAATTAAATAAATGATAAATAAATAATCCCCTTAAATGTCACATTCAGTCAACCTCGCTTGACATTAGTTAATTTCTCATTTCAGGCAACAATAGACTACCTCAAAATGGATGTGGAGGAATCTGAGTGGGACGCCCTAAAGACTGCCTTAAAGGAAGATTCTTTAAAAAATGTTAAACAATTAGCCATGGAACTTCATATTTGGAACTTCTCGAAATATATAACACCGAAGCATGTATATGTATTGAGGAAACTAGAAGAACTTGGCTTTAAGATATTTTTCACCGAAAGAAATGGGTCTTCGAGAATTAAGTCCAAATATACTGGAAGAGTGCTGACGTGGGCCAATAATGTATGTTTTGTCAATAAGAATTATCTTTAGGACTGATTTGCATAAGGGGATTTAATCAAGAAATTTAGTAACTCGAAAACATCACGCATTGAGGCCGAGCGCAAGCGTCTCGATTTCATAACTCGCTCCATATAAAACATTATAGCCTCAATGTGATGCTTTAGAGTTACGGCTGTTATTGATTGTGCCAGTTGTCCGATTGCAGTGGGCGACAGTATTATAATGGGATAGATTTAAACTACGCCCGTTGCATTTGTCTCGACTGAGTGTTAAATATTCACGGGATGCCAGAAAGAGGCGGAGCTAATGGCACATGAGCGGCAGGACAGATACAGAAAACGCAACTGAAATTATTAATTAGGTGGATGGTGACACGGATCAATACCAAAAATCTAGTCGCTTTTAAATTAGCTCATTTGTGACATACCCTGAAATTTTCATCAAAATCCATGCATATTTTTTCATTACGCTGGTGACATACAGCCAACCAAAAAGCTGCATTCTATCATTCTATCATACCAAAATGGCCACCAAATAGTGCTATTTATCCAAAGTAATAACGTCAGCAAAATAAAACAATGATTCCATCTATTTTCACCATAGGCACTGTGACGTCTTTAATAGCCTGATAAGTGTTGTTAGTTCCTTCAAATTTTGAAACAGATGGGCAGCCACAGAAAAGATGGTTTTCAAACCAAATCCTTTATTTATGTGTGAATTGAGAGGAGTCTCTGAGGCTAGTTTGCTGTCGGCAATTTCATGATTTCTTCAATTACAACAGAATAAGTTGTTAGTTGAAAATGTCATTTTATTGACATTTGCACTTTGCTTAATATACAAAGTACGAATTCAAAATACATATAGTTACATAATATTATATGAATGATACTCATGTATGGTAAATCATTTACAAATTTCAGATAAAATTTTAGCAAAAAGTTTTAGCAAAGATGGAGGGAAAAAGGGCCACAAATGGCAGTGATTTTTTAAAAAGAAGTTTCACGTTCTCAACGGCCTAGGCTGAGAGCGAGCTACGCAACCCCTACCTTTTTAGGACGGGGACGTAAGTTTCCTCATTGCTCTGACAGCCAAATCATAAGAGTTATCTCTCTTGACCTTTGCACTGCCACATGTGCCCTGCATAGTACATTTACCTAACTATTGCTTTAAAGTAATATATCTCACATGTATGACAAATATTAATAAACAAATGATATCTAGATAATCTTTAATGACTAATAAATGTGCCAAACGAGTTATAGCTAACTATCATAAATACAACCATGTTACATTTAACCAATGCTCAAATCTGTTTCATTGGGGGGGGTGGGGGGTGGGGGGACAGGGTTGGGTTTGAATAACTTTTCCAAAATTCACCTTAAAAATTTCTTTCCTGAATAATGCACTACTGAATGCTGTGAATTTTACTAGACAAGTGAGGGAGAGCATTAACTTTCTCCTGAGTAACTGAACTCATATGCCTCTGATTGGCTGGTCTTACAGAGGCAAAGTGGCACTGTCTAATTAGGTTGCACCCCCTTATCCTGTCTCACAAGTGCCGCTTGAAAGTAATTAAGTCTAAGTGTGAAAACACAGAGGAGACATCCTGACTGAAATTAAGGAAGAAACATCTGGAGCGTGATTTAAAAGAGCCAAGCTCCCTGGGAAACTTGTCTAACACTGATAATCTCATCCCACATAAATCCTTTTATTGTGCCCAACAAATTATATTCCTTGCTTCATCTCCAAGCTATTTTACAATGCCCCCCCCCCCAAAAAAAAAAAAATAAATAAAAATTGAAACTATTTGTCTAAAAACAAATTGTAAGAAGAGAATGGTCACAAACTAGTGACAGTGCAATTCCACACTAACAGTGACGAACGCAGTTTATGTGATACAGGTATTCCTATAATTCTTACTTGTCCATTCTTGTCTCTGTCTAATATATAGTTAAGTGAAAGATATTTGTAAGAAATGCATTAAAAGTAACCATTTTTTATTGTACCTTCCTTTGATTTAATAATAATGATAGTATAAAATATCATCATTACTATAATCATTATTACTAATTTTATGGCGCATTCTAAATTTGTTATACACACTTCAAGGTTTTTAAAAAAGCTCTACATAATTTACTACCCTATTTTTTTAAAGTGTGCAAAACTAAATTGTACAAACTAACTTAAAGATTAACTTATATGTAAGTATTGAATATAAACATTAAATATATTTTTTCAAGCTCAACGTTTCCCCATCACTTTGTAGTTCAGGCTAACCCTAACCTGGACTAATCATGACTTACTGAGCTAACGGATAATTATCTTTGAATAATGCATTTTGTGTTTTCAAAGACAAAAAACGCCAGCGTCTTCGTGGTGACCACAGTTATGGGTTCCCCAATCGCTGTGATTACAGGATCCAATGTTGGGTTCTGATCCTGTGCAGTGGACATCGTCCAACCATATGTATCCTTTACCTTGTCCAAAATACGCACTTTGTAGGCTAAGTGCTCTGAAATAGGGAAGACTTAAGGACTTGCAGAAAACTTTGGCATCATTGTTACCCCAGTTGTCATCGCAAACTGTTCCCCAACTTCCATTATGATACACTTCGACTCTTCCAGCGTGTCCGCCATTGAAACTTAGACCGACAAGACGGTATGTGGAACCGTTCACAAAGACTGGAATGTTAAGATAAAGGCTGTGGATAAAGGAAGCATTTCAATGTGATCATATCATCTCTCTCTCTCTCTCTCTCTCTCTCTCTCTCTCTCTCTCTCCTTGTGTGTGTGTGTGTGTGTGTGTGTGTGTGTGAATGTGAGAAAGAGAGAGAGAGAGAGAGGGCGACTGGCGTATTCACTGATTTCTAGAATTCCGAAAATTGAACAGGACGATATAAATGTATAAAATTGGAAAAGGGAACTGTGATAATTAAACGTAACAGACAAAATAGGGTTCTCCAGCTTTAACACCATTTTAATATGCTAATGATACTTGATATAACTTGAATCAACTTATAATTCTTTCCCACAAATACAAGCAAGCACACCCGCACACAAACACTAAAATCTGGGAACGGTGGGCGCGCGCGCACACACACACACACACACACACAGGTTTGTTCAATGTGATATTTGTTATAAAGGCACAGAGAGAACGTTTAACCCCTACCTTGGCAGTTAGTCCCATAGTACCCAGCAGAACATAAACACCCATAAGAATTCACCATGTCAACACACGTCCCACCATTCTGACAAGGACGACTGGAACATTCACTGATTTCTAAAATACCCAAAATTAAATGACACGATATAAAGTGGATAAAACTGGAGAAGTGGATAACACTGGAAAAGGGAATAATTGGAAAAGAGAATAATATTGTATCTAACAAAATATGTATCTCTAACTGTAATACAATTTTCATGTGTTAATGATATTTGTTATAACTGCAATCATATTCGTTCACAAACATTAAAACTAGGGAACTCGTGGACGTAAAACACACACACACACTGGTTTGTTAAATGTAATATTTAATATAAGTTAAGGTACAGGAAGAACATTAAACCCCTACCTTGGCAGTTTGTCCCGTAGTACCCGACAGAACACAGACACCGATAAGAATTCACCATGTCAACACACGTCCCACCGTTCTGACAAGGACGGCTGGAGCATTTATAGATTTCTAGAATGTCAAATTCAAGATAGAATAAAATTCGTTTACAAATATATTCTATTATCATTATTACAAATAAATGAAAATTTAAAAATAACTTGGTTAAACGGAAAACAAGTAAATTGCCAACAGACAGTATGCCGGTGTGAAAGGAAAACATGTCCTATGGACATGCATTACGGCGGACATCCATTCCCTTCACACCGGCTATATAACTTTAATGATTTGATGCTTTCAAAATGTAAACATCCAAAATATAAATAAATAAACTTAAAACATAATTTTCTGTTTACTTACCCTTCAAACCATTTTTTGCTGAGATCAAATGCTCTAAATGCTGAGTAAGTTGGTCACTATACCCCACACGTGCAAACACGAGCGACAGAACAACAATTACCAGTGCAACACACAGTAACCCTACCAAGACCAACGCTGTGAGTAAGCCCTTATTAACTTTAGTCTTTGGTGGCTGTGTAATCCTTTCATTTTGATCAACGGCATTTTCGATGGGATGATGAATTATTAAGCTCTGGTAATCATTTGGTGTCTCCGCTGGAGTAAGTTCCACCTGTGATGTCGTGCCTGGCCTGTATGTTGCATTTTCATACGCTGTGTTTTTATTAAGACGGGTGGTACTTGCCATGATACCTAGAAGTATTTTTTTCATATTTAATTACATATCAATTTGAATATTTAAAACGGTGGGGATTTCATTCAAAGATGCTCATGTCTGAAAAAAAAAGTCATTTTAAAATAGAAACCCGATGCACCTATTTTCAAATGAATTTATCACACATGACTGATATTCCCCTAGTATACTTACTCATAATTTCATTACTATATATATTTAATGTTAAGCATAATTTTTAAAATAAAGCAGGATGCAGACCTTTTTTAATCTGCCATGACTTTTCTCCAAACCTTTGCTGGAACATTTAAATGCATAGGTAGATTATTTGTAGTAGTATCCAGGTGTTATTTATAACGTTTAAATCAATGATAAATTAATAACGTTTACATTAAACTACTGAAACAGAAATGACAGAGAAAAAATACACGGAGGCATTTACAGGGGCAACAACTTCCTTTACATATTTGATGAAATCATTAAAAAAGATAACATTGAATCCAATACATTTATTCTCAAATAGTTTGTCACATAAGACAAACATTTCTGCATGCATTCTCGCTGAAATTTTATTACTATAGCTTAAATGCTAATCACGTCTCCATAATAAAGCTAAGGTCCTGAGTGCATACCTTTTTTGTCTGCCATGTTAACTTTCTTCTTAAGTCAGTGTTGGAATAATAATAGACTTGCATTTACTATTTTTCATGTATAAATATAACTTGTAGCCATAGGTTTTATTAATAACGGTCACATGGCTGACATAATCTGCCAAAACAGAGAAAGGGCATAAAAATATATATCTACTACTGGTTTCACGACTACAAATTGGCGTCAACATAATTAAATTGTAAATCAAAATTGGTGCACAATGCAACAAGATGAAATAAAAAAATCATCCTTCAAAAGTCCATGCAAAACTAAACTATCCAAAACCTATTTCAGTTACTTATTTTTCTAACTAGTACGTTCATTAAAATCGATTTTGGAACTGTATATTTCACCTAGCTTATATATAATTATGAAATACTAAATATATGTATGTAAAATAATGGTGCATTTCTATATATTTGATTTTGGTGATATTCAACTATGTGTTTTATTATTATTATTATTATTATTATTATTATTATTGTTCCTATTACTTTATCTCTGTACATTTTCACCAGCTCAGTCTGGAGCAGAAAGTATGAATAAAGCATATATTTCATCTCTCACTCTGTGTTCATAAAAACGATTTTTGAACTGTATGTTTCACATCTCACTTAAAAACTCATTCTTCTTCCTGGTTGATGAAACGAGCACAGCACGTTATATGAAAAAAGATTCATTGCAATTCACAGCAACCTAATTTATTTTTGATGACTCCATACTTCTTACATAAAAAACCGAGTGCTGCAGAACAGAGTTATAGATCCTTTGAAATGATTTCGCTAAAATATATGTAACTGCCAGCATTTACATTGCATATTTAAAATCGGCAACTACATCAAAATATTTTCAACTTTAAAAATGTAAATGATTGCACAAAGTGGAAATAGAGATGATCATCTTTACGAAATGTATAAAAAAAAAACTAGTATACAAAACACACCAGAGATTCTTATTATACTTACCAGTGCATTAATCAAAAAGTCTTTTTTCAAACTGTATGCCGTGCACGTATTGTTGACAACAAAGCGGTGCTTCTCACATTGAAAGTCACCAAACTTTACTTCCTGGTTGATGAAACGAGCACTGCACGTGATATGAAAATACAGGAATATTAAATCACGTTCGTCTCACTTAACTAACAGCATATCTTTTGTAGCACACAGCCCATTCCGGAAAGTCATAAAGAGGCTTCCTTCATTTAAGTATTGCTTGAGATTAATTAGACCTGAGACGTGCCATGGAAGTTCGAAATAATTGGAAACTCTGCCTTACCGGAAGAATATCTGTAAGATTGCACTGCATTCTGTTACTGTTGCCCACTTAATGTATTTTATTTTTATTTGTAAATATCAACCCACTTCCCAAGCGCTTGTGTTAGTTGAGCCGCATATACCACTACAGCAATCCAAATAAAGAAGAGTGCAATAAAGCTCCGATAGCCATTTTTCATTCTAGCTTATCATGAAAATTGTAAGGAATTGAAATAAATTAATAAATAATGCGAAATAGAAAGGGTGATGGTCGATTGTTTTGTGGGTGAATATTTATTTAACATGAAAATAACGTGAGGCTTAACTATTCACCTTTTACACTTTCATCGTCTCAATTATGTTACTTGCGTCAAATACATTGATGTACGCTCGAAAATTTGTCACCTTCTTGTTTAGTTTAAAAGAGTAAAAAACAATTTATGAATGCCTCATTTCAGTCGGTCATAAAAAAAACATCAAAGTCGGTTCACTACTTTTTAAACAATTTTATAATGTCAACATTTTTCTGAAATATTCAATACTTTCTCTTAACAACGTAGGGGCATTTTAAGAAAAATCGCAGTAACTGAAATAACATTTTAATAAAAATAAACTGTTATGTCCCGTTGCGTGATACAGAAAATCCCACAAAAATTAAGTTGTGATATAATTTATGTACATGTTAAGCTGGTCTTCAAACCTGTAGATAATTTATTCGTTTGACATGACCAAATTTCAATAAATACAAAATAAAAATATCAACTGTTATTCATCAGAAAGCAATATGGTGCCAAACTTTTGTCTCTCTCTGCATTTGGTTCACTCAGCTGAGATAGATGACGGATTTTAAACAGTTTGTTATGAGATGCATCTTCAATAGCAAATAACACCAGCATCTTCACTGTGCCTGCAATTATGATTCCCCCAACCGTTGTGAGAACATGATGCAATGTTGGATTCTGATCCTGTGCAGTGGACATCGTCCAACCAAATAGTTCCATTACCTTGTCCAAAATACGCACTCGGTTTGCCAATTGCGTTGGAATAGGGAAGACGTAAGGACCTGCAGAAAACTTTAGCATCATTATTATCCCAGCTGTCATCGCAAACTGTTCCCCATCTTCCATTATGGTACACTTCAACTATACCACTGTACTTTCCATTGGCAATTGTTCCAAAAAGACGATACAGGGAACGGTACAGCAAATCTGAAATGTTCAATGAAAACATGTTTAAAGAGTGAGTATTTCAGTGATGATCCACTAATGCACGTGCACGCAAACGTGAGTGCATGTGCACCATGTGTGTGTGTGTGTGTGTGTGTGTGTCAAAGAGAGTTATTTTTCATGATATGATCGAAATATAGTTTTAAAATTTTGCACAGATTATCATTTAACCATTTAGAAATTCATTCATAATCCCCTCAAATTCGTTTAACGTCAGCATTATGTATCATTTTACCCACACTCTGACGAAACGGATGAAATCAATAAATGTATTCCAAGGAGCTGCCCGAACCTGATTCACAATTCCTGCCGGTATACCTAGAAAGGCAGCTGCAAGAATACGTAAATGTTTGACTTCTACACGTGGCGCCATTTTGGCAGGGCTGGTTGTGACATTGGTCTCTAACTGTAACAAAAATGACGACACACAGAAAATGTTGAACAATCTTGTGTCATTGGAAATGCATCAATGTCATTAACGGGATGACATTTAAAGATATTTACGATTCGTCTTTCACCCCCGAGTTCACCAAACTTAGTGTGGGCGTTGTCAAATACACATACTATTGCCAAAATGTATACGCAGCTAGATATACTATACGTAATAACATTCATGTAGAATATTGGGTATAGGACAACCTATTTGAAGTCAAAAAATGTTCAGGGAGAATTTTAAACACTTACCTTGGCAGTTTGTCCCGTAGTACCCGGCAGAACACAAACATTGATAAGAATTCACCATGTCAACACACGTCCCACCATTCTGACAAAGATGGCTGGAACATTCACTGATTTCTAAAAAAAAAAAAAAAAAGAGTATATTAATAAAACATTATTTCATTTTAAAAGCAAAACATCTTATAAATACCGCAGAAAATGTGTACTGACTGTTAATTTTAGAATTTAATGTTAGAGATTTCAAAAATTAAAAATTTCACTTGGTATTTAAGTTTTCTTTGCAATGACCTGTATACCACCCTTTTACTGGCTAAAGTAACATACCAAGTTGACATCATTTGCCAGTAAAACCAGGAAGGCAATCGCAGTCAAAACTGCCATGATTATTTCTACAGGTGGCGCCCCTGGCACATGGGTTGTTCATGCATTCGTTGATGTCCACAAAAGAAACAAAATATATTTGTACCTTTCTTTTTCCATTGATTTTCTTATTGCAGTTCTTTGTACTTATCCCAGTCGTTATTATAGCAAATATATAATATTCACTATATTCTGCACAAACAGATTGCGTTACAAAGTTATAGAAAAGAAAGAAGCCATTATATTAACTTCTGATGGACCCAAAGTAATGAAAAGACTTTCATTGGTCTACCAGGTCATTCAAATTACACAAACTTATGGTTTGGTACCTACCGTTGCCACACCATGTCCCTTGGTAACCGGAAGAACAAGAACATCGGAACGAGGCCACCGAGTTCTCACACTTGGCACCATTTTTGCAAGGGTTGCTTATGCAGTGATTGGTAGCTGGAATAAATAAACATGTATGTGGCCACACTGTATAAAATTTCATGCCTACGTTTCGGGCTGATATCTTATTTTTAGTCATCCTTTTTTTTTTGGGGGGGGGGGGTTCACATTGAGTGGATTGGCAAATTTTATGTTTTTTTCACCATATATATATATATATATATATATATATATATATATATATATATATATATATATATATATATATATATGCATGCAGAGATACCAGTACAATATAATACCTAGAGTCTTCTTTCGTTTAATTACTATTTGGCCCACTGTTTGCTGAAACCAAACCTAAAAATCATGGGTGAGTTGCTCACTTTTTTCCTTTTGGGTATGCACAAGTAACCATACAACAGTAGCAACCAGTGCAGCGCATATGATTCCCACTAACACCAATGCTATTTGTAGCCGTCTATTGACTTTTGTCTTTGGTGGCTGTGTTATCCTGATATTGGGATCATTGTCATTGTTGGTTGGACGAGGCATTCTTAAACTCTGGTAAACACTTGGTGTCTCCTCTGGAGCAAGATCAACCTCGACGTTTCATATGTTGCGTTAATATAAGCGGCGCTTTGGCTTTGAGGGGTGGTAAATAACCCGATTCCTAGAAATGATTTAACCATAATCCCATTACTGAACTAGTGACATACGCCGTAACTCTTTAAGGAGTAGATTTTTCATCCATCATCAGCTAATATTAAAATAGTTTTCCTCCAACAGTTCGATGTCTATCAAGAACATCTTCATCAGGGAAATAGCCTCTGTCCCCCCACCCTTACTGCCCTAAAAGGCAGGTATGGGCCAGTGGAGATGGCTTCATTACTTTCAACATTAGCCGTTGAGTGAAGAAAAAATACGACCGTCCCTATAACATAACACAGCTGATGAAAATATTCTAGTTGTGACGGAACATAGAGTGTTTTTATTATTCCACATAAAATCATCTTAAAGTCCGTTTCAAATCGAATTAAAGTTGTTAAAATGGGAAGCCAAAATATATTTTTAAAGAGCATATAAAATATGCATTCCTCACAGGATCACATTGTTGCAAATATACTCAGTCAGTCAACATAATTTTATAGCTTAAATATCTTTTTTTTTAATCAACTCCAATTTACTCAAATTCGTGATATGAAGTGTAAGTTCTTGGATGCATACCTGTTCTGTCTGCCATGTTAAAATTCTTCGACGTTGAAGAGCTGTGCTGAAACAATAAAATGATGTAGAGTCACATCTGGCAAAATCGCCGCATTTTTGAAACGAAAAAAAATTAAAAACAGCATTTTGCATATACGACACAATTCACATTATCTTTTTCTAAATCACTACAGCGGTTTGAAAAAACATTTTATCATAGTTAACGTGCTTTAGCACTTTATTCCACATGTTGAGAATCTCTACCATTAATTGTATCATTATTACTATTATGAAATCGTTTTCAGAATTTTTGAAAAAAAAAAAAGCATTGACACAAGAATACAACATTGTCTTTATTTATTTAAAGTCATGATTAATAATAATAATGATAACCAATTATAGTCTATAATCCATATAAAATACCTAGTAGACTTTACAGGGGTAAAATGAACAGCTTTTACAGGGAAACAGTGCAACTGCTTTAAAATGGGTGTACATGTAAATGTATAGCTATTGTCGCAGAGAATTGATCCAGGCAGTTTCTAATAGCACCGATGTTTCTGATGAGTGATATTTAATACTTGTCTTAAGATCCACGCAGAGAGTGGAGTTAAGGTAGACACCAGGGTTTTGGTATTGGGTTCACGACATTGGTGCCTACTGGTAATTCAAGTTGTAGATTATATGTAAATATGTTGCTATGTGGTTGCGTGATTAAAAGAAAAACTTACTCTTCCCGTCATTTATTTTCAGTTTGTTGTTGCTGAGCCCGGCGCGAATGTCAGCCACACAGTTGATGGTTTTATCCATAGACGGTTTAGAATTTTGTATGTCATAGCAAGTATATATCTGAATACATCAGCGTACTTGTAGTATCCAAGTTTATGATGACGTAAGATGTCACCAAGTGGCAGGGTATAAATTCAAAACAAAAGTGGCCCAAGGACACTGCCTTGGGGCACCCAAAAGATCGGAAAGTATGCCATTTACGGAAATTTGCTGTGACCTCTCAGTGAGGTATGGATGAAGAAACGCAATGTTACTTTGTCATTTTCCCCGTTTGTGTTGACAATTTTATGTTCATATAAGTATACACCTGACACTGTAATTATACATTGGGGAAATGTGTTGAAAGTCATTTTTAACTGTACTTTAAAAAATAAGACAGTCTTTAAAGGAAGATTGCTGAGGACTGAAATGTTGTGATAGTCATGTTTTGAATTTGGCTCACAATTTAAATGATGTTATTTGTAGCTTTAAAATGCTTAAAGCCAGGTACACGTAGGCAGTTGCTGACCTTTTTGTGGTGATATCCTTATCTGCACGTTAATTGCCACCGTAACATACCTTAACCTATTGTGCCGAAAAAATATTTAAAGGTTATAAAGGTGGTTTTCATTGTATAACTGCACTGATAAATCGCCAGACTGCACAGTTTGTCTGATCAGTATGGATCTGTTCAATCATGAGATAATCTTGATCATACAGATCATACAACACCTTGGTCATTTATGTTGAAGTACATGTACATGCCGTTTTTGGTAGGTTGTCATGTTGTCAGCAATGGTACAGGTAGGTTATGACAATAGTAGGTTATGACAAAGGCGTTGTTTTAAAACTGATACCAACTGATAGCTGTGGCCATAGGACACTGCCTCGGGGCATCCGAAAAACATGTTATAAAAGACGAAATAGTATACCGTTTATCAAGCCGATTGCACTTCCTCGACAAGGTATTTAGGTGGTCCAACTTTCTAATAGCAATTACTCTTTCAATCACTTTTGAAAGAAATGAAAAAAATTATGCCGGTCTGTAATTAAGCATATTGTAAGTTTTTATGTACAGACACAGATGTGTCTGTACATATAGCCGTCATCTGCGTCTGTCGTCGCCGTCGTCGCTNACCCTTACCTTTTCTATAACTTAAAAATAATCTTTAAATAAAGTTCTCGTCGAATTTAAGTTATTGCTGTCTTTTGCAAATTGCTCATTGTTATTCAACTGGTCCAGTAAATATATTGTAAACATCGTGTATGACTTTTCAAGTCAGACCTTTGCAATCGATCCTGCTTCTCTTCACACAAAAATCCTGCCACTTCTTTTGAATACAATGCAAAATGTCACTCATTTACTTAAAATACATGTAAATCATTTTTTCTTTTGTTAACTACACAAACAGTATAACCTGACATATAATAGATTACATCTGAAAGGTATGGGAAATAAAATGACTCCCAGGATAAGCAAATCTCGTTTTCTTTCCAAGGAAATACATGGGGGACTAGAGAACAAGAGGAGTTTTACGGTTGTGCAGATATCCAGATCACCGATGATGACGCAAAACTGACAGTCAGTTCGACAATTGCGACTGGTGTAACAACAAGCACATTTCCAATTACTAGCAGCACAACTACCGCATCGGCCCTCCTGGAGACTGATTCAGCAGCGATTGAACCCTTGTCTTCCAAACCAACAAGTAAACAATGTGTGGGTTTACCTCCGTACGACAGGAACATAGCCATAAACGAATGGTGCACCGACCAGTGCAATAAGATACCAATGTACTGCCCCCCTACTATGTGTATCTGTGAATATTAGCTCATCCGCCGCACGAAGTCCTATGACGCCACCCAATTTTGGACAAAACACCGCGGATACCTGTCATGATTTACCTGGCGATAGTAACCAAATCATTTGACTTACCAACTGCCAGTTTTTATGAACAATAAATGCTTGAAATATTTTTTTCCTAATTTTGACCGATAGCTTCCTTTGAATTTTTTAATAACCCGTCTTTTTTCTTTGTGGATCAACTTATCAAATTTGCGTCATCATTGAGATAGGCTAATTAAAATTGACATTTCAACATTTAGGATTTCAGACCTCATAAGTACAAACAAATAAGGAAATATTGTTTTACTACGTTCCGCATGCTCTATAATGATTGGCACGGCTATTAACTGGAGACAAATATGTTAATGAGGTTTGTCATCGAAATAAACATTTCCGTCACGGGAGACAGAAGTCGCCGTATCGGAAGCCAACGGCACTCTCGTGGCTTTTTGTCCGAATAAGATGTTAAATTGTATTTTTTTTGCACCACCTTTACTCCAGCAAACCCTGAAACGTAAACTTCCCCTCTCTTCTTATCACAGGAAAATGCCCGATTCATGAAGCATAACATCGATTGTTGGTATTATCACCAACTTGATGGATATATACGATAGGTTAAACTGACGTCATTGATGACGAGACTAGCATAGTGACCAATCTAAAAACAAATATCATGAAACTATAATTTGGATATCAAAATTGTCATCAATCACGATAGCGAGACAGTCATGGCAATAAACACCACTTCTTCTTTAGATAAGATCTATGGTGACCCTACCGGTCCACGGTGAGATGACCCTTGGCAATTGCCCCCCCTCCCCTTAACGCTACCTCCACTTAATGCAAGATCGAAAAATAAAATACGTGACATACCCTTAACATATAAAAGGAGCCTTATTTATTAAAAAAAATTAGCTTATTTAGATGAATACTTTAAGCGGTAACGAAGATATCTCTTCACACAGATGAACAAGGAAATATGAACATGAGTGATTCATGTTCCTGTGCTGACCGATAGTTTGACGGCTTAACACATGTAGCCTCTTTCATTTGATATAAGCAGCCAGATTTAAAATCAATACAGAGGAATCTGGGTTGTGTGCACAGTTAAATTCAGTTTTAATAAAAACGGAATTGACTCCAACTGAGGGTGAACTTCCGTGATGCTATGGTCACTTCACGCTTCAGTGTCTTGTCCACGACTTCATAGACCAGATCTCATGTGTCACTTCCTCGCTGATTGCGATACGGCTACCTTGATCTTCAGTTATTTGACTCACGTTTAACTCACCTAGATTTATGGTGCCGTCTGAATCACAAATCACCAAAAATTAATATCTCTTATCAATGTGTCACTTAAATTTGCTATAAAAGGGCTGAACTACCCCAGTCAACCCAGAAAAAGAAATTTAGCAAGACACTACCGAGCAAAAGTATTTTGTGTAGAGTATCACTGGAAGAGACGACAATGTTGATGAGCTTGTATTTCACCCTGGCGTTCGCACTTAACGCCTTACCAAGTGTATTTGGCCATGGTCGCTTGATTGAGCCTCCATCCCGATCTAGTCTGTGGAGATTTGAAGAATTCGTTGACTTAGTGACACCAAACTACAACGACAACGAGCTTTTTTGTGGAGGAGTTTTCGTGAGTATTTCATAAGATATTAAATGTAAACATAACCAATTGCATAAGTCAAAATCTATAATCTATATCCTTACATCCTCAGTTTCCTAGTTTGTTGGATGGAGCTCATGTATATTCATTATCTATATATTATGCTTTGATAATTATTCTTTGGAGTACTTTCTCTAAAGGGAAAGCGGGGACGTCTCTCTCTCTCTCTCACGGCTCTGCATATTTAGGAATAGTTGGCAAAACGCACTAAAATTCTGTAATAATTGAGCTATCTAAACCATACAATTAATTGCTAACCTCATCTTAGCCTAATTAGTTAAAAAAAAGTATTCATTCTCTTTTTAGAGACAATATCAGCGCAACGGCGGCAAATGTGGCGTGTGCGGGGATCCGTGGGACGAACCATCACCGAGGGCTAACGAAAACGGCGGGATTTATGACTTTGGAATCACATCACGTTACTACAAAAAGGGGCAAGTTTTCACCACAGAGGTCGACTTGACTGCCAATCACAAGGGGTGGTTTGAATTCCGCATTTGTCCCAATGACGACCCTTCTGTCCAGGTTACGCACGAGTGTCTCGATCAGCATCTTCTCCAACTTGCCGACGGCTCCGGGACAAGATGGGAAGTGAACACAGACGAAAACAAAGTGTTTGAGCTTCGACTTCGTTTGCCATCTGACCTCCTCTGTAACCACTGTGTTTTCCAGTGGAAATACCACACAGGTAAGTAGCCCTATCACATGTATTTTGGAATTATCTTCACGTAGTACGCATGTCCTTAGCCATGAACAACAACAACAATAATAAACATGCAGCTAAAATAATTTGCAATCAGCTAATTCTGGCAGTTGCCCGTAAAGCCCATCAATTGTACTTACCTTTTTTGTTTGTTTCTTATAAACAGGTAACTCATGGGGCACAGATGACCAGGAAGAATTTTACGGTTGTGCAGATATTCAGATTAGCGAAAATGGTGCCGTGCCGTCCACCACGACGGCAAAGCCTACCACTGGCACAACTAGCACAACAGCGTCAACTGTCAGCACAACCACTGCAGCCGTCTCCACAACACGTGTACCTACCAGCACAACCGCACCAACTACCACAAGCACAACTTCCAAGCCAATTCCCACATCAAGTGTACCTACCAGCACAACCACATCAGCAACCAAAAGTACAACTACCAAGCCCATTCCCACATCAAGCAAGGCTACCACCACCGCGCCTGCATCCTCAAGCACAACAACCGCCACTGTCTCGTCCAGCACACCGGCGGCATCCAACTTGATTTGTGTGGGCGTGCCACCATATAACACTCATCTTGGAGTCAACGAGTGGTGTACAACTAGCTGTAATGCTGTACCGTCGTACTGTCCCCCTACTATGTGCAGCTGTCGCAGTCCACCGCCGCCCGTTGAAACGGAAAAAGATGATGAAGCAAGCTCACCCGAGACCGGCACTCCAGTTGATGAACTGCCAGATAAGGTTCGCTGTGTTGCCGTCCCACCTTATGACAAAGATGTCGGAATTAACGAATGGTGCACAACCAGCTGTAATGCTTTCCCAGTGTACTGTCCCCCTACTATGTGTGCTTGTTCTGCATAACATGCTTGTTCCAAGTATACGCTCTTTTAAGTAAGCCGATTATGCATGAATCGAAAGAGCATTGAAATCGAATCCCATCATTCCATATATATTATTAATCGTTGAAAGTTTTGACAAATTTCAAAAGCAACAAAATGGCTTGCTTTCAGGTATTCTTGCATAAATGTAAGGCTTCTTATTTTAACATAAAATTTGGGGAAGACATTTACTTAAAGCAGACCATTTCCGTCCTTAAACGTAGCTTATGTTTGCAATCAGTGCTCTGACAAATCGTTTTCTCGTAAAATTTGTGAGGGATTTTTAAAATTTTCTCCTTTTATACAACTTATTAAATTTTGAATATGATGTGAATTAACTTTCTTAATATTATTTTATGGATATAGAAAATACAGCATTCTATTTTTATGATTGAAAAGAACTTTGATATACATATATCTTTATATAAATTTAAATATCTGTATTTTAAAATACCAAAGGATATACATTGTATGCTACTTTGATATTCATCCTGTATCAGTTTGTCATATATTTTTTCAAATAAATACCCTTATTTTTTAAGAACTTGTTTTTTTTTTTTTTTTTTTTTTGTTTTTTTTTTTTGGGGGGGGGGTCGGGGGGTGGGGTCCAGGAATAAAATGCTTCAAATCAAACACTCAAGTTAAACACACAGCGTTAGGGGTAAAACAAAATTGTTTGTAGCACTACTAGAGCGGTAGATGAGAGTGATAGCGCTTCTCCAGATACATGGTGTGAATTTACTATTAAGCAGCGGTGCTGAATTTGATGTCAATTGGATTTCTATTGTTTTAGAAGAAAGTTAGATGATGTATAAAAGAATCAATCACCTGTTTTTTCTCAAAATTGTCTCAATATTACGAACTTTGAATTAAAAACAGCATAAAAATAACCATAAACGCTCCTTCGTACTTTATATTGTTGACCCGTAAGTGAACGTCTTATCTAATATACCTGCACATTAGCGAAGGGGCCAGACTAGAAAGCAAACTTTCTTATCGGTTTTGTCATTTTCACGAGGTCAAAAACTGCCTGCTGCAAAAACGTGTTGGCGAAACACGTTATTTCAACTCTTATCTCAATTATTTATCCTGAGTTCTAGGTCGTTCTTGCCTAAATACCTTCGTTGGGAAGTTGTTATTATCAAACTACTAAATCAGAATCATTTTCCTTTGGAGCAAAGTTTGATAAATGTTCACAATAAACAAATAAAGAATTAGGTATTAAAACTTTAATTGCGTCACTGCACTCCGGTTAAAACTATTTAAAAAGCGTTTGCTTCCTTTGAAATGTAAGAGCCTGATGTTGCTATGTAAAAAGGTATGCTGGGAGAGAAGAAGTCTCACATGATGCTATCATTTCTCTTTTCCATAATTATAAGCCTATCTCTTACTTTAAGAGTCTACCATATAGATACATCAAAAGGTGCACTTTCCCCTTGATATCGCCTCATAATAATTTGATATAAATATTCTCAACTTTAGTTTTTAATAAGTAAAATGTCACTGGTGTACCAATGTCATATCTCAGGATGAAGATTGTCTTTTTCTAAAAGGTTTAACAAAGAAATGACTATATCGCTAAAATCGCTGTGATAAGAACAATCATTTTATCCACACTCACGAACATACATTGTTAAAATTCCCGTCAACATTTTTAACTTTAAAATGTGGAGCACCATAGCTGCACAATTGTGAAGTGAGATCTATCGAAGTATATAAATAAATATTCCAAATCTGGAAAACATAATAATTGTACTTACCAGTGCGTTTGCAAAGTGGTGTTTTGAAACAGCCTTTTTTCTAATGTGACAATGTGCACGTTTGTTGACAATAACACGTTCGCTCCCACGCTGAAACTAAGCAGTATTACTTCCTGGTTCACAAACGACGAGAAAAATATACGACGTTGCAAAAAGTTTGCAACTAAGAGCGGTTGCTTATTTTTCTGGAAGGGGATTTACTCCGAAATCGGAGCTACGTACATGTAGAAGTCAGGTCTTGATTTTTTTTCTTTTTCCAAGAAAAATAGTACACCAGCAGCTTCACGGATGGCGGTCACATTTTTCACGACGTAGCTTTTCTGGTGGAGATAAAAAAAATCCTAATAGATTGCGGTAGTTGAGGTGCCTCTGTGTACAACTAAAGCAATGCATATAACGACGTGTGACGGGATTCAATAGTTCATTTCTGTGTGGGATGGTCCGCCTTTGCAACAAACATTTTAAACATTTTATTAATTTTCAGCATTTCCCCCTGCATCACCAAAGTAGTATATATATATCTCGCAAAAAAAGTAACCATAAATTCATTATGATTACAGTAGCTGTAACTTTTTTTATTTCACAAGAGATTATTTTAAAAGAGAAATGGATGTGAATAGCAATGATAATAATAATAATACATAATTATATAATTATATTTTATAGATAATACCCCATTATATACATTTCAATTCACTTTAAAGTTATTTACAATATAAATTTTCAAAACTTGAAAAAAATACATGTATTATGCCATAGTTTTAGTAACTAGCTTACTTTAAATCGAAATAAATTAACTACGACAATAATAATAGGAAATTTATGACATTATAAACATAAAAACTATTTAAGTGCGGTTTAAAACTTTAAGACTAATAACCAGTCGACAAGCTTTGGGTTTAACTTATTTTATCTCATCCCAAGCAATAACAGGGTAGCTAAAATGGATTTGGAGGAGCCCGAGTGAGACTCCTTAAAGAAAGAAGGAGCTTAGAATCGATAGACTGGTCACGAGACTAGCCAGACAACTAGGCATCTGCTGGAGCTTGGATGGCTTCGAAGACGAGTAAAGGGGGTCATCTGAGGGAGATGAGAGAACCCGACACTGAACTGTAAACGAGAAATGAGATTTTCGAAAAAAAAAAAACAAAAAAAACAATGGCATGATATCTTATGTGAAATCACTCCACTGGATGAAAGGGAACATGCATTCCTTAACTATGGTAAACATTTAAATTTTAATATCCCAATAACAGAAAATTTTGTCCCGACTCGTGATCCAGAAAATCTGACAAAATATTAATTCTGACATAACACTTAATGCAAAGTTACAGTACTGAAATTTAAATCTGACAGAAAGTTTTCATAACCAAATATCATCAAAACACAAAATGAAAAATCATTGTTATTCATCTGACAGCAATATGGTGTCAAACTTTTGTCTCTCACTCTCTGCATTTGGCTCAGTCAGCTAAAAGAGGTGACACATTTTAAACAGTTTGTTATGAGATGCATTTTCAATAGCAAATAACTCCAGCATCTTCACTGTGCCCGCAATTATGAATCCCCCAACCGTTGTGAGAACATGATGCAATGTTGGATTCGGATCCTGTGCAGTGGACATCGTCCAACCATATTTTTCCACTACCTGACCCAAAATACGCACTTTGTTTGCCAAGTGCTCTGGAATATGGAAGATTTAAAGACCTGCAGAAAACTTGGGCATCTGTGTTATCCCAGCTGTCATCGCAAACTGTTCCCCAACTTCCATTATGATACACTTCAACTCTGCCACTGTAGTTTCCAATGGTAATTGTTCCAACAAGACGGTACAGGGATCCGTACAGCAAAGCTAAAATGTTCAATGAAAATCTGTTTAAAGAGTGAGTTTTTCAGTGATTATCAACTGAGTGCACTTGTGTGTGTGTGTGTGTCAGAGAGATTCATATTTTTTTATGATATGATTGAAATATAGTATTCAAATTTTGTATAGCCTAACATGTGACCACCATCTGTCATTTTACCCACACTCTGACAAAACGGATGAAATCAATATATTTCCAGAAACTGCCCGAACCTGATTCACAATTCCGGCCGGTGTATCCAGAACGGCAGTTGCAAGAATACGAGGAACTTTGACTGATGCACGTGGCGCCATTTTGGCAGGGCTGGCTGTGACATTGGTCTCTAACTGTAACAAAAATGACGAGGCACTGAAAATGTTGAACAATCTAGTGTCATTGGAAATGCATCAATGTCATTAACGGGATGACCGATAAAGATATTTACGATTCGTCCTTCACCCCTGAGTTCACCAAACTCACCGGTGCCAAATACACATGTTATGCTCAAATGTATACGCAGTTAGAGATTTCATACGTCATAATATACATGTAGAATTTGGGGTATAGGACAACCTATTTGAAGTCAAAAATGGTACAGGTAGTACGTTACATTTTCACCTTGGCAATGTGTCCCGTAGTACCCGACAGAACAAAAACATCGATAAGAGTTCACCATGTCAACACACGTTCCATTATTCTGACAAGGATGACTGGAACATTCATCGATACCTAAAATTAAAAAGATATAGTAACAGATATTATTGCACGGAAACTTTGACATCATTGTTATCCCAGTCTTCATCGCAAACTGTTTTCAACTTCCATTATGATACACTTCAACTCTTCCACCGTATTTGCCTTTGATATTTATTCCAACAAGACGGTATGGGCGACGGGACAAAGAAGCTGGAATATTCAAGCAAAGCGATTTTAAGTAATGGTCCACTTATGCACTTGCACGCAAACGTGAGTGCACGAGTGTGTGTGTGTGTGTGTCAGAGAGATGATATGATGGAAATAGTTTTCAAATTTTGCATACCCCAACATGTGACCATTTATAATCCACTTCTATTCTTTTTACGTTAGCATTATATATCATTTTACCCAAACTCTGACAAAACGGATGTAATCGATAAATTTATTCCTAGACACTGCCCGAACCTGATTCACAATTTCTGCCGGTATACCCAGAATGGCAGCTGCAAATATACGTAGAAGTTTGATTCCTACATGTGGCGCCATTTTGACAGGGCTGGTTGTGACAATAGTCTCTAACTGTAACAAAAATGACAACGAACTGACAATAGTGAACAATCAAGTGTCATTGGAAATGCATCAATGTCATTAATACGATGACCGATAAAAATATTTACGCTTCATTCTTCAAAGTTCTTCAGAGTTCACCGAACTTAGTGAGACCGCGGCCAATTACACGCATACTATACTAAAATGTATACACAGAGACCTCATACGTAATAATATACATGTAGAATATTGGGTAAAGAACAACCCATTTCAAGTAAATAAAAAAAAGTACAGGGAGAATGTTAAATTTCACCTTGGCAATTTGTCCCTTGGTACCCGGCAGAACACAAACAACGATAAGAATTCACCATGTCAACACACGTTCCACCATTCTGACAAGGCCGGCTGGAACATTCATTGATTCCTAAAGTTAAAGAGATATAACAGTAACTGAAAATACTGCAAGAAATTACAATATTAAAATAGTGATTTCGCACACGAAGCAATGTTACAAATGGCTGTACTCACTCCACTCCAAATGGCTATTCTAATGCACAAACTCATGTAAAGTTTGCATCGGTCTTGTTACAATGAAAGAAACGTCAGTACTAACTAAAATCTGGTTGATTTAAAAATATCACCATTTTGTCTTTTGTTTTCATAAGATATCCTACCTAGCTGGCAGTACGTTCCGGTAAAACCACGAGGACAACTGCAGTGAAATCCACCATAGCTGTTTTGACAGGTGGCACCAATGGCACATGGGTTGTTAAAACATTCATTTATATCTGGAAAGAAACATAATACCATGTCATTGAGTAATTAGTTGAGAATAAGTTATAAATGTTTAATTATATTTAATGAGCCAATGGCCTATCAGCATTGTTTCAATTAAAGACATAATGACATGCCATATGAACCGGACGCCTGGCGACCTAGTTTAGTCACCTTCGTTATCTTGTCTAATCTTGAAACGAGACTCTTAAAGGTACCGCACATATATACCCTATTCATTATTTGATTTTATCTTTTTATCTTAATTACAGTATATGTCAACTTATATCCATATTTTCCTGGGATCTGGATTATAAAATATTGTTTTACGACCGGGTTCAGAGCAAAACTTTATTGAACAATGAAGTTAACTGTAGCTGATATCTTGTCTTAATACAACATATAAAGCCTTATTTTATAAGCAACAATATAGTGTGCATGTACCTACCGTATTCGCATGTTTCGCCTTGAAAACCGGAAGTACAAGAGCAACGAAACGTAGTTGCCAAATTTACACACAAGGCACCATTTTTGCAGGGTGAGCTAAGACAATGGTCCACCCCTATAAATTTAGGCAAAACGAATGCGTTGAAGCTTAACTCTTCACCAAGTGTTGCAGTTTTTAAAGACCATCAGCATTAACGAATTTCCTTAATTATTTATCTGTGGGGGTAATTATTTCTATGGAAAGTCAACAGTTACATGTGCTTCTTAACGTCAAATCAATGCCGTTGCCTCGATTTTATCAAACAGAAATAACGAGCAATGTATGCAGCCGTTTGACAATTTACTGCATTTTTCTTACCTTTACATCAAACAGCTATGAGATGCGAGATATAAGATTTTATGCAATCGTAAACATACAAATTAAAAGCACTTTTTTGTTGTTAAATGAGAGACTGCAGATGGGTAAAATCTATTTAACTACTTTTTGGGTACTTTCATATTTAAAATTATACAGTCAATCGGTAAAAAAACGACGGTGTGCAGGATGGGGACACTCAGACAGCTATGAAGGGAGATGAGTCATTTTCCACAGATTCAACTTTCTTTAAATAATGACCGATACTGCACTCTGATCGAGACAGAATTGCTTTAGTCGTGTCGTCCTTATTTGTTTCACAGTGATACCCGTATATCCAGATGGACAGCTGATAGAATACAGGACAGCATGTTCACTACCTACTGTTTTCACAATATGTGCCTTGGTAATCCAGGGAACAAAAACATCGGAACGAGGCCACTGAGTTCTCGCACGTGCCGCCATTTCTGCAAGGTTTGCTTAGGCAATGGTCGGTCACTGAAATACATACAGTTGTGTATGTATTTATACAGTCAAGTCCCATGATATTAACAGTTTACCACGCCACATGCACATTAAAAGTTGATTTCCTCTCGCAAAAATTAATGAATATATATTTTTACCATTCACAATGGAAAACCCTTCCTCCTTTCCTTGTTTAATGTATTTTAATACTTAAAATACACTTAAAGGCAACTTCAACAATTGATAGCATAAAACATACTGTAAATGATAAAATGAACGTTAACGAAATACCAAGACGGTAGGTACTTTTAAAATTCTTTGTCAAATATTTCCAATACAACAATACTTAAAATCTCATGCATCATCTGTCCTTTACTTACAATTTGAACCATTCCTTGATGAAACCAAACTCTCATTATTCAGGTCCTGTTCTTGGCCTATTCCCTTAGGGTTAAAGGCAAGTGACCAAGCAACAATAGCAACCAGTGCGGCACATACTATTCCTACTATCACCAATGCAATGAGCAACCGCCTGTTGATCTGATACTTTTTTGGCTGAGTTATCTCTTTGGGAGGTGTAGTTCCTCTCTCGATTGGCTGAGAAATTCTTAAACTCTCGTACACATTTGTTGTCCCCGCTGGAGCAAGGTTCACATCCGGTGACGATCCGTACGCTACATTCGCATAAGTGGCGTTTTGATTTTGAGGACTGGCAATTCCTTTATTATCTAGAAAATGTTACAGTATGATTTCATAATTTAATTGACAAATTTAGCTGTTTTAAACCAATTTGCACGTGCATCAGATTGATAACATGAAGCAAAGATGTATGTATTTATATAAACAATCTGAAAGAAAAATTACTGATTTGATTCACTTCTTTCAATGTTTTCTAAAACAGGACAAATATTCCTGTATGCATTCTCACTCAAATTCCCAATTCTTTAGCTCAAATTTAATATACATTTCCAATAGTAAAGATTAAACACTAGTGGGAGCATACCTTTTTTGTCTCTCATATTTACATTATTCCAAAGTTAAAAAGGGTTCTGAAATAAAAAATGCATACATTTACAAATTATGCAAAATACATGTGCCCGTGATAGTCATTAACAATGTTCTCGTAGTTTTTTATTATCTGCTTTACTTAACAGAAAATATGAATATTCTCTTTTTGTTTTTCACAATAGACAATGCAGTAATCCAATAACTACAAAAACACTATGATCAATACCGCCCACCGATCTTTATTTTTATATTGATCAGTACAAGATGACACAGATCAATTACTCTGATATGAGGGACATTAAATACATAAAGGACGTAAATGGGGTAAAATATTTGAAAAAAACAATAATAGAGATGCGAGTGTCAATGGAAATACTTATAAAAATGTATTCGATGTAGTCGGAATATTTGCGGCATTAGACATATATTCTCATTCTTTGACTCGTCGCTGCACTTGTATTGTGTTTCCTACCATCTCTATTAAAAATACAATTCCAAACGAATCTGTATCATTTATTATGACCTGTGTTCATTCTATCAATTTCCAAAACACCTTTCGTGCAAAATATCTTTTTGCGTCCTTTATATTACCACTTGGCTGTTTTTTTTTCTGAGGGGATATCTCAATATGTAAAGACTTCACACTTAAAATGTTCCCTAAATTCGAAAAGAAATAACAATATCTGGTACGCAGCCTTATATAAAAATCCCAAATATCTTTAAAGGGGTACAGAAAACACATGACTTTTTTTAAAGCCTTTAATGCAGTTTAAATATGATCATAAACAACCTGCTTACTCCCCAATGTATTTGGATATCATTGATCCGTAGGTATATTATCTAATCCTTGCACAATAGAGAACTAATATGTAAACACCCTTATCGTTTTTGTCGTATCAATGAGGTCAACGAATACCTATTGGATAAAATGTTGAGCAATACATTTCACATCGTGTATGTCAAAGTTTCATTCTTTGTTTTAGATTAATCTTTGACGAACGATTTTCGTTGATTACATATGTTGATTGCTTCAGAGGTTTGATACCGTAGGATATATTTCCTAATCTACTTAGATAATTTAGAAATAAACATTGTCATATCGATTTCAAATTAAGATCTCCCCTCGCCTGAATAGCTATCAACGCCGATTAAAACCATATTTTATTTAAACCGGTGCCAGGAAACTTTCGTGAGAGGCTTGCTTTTTATTTTAATTGAAACATTGTAATTAGGGGCTTAAACCTTCTAATAAAAAAGTACCATGATAACTTTCACGATAACTTTCAATTATCTACTGATTTACAGAGCTATATCAAAAACCGACCATTCTCTCATATCATACCGATTCACAAAGCAGCAAAATCGATAATAAATGCTTGGCCAGAGGGTGCGGAGTGGTACCTGTAAATAAAACTATAAAATGGGGGTTGTGGTTACTTTTATTGTGCTTATATTAAGATAAGCATTTTACACCAACAAAGCTGGAAAAGGTATACCGCTAAAAGGAATATATTTATAACGCATGGAGCCCTAAATTGTATCGAAGGCGATTCTTTGGATTGGAAGGTACCGGTAGCCTCTAATAAAAATCCCATTATTGAGGTTGATATCAGACATTATTATTTGATACACAAAATGTGCAGAATGGCAAACCTTTATTTACTTACACAAAACCAATGTAATGTTGCAGAATAGAGATTGGCTGGTTTTCAAACGTTAAACAATGAGATTGCATATCTAAAATCACTATGATGAGGAACGATATCTAATCTGCCTCATGTTTTGACGACTGCATAATAAGGTTATAAATCAATATAGATGTGCAAAGCTGACCCAAATATGACGAGAGCGCAGACCTCCGCCAAGGCAGCAAATTATGAGTATTATTGATTATTGATTGATTATTGATCTGGATCACCACCAAAAACTTATCATTCTAAGTTAACCCATCTCTGACCTACCCTGAAAATTTCACCAAAATCTACCCACAACTTTTTGAGTTATGTTGATGATTGATTTTTGATTATTGATTGATTATTGATCCGTTACCACCAAATACTAAATATATCCTCATTGGCCTACTTCTGTCCTACCCTGAAAATTTCATCAAAATCGGTCCGTAACCTTTTCAGTTATACTGATGACAGACAAACAGACAGACAAACAGGGGTGAAAACATGGTGGAGGCAACAATGACGACAACATATATATTCAAATCTTACTCAAACCTACGTCAATCACCCTTTTTGCTTACTAGCGCATATGAATCAGCATATGTATTTAAAAGGTTGATAATACGCACGTTTTGTTGACAAGTAAGCGGTATCTCTCATACACCACAATTGTCCGTCCTGGTTGATTGCGTGTACACCACTTAACCCGAAACAATATGTAGCATATCACCTCACGTCAGCCTAACATAAGTGGGTGCACATCTTTGGGGGTCCAAACTCCATACCGGAAATCCTCAAAGAAGCACTTGTTTATATGCTCTATGAGATATTAAACAATTAAGTCCTCAGACATGCTATAAAACTAAAAAATAATTAAATAAACTACCAGTCAGGTGAAAGAGCACCTGTAAATTTACAGTGTATTCGGTAACAGTGGACCACAATGCAACTGGTTTTCTCTTGTGGACGTCAAATTATCCTGCTAATGATATGTGTTAGTTGAGCCGCCTTGACATACTATACCAGTACATTTAAAGCATTGATGACGAGTGCAATTGCTCAATTATGACTTGTCAGAGCAATATTTAGTAAACACAAGAAAGATAGAAAGGTAAATGGTCAACTGCGTTTTTTTTTCTATGAGAATGATTTTTTAATGACTTTGGAGCTAGAAGATACACTTTCTGCTATTTCCGCCTCCCATACATGCGTCATTATATACTAAATTACATTCGGTTTCGCCTTGATTGTCACCTTGAAATCAGTTGTTATTAAATAAAAAACAAACATTTTCAAATGATGTCTCATTGTATTTGCAAAAGGTGATTTTTGTGGTTATTACGAATGCCCTCACGACAACCCTCGCTTAATCACAGTAAGATCGTATTTTTAAACTGAAATGTGAACACTTATGAAACACAATATCTTTCCCTGACGTAACCAAGTAACATAAAGATGTAATATTTTTTTTACCAATGTAAGTGAATGAAATATTCATAATCAATCAAACGACTGACCAATCAGAGGAAAGGACACATGTAACCAATTAGATGATGAGCAATATGCAGATTACAACGAAATTGCAAGTTCTGATGTAATTTTGGAGGAAATTGGTATTCAAAATTCAAATTAAATAATTGTTCAATTACTAACTTTCACTTTCAAACAAAATGTTGTTTTGCAGAACTCAGGAAAATGCAATGGACCTCTGCTGCAAGGACATTGATCTGAGCTAATATCAATATATGTATAAACAGTAAATTTTAAGTTTATTTATGTCTGGTCCATCCCAGTGTACCACAAACTTTCATAGTCCCATTCATAACAAGAAGAAGACAAGTAAGACTATCGATTGTTCGTGATTTGGCCAAACAAGGCCGCTTTTATTATATAAACTCACTATCCTAATAATTTTAACAATACTAACGATGTAGCAAATTGTTGCCCGCATTAAATGTTATGGCCTTAGGGATAAAAATTATATATGAAATATTCAATAAGACTCATCATCCTAAAAATTATGATGTGACGAGTCAGCAAAAGTTTTTATTTTCAAACAACAAACTTTCCTATGATAAGAGGTCTCACCTTGTGAGTTTGTCCAACGGTACCTGACAGAACACAAACATCGATAGAGCGTCCCACCAGGATTGCAGCCCATGCACTAGTGATTAAGTATGCCAATTGTCGCGATTAAATCTTGTTCAGGGATGCAGTTCCGCACCATACCGATTAGAAATAGAATATAAATAGAACTAGAACTTGTTAAATTGATGATAAAAGTTTTGATTGACTCGCGCATATACACGGCAACGAGAAATATAAAATCTGATATATCCCAGGGGGATTTTTCTTGTTTTAAATCACATAGGTAGGTGCATTGATGAATATTTAGACGAAGCAAAATCTTAATTTTGGTATGTGGATGATAATAAACACTTGGAGTACCCTTGAAGATGCTTCCTTCGAGATAACATTGCACTGCAAAACACGCAATTCCAGAATGACATAAAGATACCGTGTACCTAAATTATCCAATTTAAAGGCCACACTTTTTATTTTTATGGATGACATCCTGCGCGCGCACCAATTTTCGTCCGTTCTCCCCCAAAAAAAAAAAAAATCCCCTCCCCCCCCCAAGGAAGTCGGTTGTCGCAAACGTCGTTATTGAATTTGCCGGAAAATGCAATCGGCAATCCTCGGCTAGTTTCGCAAGCTCCAAACTGTCATTGTCGACTGCGGAGACATCCGAGTAGTTCTGAGTGCGGAAAATGAGCTTTCTGCGCATGCGTATTATCACCACGTGGAAATATGGCCGCTTTGCCGTCAAATTCATCTCTAGCATTAATTTCAAAATACACGACAATTAAAGTCATAAAGAGAATGGGGGCCATCGTTTTGGATTGGTTTGCCATTGATATTGGACATGGAGATATCACCTTTTTACAATTATACGAAAGGCTGGCCGCGGCCAGCGATCATCGCCCGGAAAAATTCAGTGACATTCTGTCCAAAGCAGCACATACCAGGTATTTTCTGTAGCGAAAAAAGGGTCGACAAGAGCGTCGTGGTATTTAATTGGTGGACTGAAGGTCGGACAGGCCACCCGATAGTTGGCTGCTACGTGTGAGTCGAAGTAGACAAAATGGCATCGACCGAAATACCTTTTTTAGATTTGGTAGTATGAAGCATAGGCCTATCTTTGCTTCATTTTTTTAACAATTCTGTGGAGTGTTTACAATGCTTTAATTTTCTGAGAGTACAAATAAAGACACACTGTTTATTTGATATTTATTTTATTGATTGCTATACCAACAGAATGCATGAAATAACCTTAAATAGATTTGGTAATATGCAGCATATATATTCATGACTTTTTACCTTTCTACGAAGTAGGCCCTATTCACAATGCTTTAATATTTTGAGAGCATGGATAAAGACATATTGTTAGTTTGATAGGTGTTTCTGTAGTAAATTAGTGTTTCCAGCTGTGTACTGAAACATAACTTTTCTTAAGCAGTTTTTTTTTTGGACTGTTTTTTTTTCGCCCACTCGCACCGATTTTGGGGTCCCCAGAGGATGTCATCCATAAAAATAAAAAAGTGTGGCCTTATTGCTATTTCATGGTCTCACTGGTGTTACGTCAGCCTACCGATACAGGGTCGCTTGTCACCTTGGTTGATGAGTCAAAAACCATACCTCAGTCCGACATAATAAAAACAACATTAGCTTCGGTTTAGCATTTAAAACGAATTTATTGAAATCTAAAAAAAAACACTCAATATAGTAGAATGTATGTAGACGTAGGTAAATTAAATTTTACGAATTTTTCAACCATTTCCCCTGAACCATATAATTGTAGGTAGATTTTAAACAAAGTCTTTAAAGATAGTTGCTGAAAATACATTTTGATAAACAATGTGTTGATTTTCACATTCTACGTATTCTTGAATTTGTATCATAAGGTAATTTCCCAAAAAGATATACATAATAACTTGCTTTCTATTACAGGTTTTCCGATGCAAATGTCAGTTATGTCACGCACTGCTTAAATGCACATACGAGGTATAATCCTAAGCTACGCTAAAAAGATGCATTCTACTCTTACTCTAAACTAAAACGCTATTTCAATAATAATGCAAAATTGATAACATTGACCATAAAATATTTGATGCTATTTTAAACAGTCTTAAAAACTAATAACCATGTATCAAGCTTCGATTGTATACAGGCAATATCAGACTTATTAAAATGGACTTAGAAAAACCCCGGTGAGTCGCCGTTAAAAGGAAGAATTAAACATAAAACAACGGGCTGGTCACGTGGCTGGTCAGAGGAGGTACCGATGTTACTTGGAAGTGATTTACGAACCCATCACACTTGACCAATGCTCCACTCTGACATGACATAATTTATGTAAGGGTAAAGCACTGGTTAGTAAATCTGCGGTGATTTTTTTTTTTTTTTTTTTTTTGCATGAACAAAATATCAACAAATAACAAAATTTAAAAAAAAATTGTGAAAATTGTGGAAAAAACAGAGTGCGGATATGTTACTTTTCTCTCCCCCCGTATAAGGTTCACTAAGCCACTGACTAGGATGGGGGAATTGACGCTTTTCTAAATAGTCCGTTTTAAGATGCATAGTCAAAAACAAAGAACGCCAGCGTCTTCACCGTGACTACAGTCTTCAACAGCCCAACCGTTGTGACGACATGACCCAATATTGGATTCTGAGCCTATGCAACCGACATTGTCCAACCAAATGGTTCCTTTACCTTGCCCAAAATATGCACGTTCTACAGCAAGTGCGTTGGAATATGGAAGATTTAAGGACTTGCAGAAAACTCTGGCATCAGTGTTATCCCAGCTGTCATCACAAACTGTTCCCCAGTCTCCATTATGGTACACTTCTACCCTACCACCGTATTTGCCATTGATATTTATTCCAATAAGACGGTACGGGTGACGGGAAACAAAAGCTGGAATGTTCAAACAAAACATTTTTAAAGAGAGAGTATTTCATTTATGATCCATTTATCTTCGCTTTATCTTTTTTGTGAGCTGTATTCTGTCATATCATGACTAAATAATATTGTCCTATCATTCGGTATTTAATAAAGCAAAATTTTATTCTATTCCATTTGCGTTAGAATAACATCTCCTTCCAGACACAATCTAGTGAGTTATATCAAATTATATTTCATGTTTTTCGTTTACCTGATTCACAATTCTTGCCTGTATATCTGGAAGGACAGCTGCAGGAATACGTGAAAGTTGCATTCCTACAAATGGCGCCATTCTGACATGGTCGGCTGCGACAATGATCTACTTCTGTAACAAATAAGGTGATTTTTGTTATCATGCTCTTGTTACTTTTATTGTCCTTTATCGCGTATGTAATTCGTGAAATGCATGATCTTAATCATTTCATGTTTCATCGTACAAATTATATCTATAATAAGTCTCACCTTTGCAGTTTGTCCCGTAGTACCCTTCAGAACACAAACACCGATAAGAATTCACCATATCAACACACGTCCCACCATTCTGACAAGGACGACTGGAACATTCACTGATTTCTAAAATTGCACAATGTTAAGTCAAATGAAAAAAATGACAGAATTTTATGATGGAAATGAAACAAAATGCACTCACCATCCAAATTACACAGGCTGGTGCATTCAAAATGTCGTTTTTACCAAAATGCCATGCGCCATCTGTATGGGTCTTATAATTAATGAACATGCGAATATCCTACCTAGCTGGCAATATGTGCCAGTAAAACCACGTGGACAACTGCAGTGAAAACCACCATAACTATTTCGACAGGTGGCGCCCCTGGCACATGGATTGTTCAAGCATTCATTTATATCTGTAAATAAACATAATAATTTGCACCTAAGAATTTATTTTGTAGTTCATTTCAATAAAATTGTTTCAGGTAAAGAGTACAAATAACAAATATAGAAACCCAGTGGATGTCAAAGTTTTCTCCAAATAAGTTCAATCTGTGAACTTTGATGTCATAATTAAGCAACACGATTTGGATATGCACTTACCGGTTTCACACCTTGTGCCTTGGAGACCCGAAGTACAAGAACACCGAAACGAACCCACCAGGTTCACACACGAGGCGCCGTTTTTGCATGGTTGGCTTAAGCAATGGTTGGCCACTTTAGACATATATAAACATCATTTGAGTTCGTTACAGAAATGTTATGTCCTACCTGTATATTTCTAGATCATAAATATTCATATTCTGAGTATGCCATGTTTGGAATGTATGAAATTTAACTGCCGTTTACGATGTGGAAGTAAACCAATAGGTTCGTTGATTTTTAAACATCAGAATAAAAAAATAATATATTAAGAATACATTCAACGGTTAAATGACTTTCACTGCATATTTCTTAACTCCTCATCACACAGATATAAAAAGAGGTCAGTCGTTTAGTAAATAAATCAAATGATAATTGATTGTTTCTAGTGAAAAGGTAACATTGTGTGATTTTTAATTTTAGAATATCCATTAACCTATAGTAATTCTAGTGCTTGTGATGAAGCTATTGGTGTAACTCTTACTTGTTTCACAATTACTTCCTGTGTATCCATGGGGACAGCTGCAAGAATAGTTGATAGCATGACTCCTGCACGTGGCGCCATTTTGGCAAGGGCGGCTGCGACATGGATCTTTCTCTGTAATATAAAACATAGCGTAGTACCGGAGCGTAGTACCGGAGAAAGCTTAACGCATTCGTTTTTGCGTGTTTGAGACTATAATTTCTACAAAATATCAGTTTGAGGTAAATAATAGGCAAACAGAAAGGGTTTTATTAAACCGTGCTCTATATTTATAATTATTAAAGAATTAATAAATAACCAATAAGTCCTCTGATATTTACAAGGCTATAAACTTTTCTTTTCTCATTTCGTCTTTTCTCCTTTTCAAAAAGCGTATTTTCTCTGGGCAATGACTGTTCTTAATAGCGTACTAATAATGACACAGAGAGAGAGAGATGTCCAAGTTGATATTTGATATAAAGGAACAAAGAGAACATTAAACCCCTACCTTGGCAGTTAGTCCCGTAATACCCGGCAGAACACAAGCATCGATAAGAATTTACCATGTCAACACACGTCCCACCATTCTGACAAGGCCGACTGGAACATTCACTTATTTCTGTAAAGTTAATATGAGAGATTTATGTAAGCTGGTGAAAGGGGCAATGTAATTTAATCTTTAAAACAAATGGAACGCTTCACGAAAATGTGCGTCATCCTTGCGCCAAAGCCACTTATAAATAACATGGAAAACGTTGTGCTGACTTTGCTACTTTTGCAATTTAATGTGAGAGATTACAAAATTTAAAAAAAATCATTTTATATGTTTCCCTTTCTGTGATAAGGATGGTCCGTAAAACACGACCTATTTTACTGCCATCTCAATTTTGATATACATGTAATTGAGATTTTTCCAACTTTCTTTCACCAAAACTGTTCCATAAGGATAGCCATTCTTGCAAATTCTCTAGAAATTGCAAACCTTAAAGGAAGTCAAATTTCAATTACTGGTAACGTACTTTTTCCACGCTCTTAGCTGCTGAATGACAGCGGCCATACGAATCTTGAAATTGGCATTGACCTTTGCAATCATGTGAGCCGGGTTGTTCCTTACTTTTCTCGATCCGCATGTTGGTCTTCAAGGTGTCTAGAGTTTGTGGATTTTAGCATAGATTCTTTCTTTAAGTTACCTAAAAAGGAAGAAATCTGGGGGATTGAGATCTGGAGAGAAGGGTAGCCAAGCGAAGTGGGATGATGATGACTACCTCAAAGGATTCCAATTCCTGCAGAATTTGCAAGGATAGAATGGTCATCCTTATGGGACAATTTGGGGAAAGAAAGTTGGAAATATCTTTGTCGTATCATACTTGAGATGGAAAGTAAAATAGGTCGTTTTTTATGGAGCACCATGTATCTTAGTATCAGTTGAAGTATAATACCAATTTGACATAATTTGCCAGTAAAACCAGGAGGACAATCGCATTCAAAACTGCCATGATTATTTCTACAGGTGGCGCCCCTGGCACATGGGTTGTTCATGCATTCATTTTTGTCTACAAAAAATATAGTTGTACTTTTAACTTATAATTTTATGTCTTTATACTTTTCAATCCGTTATTATGGCAAATATGTAACAATTACTATACTTTGAATGATCATATTGAGTTACAAAGGTAGAAGAAAAGTTTATACAAATATTATGATTGTGCACAAGAGTTTGATGGTTATAAAATATCGTAATATCACCTTAAAGTGCAATGAAAAATTGATGCAGTTCACATAGATTTGTGATGCAAAAAGTAATGATAGACCTTCCTAGGACATTCAAATTACACAGGCTTATGGTTTGGTACCTACCGTTTTCACACCACGTGCCTTGGTAACCGGAAGAACATGAACATCGAAACGAGGCCACATAGTTCTCGCACGTGGCACCATTTCTGCAAGGTTTGCTTTGGCAATGGTTGGTCACTGGAATAAATAAACATGTATAATGCCACATCCCATTAAGATTCGTCATACCTACATTACGGACTGATATCTGCTTATAAATCATCTTTTTAAAGTTGGGTTTTCACTTTGGGTGGATTGGCATTTTTTCCCCTTTTCACCAAATTTATGCTGAGATACAATATTATATCAATTGACTCCCTTCGTTAAATTACCATTTGACCCATTGTTTGCTGAAACCAAACTCTCAAATTCATGGTTGAGTTTGTCACTATTTTCTTTTTGGGTAAACGCTAGCGACCATACAACAATAGCAACCAATGCAGCGCACATGATTCCCACTAACACCAATGCTATTTGTAACCGTCTATTGACTTTTGTCTTTGGTGGCTGTGTAATGCTTGTATTGGGATCATCGGCATTGTCAGTTGGACCAGAAATCCTTAAACTCTCGTAAACACTTGTTGTCTCCTCTGGAGCGAGATCCATATCCGCCGAAGTTTCATATGTTGCATTTACATACGCGGCACTTTGGTCTTGAAGAGTAAATAACTTGATACCTAAAAGTAGTTATAGCATGATTTCATCATGGAATTGACAACTCCATGCAAAGTGATAATTTCAGATCGCCTGAATATCAGGCTCACAAATAAATAAGTAAAGGTGAGAAACCAATATATATATTTCCAAAGATTATATTTAACACAGGGAAAGCATATTCATTTTAATAGCTTATACTTAAAACATGTTTATTAAACGAACCCTATTCATAAGAACTGATTAACCCATGGATGCATACCTCTTGAATCTGCCATGTTTACTTTCTTCGAATTTCAAAAGCTGTGGAATAATAAAATGTTGTATTGCCACATCTTTCAAAGTTTGACGCATATTGCAAACGAAGAAAATGTAAATGTGCATTTTGCAACTACGACACATTTTACGACAGTAATGCATTTTAACGGTTTGAATAACATATGTATTATATAATATAGGTTCACGCATATTCTCTTTCTTATTTTTCTGAAAATAGGATGAACCACGATTACAACATTGCCGTTATAACTTTGGAGCCGTGAGGGGAGTGTAGTTAAAGGATTTTTGGTTCAACATTTCAAACCAAACACTAATGCTAAACGCTTGTCGCTAAAAGCAAATTACTGCGGATTACAGCTGGATCAGTGTGTAAACAAGGATGAAAGCGCTGTACTATATTGGTTAACGTTTCAGTGACATACAAAAGTTGATTGTAAATGCGCCGTGGTTGCAGGATGCATAATGCTGATGTAAATTGTTTTTTCTTTATTCTTTTTGCGGTCGTTGTTACAGTTGCTTTGAATTAAAAGCATGAAATATTACGATAAGCGACCCTTCGCGCTTTCTGTAACTGACATGTTGGTAAATGTGTTATCTACAACCGCTCTACATTAGCAATGAAACTTAACTAAAATGCAAACTTTCTAATCAATTTTGCCCTCCCCCCATAGACCAAAGGATATTGAAAAATAGTTGTTTAAATTTAACATTTTTTACTTCTTCTTAAAGTCATTTTCAAGTCGTTATAGTGCAGGATCCCAGATTTTCAGCCCCTATAAATCAGGGTCTGCCAGCCACACCCAACCACTCAATCTGTCTGTCAGTGTCTATTTAATATACTTGTGACCATGCTGAAAGACCCCCGATAGGTTTCTAAGGGTTCCCCTAAAAAGTCCTGTTAGCTGGATTTGAGGGCTTTTGTTTTGAACCCTCTGACCGCACCCATCACTGGCAATACGACAGACTCCCATTTTCATATAAAGGTAAGCATGTAGGTCATTGCCAGGTACAAGAAAATTTGTGATCTTTTCGGGCATACTCAACCCTCTGGGATCTTGGACTATTATTTATCTAATATGTAACAATTACTATACTTTGAATGATCATATTGAGTTACAAAGGTAGAAGAAAAGTTTATACAAATATTATGATTGTGCACAAGAGTTTGTGATGCAAAAAGTAATGATAGACCTTCCTAGGACATTCAAATTACACAGGCTTATGGTTTGGTACCTACCGTTTTCACGCCACGTGCCTTGGTAACCGGAAGAACATGAACATCGAAACGAGGCCACATAGTTCTCGCAGTTGAAATGTTTATCTAATAGATAAATAATAGTCTAATAGATAAATAATAGTCCGAGATCCCAGAGGGTTGAGTATGCCCGAATTTAAAATATTCAACTGGAAAGGTACAATAATAAAACTACAAACAGAGCCTACCCCGCACTTAAAACCAAAGAGCTTCACTGTCATCACATATTACCAATTATATCACATTGTTATCATTTGATGCAAATATACATGTGCTTTAAAATTTTTGATAAGTAAAACAAGACTTGTAACCAAAAGATCGTAATGTTTCAGGTTGAAGACTATCTGATTCTGATTTTAACAAAGAAATGACTCTATCGCTTAAGTCACTATGATAACACAACCATAAGCACAACCATTTTATCCACACTCACGAACATTTCATTCCCGTCAACATTTTAACTTTAAAATGTGGAGCACCATAGTTGCAGAATTGTGAGATGAGACTATTTATCTATAGAAGTATAAGCATAAATACTCCATACCTGTAAAAAGAACATAATTATTGTACTTACCAGGCGTCTCAACAGCCTTTTTACTAATGTGACACTACGCACGTTTGTTGACAACAAAACTTTAGCTCTCACGCTGAAACTAGCAATATTACTTCCTGGTTCACCTACAAGTACAACACGTGACGGGGAAAATATGCGACATTGCAAAACGTTTGCGTCTAAAAGTGGTTGCTTATTTTTATTTATTTGAGCTTCATTCATATAGTAGGGGCAGTGCGTTGACTATGAAGTCAGGTGCTGATATTTTTCTTTTTTCATTTGTAAAGACAAAAAATTACCCCCCCCCCCCCCACACACACACACACAAATAATATATGTACTGAATAACTTCATAGCTTTACTTGTGTGCTCATAAAATTCGATTCAGGTGCTGAGGCGTCTCGGGGTACAACTAAAGCCAGCTAATGACGACGTGTGACGGGACTCAATCGTTCACTTCTGTGTGGGATGGTCCGACTTCGCAACTTACACTAAAAATCGTTATTATCTTAATTTTCAGCATTTTCCACTTAGTCACCCATGTGTGATATACAGGGTATCTCACATCATCACCCAGGTGTTCTATATCTCATATCGCGAAAAATTTAAAACATGAATTTATTAGGATAATAGTAACAATTCCCTTTTTTTGCTTCATAAGAGAATTTAAAAAGGAGAAACGAATGTGGATAATAATAGTACATAACGGTATATTTTATAAATGACACCCCATTATACATTAAAATTCACTTAAAACTTAAAATACAATACTATATCATAGTTTAAGAAACTATACCAGATTGCTTAATATTAAAATCAGAACTACTAGAATTATTATACGAAATTCACAGCATTAAACATTAAAACTTGTAAACGCGAATTTAAAACTGTCTTTAAAACTAATGCTCAGCTTTGGGTTAACTTTTTATATCTCATTCCGGCAATAACATGCTAACTAAAATGGAGTTCGAAGAGCCCGAGTGACACGCACTAAAGAAGGAAAGAGCTAAAAACGATGGACTGGTCACATGATTTACGAGACTACTAGGCACCAGCTGGAGCTTGGATAGCTTGGAAGGGAAGTTAAAGGAGTCATCTAGAGAGGAGAGAACCCGCCACTGAACCCTACTGGAGAAATAAGATTTATGAAGATATCAATTATGAAATATAACATGATTTATGTTAGGACAAAGAACCGGTGTGTAAAACAGAAAAAAATTCCCTCTTTGCATGACCGAATTTCGACAAAATATATAAGAATCAACGGTCACTCATCTTAAATCAATATGACGCGATGCTTTTGTTACTCCTCTGTATAAGGTTTATTCATCTGAAGGAGGTGACACATTTACGAAAAAAAATTTTAAAATACGTATCATGTTTTCACTTCACCCAACATGGAAAGGGGAAAGGCAAATATTTGGCAAGTGTAAAAGAGCATGTGTCTGTTATGAATAAAGTTTATATGGCCAGTATTATCCGCTGAGATACCATACCCAGTACGTGTGGTAAAGGCACTTTAGATGCAAGTTAATACGAATGAACTCAAACATTCGCTGGTGTTAGATAAATATTTTAGTCTGAAATTAATTACAGATTAAAAGTTATTGTAATAGACCCCATACTTTATTGAAGGACCTTAAAGTGACCAAGTATGATAAAAACATACAGGGTACGCTTTTAACGGTGTGTGTATTGACTGCTGTATTTTCCCCTTACTGATTAAATATATATTTACCTTTTTAAACATTTTTATTCACATTAAAGGTTAAATATTAGTTTCAGTATAAATAAAGGTGGCAAGTTGCCGAAGCAGTATACGCTCACCTTAGAAATATCAAGTCATGAAATTAGATTTTAAAAATAATAATAATAATAGTGATAAATAAAAATATTCAAAGAAAAGACGAGTAACGAGTACATAAGTGAAATCTGACATTTGAGGAGAGGGAGGAACAGGGCATGTGGGGAAGGTGTTTGTGGGAGGCAATAGGCCATCTCACTTGCACATGTACATGATAACCGGTTCAAATGCTCAATAGAGCTGAAGTTGTATTGTGTACTGTATGTAGCAAAATAGCATTTATTTGACAGGACTATTTGTGTAATACATTCGCCTCTTGATAACACAAAGCTTTTATCCCGAGCTCGAGGTCGTTCTTTGACAAAACAATTTCTTTGCAAAGTTGCAATAATAAAAATGCTCTTAGACCTTGCCCTTAATTTAAAAGAGATCTCGATCAAAGGATACGGTTGGCGTGGATATTACACGGTATTATTCGATACAGAGATTCGTACCACAGCAGGTGATCTTTATTGACAACGACGCGTGTAAAACGACATGACAAGGAATACAGATATTCCCTGGTTCCAGTAAGTTAAATACGGACAAGACTAGATCATAGACATTCAACCCACTCAATAAATCTACACCTGTGTCGGCAGATTCGTGTTTCACTTTAGGGTATAAAGCGACCCATGCATAACGATGGTATTTTCTGTACCAAGTAGGCCTATTTATACATTTAACTATTTTAATGTTAAAACAATCTCCAACAAACTTAAGCTACTCAATCCACTTACCAGTGTATTCGTGGAAAAAAAACAACACGTTTGACCTGACTATGTGCCAACTTCTACTAAGTGCATGTCTGTTTCACCTGTCCTCGCGGCCGATCACATCACGTGGTATGAAAAATACGCAAAATAACAACACGATTACAAAGAACAAGGTAAAGGTTGTCCGACTTCGCAGTGTGTGCCTGGTCTTTGCGGATCCGTTCGATCAAGTAACGATCTCACCCAACGATCTCACCCCAACACACAGACAAACGGAGGTGAAAGCATAACCTCAACATACACTCTTATCGCACTGAATAACAAAATTCGTTGATCTCCGTGTTAAACGTACTAACGCAAAATTTAGGGTAGCACACATTGATCAGGGACCCAATTTCATCACCACTTGAGAGCGTTATCCTATGGACAACATTATCCTTAAAAGTGTTACCTCTGGACAAATATCCTGAGGGAGGCAGCCTTTTTTAACCACTGGAAAGCAATATATCAAAGACAAAAACAAGTATGTTGTGTTTAGTAAATATTATTTTCGAAACATTTAAGTAAAATTATTTTGCCAAAAGGATGACAATTTGATCTAATTGATAGTTTTATCCAGATGATAGAGCTAAACAGTGTTAATGATACTGTGCCCAAGATGATACCAGAATAACACAACTAGTGAATAATATCAAAGAAAGGGTGATGAGTGGTGGTGTTCATTGATATTTTTAACAAGCAATACCAGAATGACATAAAAATACCTTGTACCTTAACTATCCTCTTATTGCCATTGCACGTTCCCACTGTTGTTACGACATGCTACTAATTCAGGGTCGCTTTTCAATTTCATTGGTTGTTGGGTCTATATATAAATCAAGAGAAAACTAATGTTGAATGCGTTACCTCATTCCAACATAATAAAAACAACATCAATATCGGTTTAGTATTTTAAACTAATTTATTGAAATCGACATAACACTCAACATACTAGATTATATGTAGATGTAGGTAAATAGTATTTTCCGAAATTTTCAACAGTTTCCCCTTACCCAAATACATACCGGTATAGGTACATTCTAAACTATATCTTGGAATATGGTAACTGAAAATACATTTTAATGAACGCTACCGCGCTATCCACATTTTACATATTCATTCAAGCAATTTTCCAAGGAGAAATGAAGTAAATAATATCCGTTATAATTGAATAAATAGCATTTCACTTCAAATATTTCAATGCAATTGACAGTTATGTTCACTGCTTAAGAGATAACCCTATGCTATACTAAAATGATGCCTTCATGCTCTAATCTTAACTAAAAACCACTTACATAATAATACGTTGAAAACATTGACCATTAAAACATTTAATGCGAATTTTTGTCTTTAAAACTAATTATCAGTCAATAATATGTGATTGAATATTATTTCTCATTCCAGACAATGACAGGTTTACTAAAACGGATTTGGAGGAGCCGCGGTGAGACGAATTAAATAAAACAATGTGCTGGTCACGTAATTTGTCAGAGGGGACACCGAAACCATCGGGGAGATATTTGAGAACCCATCACTGAACCACGAAGATCTGTGATTTCTTAACTCTCCACTTGACCAGTTCATTGGATCACTGAGACTAATTTCCTTCTAGCAGATAAATGACACCCATCATAACGTCTGTTCTGCTATTGCTTTGTATTTACAACACTTATCTTTGTCTCCTCTTATGTGAAATGTCGCTACTGGATGAATCAGAACATTTTTTCTCTTTTCCAAAGTGTCTTTCATGGCTGGACCAATATAGGCTACTTTACCAGCATAGCCTACTGTACCTTCAAGAGTCAATGTCCAAAAGGATATGGTGGCCATTATAAGGTCACGTGTCTGTCCTACAACCTATCAAGACTGATATAACATTGAATATGTAAGGTGAAACACTGGTCTGTAAATTTGCGGTGCAGGTATTTTCTTGGCATGACCAAATATAAGCAAATTACAAAATTAAATAAAACATCAACAATTGTGAAAGCAATAGAGTTCGGATATGTTACTTTTCTCACCACCTGTATAAGGTTCAGTAAGCCATTGACAAGAATGGAGGCGACGTTTTTCAATATAGACAATTCTAAGATGCATCATCAAAGGCAAAGAACGCCGGCGTCTTCACTGTGATCACAGTTCTGATTTCCCCAACCGCTATGTCTACAAGATCCAATATCGGGTTCTAATCCTGAGCAACTGACATCGTCCAACCATATGCGTCCACTACCTTGTCCGAAATAGGCGCTTAGTGCGGCAACTGCGTTGGAATAGGGAAGATTTACAGACTTGCAGAAAACTTTGGCATCAGTATTATCCCAGTAGTCATCACAAACTGTTCCCCAAACTCCATCATGATTCACTTCAACTCTGCCACCGTATGTTTCATTGATATTTATTCCAACAATACGGTACAGATGACGTTGATAAAAAGCTGGAATTTTCAAACAAAACCTGTTTAGAGAACAAATATTTCAGATAGGATCCATTATATCAAAACATGATTGAAGTATAGTTTTTAAATATAAATGTTGTACAGCATGTTAATATTTATAAGTCACTTATAATTGAAGTCTATTTACATCAGCACTAAATTTCTTTTTATCTGCAGTCTGACGAAAAAACATGTATCAATAAATTATTTCATCACACTGCCTTAACCTGATTCACAGTATCTGCCGGTGTATCCAGAACGACAGCTACAGGAAAAGGTGTTAGCATAACTCAAGCAAGTGGCACCATTTTGGCAGGGACGGCTGCGACATTGATATCCTTCTGTAACAAAAACTGCAAGAATTCAAACTATGGTTAAATTCACTAGCGTTGTCAACAACGGTAGTGCATATGAGTTCAGCGAGTTATACTTCTTTAAATAGCGATCCAGTTTTACCGAGAAATCGTCTTAATAAAAAAAAATTAAGGTAGCCCCTGTCTTACAGATAGATGTACATATATAATTCATTTTATAAATATGATAACTTGCCAGAACATATACTCTATATCATGGCTAGAACATTCACTAATTTCCGGCATTGCAAGATATCCTCCCCAAGCAGTAAAATGTCAACCCTGCCTCAATTATTTACATTGCTACAAGAATACCCATAGTTTAATTTTTCCATAACATAACAGCTAGACAGCTGATCGTCCTGTAAATTGATGAGTAGCAGAACATTGACTTACTTAGTACCTTGCGCAACCATTGAAATATTCCATCAACAATTATTTTGATATACGTTTCCTAGAGGGATACATCTTTTTACCAAGCAGTTGACAGAGGAGGAAATTTTGATCCGCCGAATTGCCAGGATATTGGGTTGCTCCATGAGAACCACAGATAGGGTTAGACAACATCATAACCAAACAGACACATTGACAAAATTTTAATTGCCTGGGTAAGGTCGATCAAAGTAAACCACACCCAGAGAAGAGAGAATGTTTATACGCCTTTCACTTAGAGAGCATTTCATGATATTTAATAACTTGACTACAAATTTAACAAGATCAGGACAACCATGTTTCTATGTTTACCGTCATAAGACGTGTGCACAATCACCGTTATTTGAGCACGGTTTCTGTCAGGAAATCAATGACTACTGCCCGGAACGAACCGTCTTCGGCGTGAAAGATGGTATACCGGGAATCTGGCATGGACACCAGCACATTACTGGGCAATAATACTGTTGTCAGGATTTACGGAGGCGCAAGGGTTAGGAGTACAGCTGGTAACAAGTATCTTCCTATTTGTCTGCATCTTGTGCACATTACACACTCCATGGGATATATTGACTACTATGGTGTAGGCCAGCTGGAAGTAGTCAAAGGGAACCTTAACACAGACACATACATCTTATTACTGGAAAGGAACTTAAGGAATGATATCGGGAATATTTTTTGGGACCATGGACACCTATTTATGTTTTAGCACGATAATGCTACTCCACGTACATGTACAGCCAGAGCAACAGTATGATGTATATATGTGAACCACATCCAAACCCCCTCCACCAGTGACCAGCTCAATTTTTTAGAGCACACTTTCTTAAGTATGTGTGTAATATCATCGGTAATGGATGAATAACCCTGCAAACAAAAATAATTTCATTCTATTTTGCACCGTATGTGGAATGACATCACTGTCCAAATGTTACATAACATTTAGTCTCCACGCATAAAAGATTAATAAATGACCCAACTTTTTTTATTTGCATATATAATTATTTAGAGGATGTCCTACCTAGTTGGCAATTTGCGTCTGGAAAACCATAGGGGCAATCACAGTGAAAACCGCCATAGCTGTTTCGACAGGTGGAGCCACTGGTGCATGGGTTGTTCAAGCATTCGTTTTGATCTGTATAAAAACAAAATAAATTTGCACCTTCCACTTTATTTTGCAGTTCATTTCAATTAATTGTCTTTGCCTTTTATTAGTCCGTTTTTAACTCATACATGATTGTATGTTACTTGAAAGTATGTACCTTTTCTTAAATGTAATTGATAAGGTAAAGGTCTGAAAGAAAGACAACAAGAGTAGATGCCGTGGTTCCTGTCTAGGGTGCAATAGGAAAACCCCCGTACGTCGACCGAAACAGTTTTCCTCCAAATGAGCTCATCAATCTATCTTTGTATGTCATGAGGAAAAACGATTTGAATAGCACTTACCGGCTTCACACCTTGCGCCTTGGAAACCAGAAGTACAAGAACACCGAAACGAACCCACCAGGTTCACACACGTGGCGCCATTTTTGCATGGCTAACTCAGGCAGTAGTTGGTCACTTTAGACATATATAAACATGATTAGATTTCATTACAGAAATGCTATGGCCTGTATCATAGAGATCATAAATACAGGGAGGGGGGTAGTCACATTTTTTGTATGTTATGTTTGGAATATATGGAATTTAACTGCCATTTCCGATGTAAAGGTAAACCAATGCCTTCATTGATTTTTTTTTTATATATATATATATTATAAAAAAAAATGCATCGCACTGTTTAACCACTTTCAGCTTACTTTTACCTCATCATCAAACAGATATGAAGGTGTCGGTCGTTTTGAATAAATGGTATTTTGCTTTTTTTCTACCGAAAATTCAGAACTGCTCTTTGGTTTTATACTATATATTAAAGAGTAAAAACTAAAGTGTTTATGAGGTAGTTATTGATGTAAGTCTTACATGTTTCACAATTACGTCCGGTATATCCATGGGGACAGCTGCAAGAATAGCTGATAGCATGACTCCTGCACGCGGCGGCATTTTGGCAAGGACGGCTGTGACCTAGGGATCCTTCTCTGTAATACAAAACGTAGCCCAGGAACGGAACGCCTGAGCCTCGTTCTAGAACTAGGCAACTTATACAATTTTGCAAAAATTTCTACAAAATAATTTGAGGTAATAACAAGCCTTTAGAAATGGTTTTCATTAAACTGTGTTTTATATTTATAATTATTGACGAATTTATAAATAACGAAAAATGATAATAAGAAGGTTTGTTAATGATACTTGAAATAAAGGCATAGAAAGAACGTCAAAACCTTACCTTGGCAGTTTGTCCCGTAGTACACAGTAGGACACAAACATCGATACGAATTCACCACGTCAACACACGTCCCACCATTCTGACAAGGATGACTGGAGCATACTCTTATTTCTATAAGATCAAAATATAGAACTATTGTAAGTTTGTAAATATATATACATGATCATTTTCCGTCATGGAAATGTTATGACCTTTATCATAGGAATCATAAATAGTCATAATTTGTGTATGTTATGTTTGGAATGTATGGAAATTGGCTACCATTTGTGATGTGAATGTAAACCAGTGACTTCGTCGATTTTAAAATTATTGGAATATGAAAATTATAAAAATGCATTCCACTGTTAAACCACCTTCATTGTATTTTTCCTTGTCATTAAACAGATATGAAGTTGCGCATGTGAAGGTATGAAATTATTGTTGCTTGTTTCTACCCAAAGTTCAGAATTGTGATATTTATAATATCCATTGTAGTAATCAAAGTGCTCATGATATAGTTTTTGGAATAACACTTACTTGTTTCACAATTACGTCCGGTATATCCACGGGGACAGCTGCAAGAATACGTGATAGCATGACTCTTGCACGTTTTGCCATTTTGGCAAGGACGGCTGCGACAGGAATCTTTCTCTGCAATACAAAACATAGCGCAGGAACGAAACGCCTGACCCTCTTTCTAGAACTAGGTACGTTTGCAATTTTGCGTGTTTAATACTATAATTTCTACAAAATATCAATTAGAGGTAATAACCAGCTTTAATAAATTAGTTTTCATTAAACCGTGTTTTATACTTATAATTATTGAAGAATTTTTAATAACCAAACAGTCCTCTGATTTCGGTTTTGTTCATAAAAAAAGCACTTTCTCCACATGATCAATTAATGTTCTTAATAGCTTGGAAAAATAATTATCAGAAGGTTTGTTCATTATGATATTTGAAATAAAGGCACAGGAAGAACGTTTGACTCTTACCTTGGCAGTTAGTCCCGATAGGAATTCAACATCGATAGGAATTCACCATGTCAACACACGTCCCACCATTCTGACAAGGACGACTGGAACATTCACTGATTTCTATAAATTTAATAGTAAAGACTAATGTGAACTGGTAAACGGGCAATATTATATGGTCGTAAAAACAAAACATCCTATAAATAACATGGATAACCGTCTACTGACTTTGTTATTTAAAGAATTTAATACGAGAGATAACAAAATTAAAATTTTCCCTTCACATGCTTTCCTGTCCAATTGTAGCATACCAAGTTGACATAATGTGCCAGTAAAACCAGGAGGGCAATCGCAGTCAAAACTGCCGTTATTATTTCTACACGTAGCGCCCCTGGAACATGGGTTGTTTATGCATTCATTTATATCTACAAAGAAAGAAAAAACAAAAACAAAAAAAATACTTTTAACAGAAAATTTCTGTTTTTTATACATTTTCAATCCATTAAAGGGATAACAACTCTTCGTTTCGGCCAAAAAATTAATTTTCCTGGAGTAAACAACAATTTTCCCATACTTACCAGTAGTTAATCAAACCATTTTTACATTCAAAGTCAGTCCCTGGTTTTTTTCTAAAAAGTTTGGTTTTTTGTTAAAATGTAAGAGATTTTAACAGAGTATAGCCATCAATGTAGGGTCACGTGGTCTAAAGACAAGCTCAGATATCAGAATAATAGCTATAACTGCCGTTTTTGTGGTAAAACAGAATATATTATATTTCTATGAGTTGTTCACAATGTTTTTATTGTGAAATATAGATCTCATACGAAGAGTTATTATCCCTTTAATAATACTAAACTTGTAATGATTACTACATTCTGGATAACCATATTGCCTTACAAAGGTAAAGAAAAAAGTTTTTGATGTGTTCAAAACATCACCCTATCAACTTAAAAGTGCAAAATTGTATTAATGAAGTTTCACATAGATTTGTAATAAAAAAATAATGCAAAACCGGTGTACCGGGACATTCAAATTACTCAGGCTCACCAGTATGAATGGTACCTACCATTTTCACACCATGTGCCTTGGAAACCGGAAGAGCATGAACACATGAACGAGGCCACAGAGTTCTCGCACGTGGCACCATTTTTGCAAGGATTGCTTAGGCAATGGTTGGCCACTGAAATAAAAAAAAACATGTATTAAGCCACATCGCATTAGATTATGCCATGCCTACATTTTCGACTGTCTGATTATTAATCATCTTTTTAAAGTTGGATTTTCACTTTGAGTAGATTGGCATTTTTTTTTTTTTATCTTTTCACCATATTCAAGCAGAGTAACAATATAATACCAAGTGTCTTCCTTCGTTTAATTACCATTTGAACCATTGTTTGCTGAAACCAAACTTTCAAAATTATGGGTGAGTTGCTCACTTTTTTCCTCTTGGGTATGCACAAGCGACCATACAACAACAGCAACCAGTGCAGCATATATGATTCCCACTAACACCAGTGCTATTTGTAACCGTTTATTGAATTTAATCTTTGGTGGCTGTGTAATATTGATATTGGGATCATCGGCATTGTCGGTTGGATGAAGCGTTCTTAAACTCTCGAAAACACTTGCTGTTTCCTCTGGAGTGAGAGCCACATCTAATGACGTTCCATATGTTGCGTTTAGATAGGCGGTACCTTGGTTTTGAGGAATAGTAAATAACTCGATACCTAAAAGTAGCTTTAACATGATTTCTCCATGGAATCGAAAACTTCATTGTTTAATTTGTAAGCAGTGTACACATTTTAAATTAAAATTTTTAATTTTTTACATTAAAATTTTTAGATTAAAATATTTGTGGTTTTCTCAGATCACATGAATATCTAGGTCACACCCAAATAAAGAAGTAAAATATTAAATGTAACACTGGGCAAACATTTCTGCAAGTACATCTCCCTTAACATATTAATTTTTATAGCTTAAAATTAAAACAGATTTATATAATCAACTGTTATCTATACAAATTAATTAAATTACTCTTAAATCCCTGGATGCATACCTCTTCTGCCTGCCATGTTTACTTTCTTCGAAATTCAAGAGCTGTGGAAAAATAAAGCGTTGTATTTACACATCATGCAAAGTTTGACGCATATTGCAAACAACGACGCACTTTACAATATTCAAAGAACATTTGTACCATAGGTTTACTTTTTGTCGCTTTCTTTTTATTCTGGAAAATAGGATGGACCCCGAAATACAACATTGCCTTTAGCACATGGAGTCGTGAGATGGACATGTTTATATTTTGTTCAACGCTTCAATGCTAAAAGCGGATTTCAGCTGGACCAGGGCGTTAAACGAGAGTAATGGTGATGTCCTAGATTATAGTTAAGCATCGGGAATGAAGTTGTTGTGAACTTATCATCCACCTCATAAATAAATCATCCACCTGTTTTTTCATAAGACTGCCTTAATTACAGGAGAACATGTACAGCGCAAATTACTTTAATTCTTAGATTTCTTTGGTTTCTCAACACGTTTCAGTGACGTACAAAATTCGGTTGTAAAATGAACCGTGGTTGCAGGATGCGTATATAAACGTGGAACACCATAGTAGCGCAATTGTGAAATGAGGTAAATTATCTATAGAAGTATATACATAAACATTCTAAACTTGGCAAATAAAATTACAGTACTTACCAGAGCTTTTGCAAGGTTGTGTTTTCAAACAGCCATTTTTACTAATGCAATCCTACGGACGTTTGTTGACAACAACGCGATAACTTCCTCGTTGAAACCAAGCAATATTACTTCCTGGTTCACTAACAAACACAGGACGTGACCACGCTCGGCTGTCACCTTGATTGGTTAGAAAACGATTGTCGCAAAATTACTGAATGATGTAAAACGGGTGCATAAACTTTATTACTACATAAAACGATATTGCAATGCCGTACTAGTATACCTTAAAGCAAAAAGAAAATATGATATTGGTTAAAGTATTCAAAACAGATGCCGTTAAATCCCCAAAGGTTCCCATAGAATCAATAAAATAGGGAGAGCTTGCCAAAAAGGCGAACCCACAGGCGCATTAAAAATTCAAATTACGATAGTGACAGCCGTCAAATCACACTCGAACTCGCTCCACTTACACTACACATCCCATTCACCATTTGTAAATCCCACTCCACATCGGTAGAATTCCACGATAAATTGCTCGCTTTTAATGTAGCATTGAACGGGCTTTATGAAATGGAGCCGTGCCATTGGGCAGGTATTTTTGGAATGACCCCTCGGTCAACAATATACGATTGCCATGTAAAATTATTCCACGATATATGACTATGAGTCAAAGCTATCAATGGCCCAATGATAGTAAGCTCTTCCTTACTTATTTCTAAAGCTGCGGTCACAGCACAACAAAGAGAATACAGTAAGAACCATAGTGACAGCCAAGCGTCAGCGTGACGAGAAAAATACATGGCATTGCAAAACGTTTGCATCTAAGAGTGGTGGCTTATTTATCTTGGTGTCTTACTCGCAAATCGGACCTACATTGACTATGAAGTCAGGTCCTGATATTATTTTATTTTCGTTTTTCAGTGTATTCATTGAAAAAACAACACGTTTGACCAGATTATGTGCCAACTTCTACTAAGTACTTGTCTGTTTCACCTGTCCTCCCGGGCGATCACATCACGTGGCATGAAAAAATATGGGACAAAACAACACGATTACAAAGGTGAAGGTCAAGGTTGTCCGACCTCATAATGTGTGCCTGGTCTTTACAGATCTGTTCGATCCAGTAACGACCTCACCCCAACAAACAAACAGAGGTGAAGACATAACCTCAACATACACTGCAATCGCATTGAATAACAAAATTCACTGATCTAGCCATTCCCATGTCAGCGTAAGTTTAGAGTAGCACACAGCGGCATATCTGTCAATTAAGACTCCGTTAAAAAAACTTGTTCTCCAAGACGACAGCAGCGAAAGGCTGAGACCCGGACGACCAAGACGTACTTGAATAAGCAACATCAGAGACTGGGCAGGAACGGCCAACAACCGTGCAGAAAAACCACGTGGCTGAAGGACTTGGTGTTCCATCGTCGTCAACTCTTGAACCAAGAACGGCACCCGAGTGACTGATTGACTAACTGCTTGATTGGTTAATATCTGGCTTAAAAAATTATTAACCACAAAGACATGTCAATTCTTTTACCCCCTGCTTTACCCCCTATATTCAGACAGTTCAGCGAGGAAACAGTGGGAACCGTTATGATAATGGGCTTTGGTGTGAACCAACCTTGGCCTGCAGACCTATCCCCTTTGGATTATTTTCATATAGACAGTGTCTGTGCCAACAATCCCCAAAATATTGATAATCTCAAGAATCACACTCAAACGAATTCCTCAAGATTGTACAGCAATACGTAACTTAGCATACAGGGATGTCAAATTATTTGCCATCGGTTATGTTAATTGAGTAACCAAAACATACAACTACAGCAATGTGAATGAAAACTAGTGCAACAGCTGTTTTCAATTAACATTTATTGATCAGGGCCCCAATTTCATCAACACTGGACTATCCATTTATTGCTATTTCATGGCCTCATTGGCGTTACGTCATACACACTGATACAGGGTCGCTTGTCACTTTAATCGGTTGACAAGTCAAGAACCATAGAAAACAAATTTGAAATACGATACTTCAGTCAAACATAATAAAAACAACATCAGCGTCGGTTTAATATTTTTCTTTAGAATTTATTGAAATCGAAAAAAAACACTCATTATAGTAGTTTCTATGTAGGTGTAGGTAAATAGTATTTTCCGAAATTTTCAAGAGTTTCCCCTTAACCAAATACTTATAGGTACATTTTAAACTATAACTTGGAAGACATAATGAATTCATTATAAATAGCTTTCCACTACAAATATATCAACGCAGTTGACAATTATGTGCACTGCTTAAGATATAGCCCTATGCTATACCAAAAGGATGCAATTTTACTCTAAACTTAACTAAAAACTACTAAGATAATAATACGAATTGAAAACACTTACCACAAAACTTTCAATGCTTTTTCAAACTGTCTCAAAAACTAAATATCAGTCAACAATCTGTGATTGAATATTATTTCTCATTCCAGACAATAACAGGTTTACTAAAGTATACTTGGAGGAGCCGCGGTGAGACGCCTTAAAAAGAAGAATTTAAAAAAAATGTGCTGGTCAGGTAACTGGTTACAGGGGGCACCGAAACCACCGGGGAGAGAGTTGGAGAACGCATCACTGAACCACGAAGATCTGTGATTTCTTATCTCTCCATTTGACAAGCTTAGTGGGTCATTGAAATTAATTTCCTTGTTGAAGATTAATGGCACCGGTCACAACGTCTGACCATTTGATTATTGCTTTGCATTTACAATATTAGAATTATCAATTTTTCCTCTTATGTGAAATCGCGCTATCGGATGAAACATAATATTCACTCTCTAATCCAGAGTGTCTACCAAGGCTGGACCAATATAGCCTACTGTATTAATGTCCCGAAGGATATGGTGTCCATTATAAGGTCACGTGTAGTCTGTACTACAACATTTCAACAGTGATATAACATTGTACGTGTAAAGTGAAACACCGGTCTGTAAAACTGTGATGACGTTTATTTTGTTGACATGCGCAAATATCAACAAATTACAAAAAAAAAAAAAAGATTAAATAATCATCTGTGAAAGTAATATTGTGTCACTATATATGGTACTTTTCTCTCCCCGGCCCCTGTATAAGGTTCAGTAGACGACTGACTAAGCTGAATGAGTTTCTAAATAATTCGTTCTAAGATGCATCATCAAACACAAAGAACGCCAGCGTCTTCACCGTGAACACAGTTTTCATTTCCCCAGCCGCTGTGTCTACACGATCCAATGTTGGATTCGGATCCTTTGCAGGCGATGTCGTCCAACCAAATTTTTCCTTTGCCTGGCCCAAAATACGCATTTTGTATGCCAAGTGCTCTGGAATAGGAAAGACCTAAGGACTTGCAGAAAACTTTGGCATCTGTGTTACCCCAGCCGTCATCACAAACAGTTCCCCACACTCCATTATAATACACTTCAACTCTTCCACCGTATGCACCACCGATATTTATTCCAACAAGACGGTACGTGTGACTGGACACTAAAGCTGGAATGTTCAAACAAAACATTTTAAAGAGAGAGTATTTAATTTATGAGCCATTCATCGCTGCTTTGTCCCTTTTTCTTTGTTTCTTTTTTGTGGGTTAAATTCTGTCATGATATGACTGAATTATGTTGTTTTATCATTCGGTATTTTACACAGTATTCCTTCAAAATTTTATTATTTTCCATTTGCGTCAGAATAACATCTGCTACAGTTTAGTTATATCGAGTCATATGTTCATGTATGTCGTTTTTTGTACACGGCTTACCTGATTCACAATTCTTGCCTGTATATCTGGAAGGACAGCTGCAGGAATACGTGAAAGTTGCATTCCTACAAATGGCACCATTCTGACATGGTCGGCTGCGACAGTGATCTACTTCTTTAATAAATATGGTGATTTTTGTTATCATGTTGTTACATTTATTGTCCTTTATCACGTATGCAATTCATAAAATGAATTATTTTTATATATGGGTTTCAAATCATAGCTATCATATTCCAAACATATTTGTTCATATAATTTCAAGTCTCACCTTGGCAGTTTGTCCCGTAGTACCCGGCAGAACACAAACATTGATAAGAATTCACCATGTCAACACATGTCCCACCATTCTGGCAAGGACGACTGGAACATTCACTGATTTCTAAAATTGCAAGATATTTGGTCAAATGAAAATAATGCCAGATTTTTTTTTTTTTGATGGAAAAGAAAAATATGCACTAACCATTCAAATAACGCATGTATTATTTTACCAAAACGCCCTGCACAATGTGTAAGGGTCTTATATAATGGTCAAAAATCGAAAAAAAAACATGCACGTTTTAACTTAAGTCCAATTTAGTTTTAATTTTGTATAATTGTTTATCGAATACCCTACCTAGCTGGCAGTACGTTCCAGTAAAACCACGTGAGCAACTGCAGTGAAATCCACCATAACTGTTTCGACAAGTGGCGCCCATGGCACATGGGCTATTCAAGCATTCATCTATATCTGGAAAGAAACACTTTATCACGTTACTGAGTTAATAGGATTGTCGAGAATAACCAGTAGATATAGTTCTCGTTTGTTTCTCATTGTACCCGCATATACAGTTATGGCTGCTGCAAGTATATGGGTGTGATTTCCCTAACATGTTCGCTACCTACCGTTTTCACAATATGTGCCTTGGTAACCGGAAGAACAAAAACATTGGAACGAGGCCACCGAGGTCACACACGTGGCACCATTTCTGCATGGTTTGCTTAAGCAATGATCGGTCACTGAAATACATACAGTCAAATCCCACTTTTTCACGCCAATAGTTTGGACTGATATTTAATGTATTGATTATTTCAAGTGTAAATTTCAAGTGGATATCCTCTCACAAATATTAATAAATATGATATTCTTATCATTCTCAGTGAGAAGCCCCTCCCCCTTCCCTTCACGTTTTCAGACACTTAAAAGCAACATCATCAATAGATAGCAAAAACCATACTGTAAATGATAGAATTATTGTTAAAGGCCCCGTCACACTAGAGGCGGAATGAGCAAGAATGCCGTCGGAAAGATGAATTCTTTGTACGTTCCTGGATATTCGAAGAGCATTCTAAAAATTCTGAGTGAATTTTCCAAATATTTTTACCCATTCTGCTCAAAACTTTCGAAGTGCATTCCAAGTGGAGAAATTTCAAATGGCATTCTAAGTTTATTCTAACGGCACTATGAGTGCATTCTAAACATTCTTAGGGCATTTCAACAGCAACCGAAACATTCTATTCTTAATATTCTGACTGCATTCTAACAGCATTGTCGATATTCTTAGTTTTCCAAGTACATTCGAACAGCATGTGAAGGCTAATACTGCCGAAGTGTTCACGAATCATTCCAGGCGGATTCAAGTGTATTCTGAGTATTCCAAAGGCATTCTTTCAAGAATTAAGGTGAACTTGAAATGTCTCTCCGAATGTAGTACGAATTTTGAAAATTCTTCATTCCGGCTGGTTCTTTTTTATTTCTGCTGATTCCGAATAAGTGTGACGGGGCCTTAACGAAGTACCAAGATGGTAGGTAAATTATTTGTCAAATATTTCCATACAATACTTTAAATATCGTGCGTCATCTGTCGTTTTCTTACAATTTGAAGCTTTCCTTGATGAAACCAAACTCTCATTATTCAGATCTTGTTCTTGGCCTATTCCCTTAGGGTTTAAGGCAAGTGACCAAACAACAATAGCAACCAGTGCAGCACATAATATTCCTACTATCACCAATGCTATGAGCAGCCGCCTGATGACCTGAGACTTTTGTGGATTTGTTGACTCTTTGGAAGGTGTAGTTCCTCTCTCGATTGGCTGAGAAATTCTTAAACTCTCGTACACATTCGTTGTCCCCGCTGGAGCAAGGTTCACATCCGGTGGAGATCCGTACGCTACATTCGCATAAGCGGCGTTTTGATTTTGAGGACTGGCAATTACTTTATTATCTAGAAAATGTTACAGTATGATTTCAGAATTTAATTGATAATTTCAGCTGTTTTGAAGCAATTTGCACATGTACCAGGTTGATAACTTGAGACAAAGTGGCAAGTATCTAAAAAAGGTACTGTAAAAGAAAAACTACTAACCCGATTAACATATTTTCTAATGTTTTCTTAAACAGGGCATATATTCCAGCATACATTTTCTCTCATATCCTAATCATTTAGCTTATTTAGCTTAAATTAAATACACATTTCTATTAAATTCAATTAAAGTTATTATCCGGGTGAAGTGGATGCGTACCTTTTCTTTTTGTCATATTTACATTTTTCCAAAGTTAAAAAACGTGCTGAAATGATAAAATGCATAGATTGACAATTGTACATGTGTAAGATACGTTTACTCATGAGTGTCATTTACGTGGTTTTATTAACCTGCTATAAAATATGATTTTTTGTTGTTATTTTTAATGGGCGATGTAGTAATGCAGTAGCGACTCAACACCGATGAAACCGTCCACCGATCTTTAGAATCATCTATATCAATTCAAGAAGATGCAGACCATTCGCTCTGATACAAAGGACGTAAAGGACATATAAGACATGAACGATAAATTTTTTTGAGAAAAAAACATTATACAGACGTACAGGGTAAATGAATTCTATTCTGGATATTTGTGTCAATTCAAATGTAGCAGTTGAATAAAAATAGCTAATAATTCACTGCATCGTATGTTTTGACCGTTAAAAACGCGTACTGTGCAAAATAGGGAATGACGTACACCTTGTTCACTTCACAGTAGAAAATGGCCGCAGAGTTATGTTTTTATGTATAATATTTTTTCCTGACGGGATATCACAATCTTAAAATACTTTTCTACATTAAAGGCTCCCTCAGAATAACGATAACAGGTACGCTGCCTTTTAATAATGATTCAAAATAAGCTTTTATGGAGTGTAAAAATATAAGGCGTTTAGACATTTGAAAATTCATATAGAAGCTTATATTAACAATAGCTTAAAGCAATAATAACTCTTCCTTTGTGATTCAAAATTCCGCAAGAAATACATGCTAAACAACGCATGAAAAAATATTATATTGCATTTCACCACTAAAACGGCTGTTATTGTAGTAAAAAAAAAAAAAAAAAAAAAAAAAAAAACAGACTGTGCTTGTCAATAGGGCTTTCGATACCTTTCTTCCCGGTCGTCAAGGCATCCGTATCCAAGGATACTGGCGTGGATATTGGCGTGTCACGCGGATTCTCGCGTTCATTCGAGACCAAATGACATCTGGCGGGATAAGATATAGCAGGCGCATGATGCAATCCTCAGACGTAAGTTGCGAGTTTTTGTACAGTGCGTCGGATAACAAAAGGCCCAGAACGGCACACATTGTTGATATAAATGCATTTTGAGCAATAAGACGATTATTTCGTATGAATCTTATTTTATTGTAATAAAGTGTTGTTGTTGTCTGCTTTTCCCGCGGTTTTAAGTAGGTCACCAGAAAACCCAGCTCAATATCGCATGACTATGCAATGTCAGATAGGGCCCCGTCAGTTAAAATCCCTTAAGAGATTTTAACAAAAAACCAAGCTTTTAGGAAAAAACCCTAGACTAACTTTGAATGCAGGAATGGGGTTGTTGATCATTGGTAAGTACGGGAAAATTGCCGTTTACTCCAGGAAATCCAATTTTTGGCCAAAACGAAGAGTTATTATGACTTTAAATATTATCATAAGTGATATTTGGGTATCACTATATTTACAAACCACTGCATATGTATTTGAATAACCTGTAGATATATTATCTAATCACTGCACAACAGAGAACTCATATGCTAACATTCTTATCGTTTTTGTCCTTACAATTAGGCCAACAAATACCTGCTGAATAAATTATGTTTGAGCATGTCAAAACATTCATTCTGTATTCTGGATTAATCTTTGACAACATATTTCCGTTGAATACATATGCACCTGTAGGGAGTTTAAATTAGAAGATATTAACTTATCTTCTTAGATAATAAAAAATACACCTTGCCATATTGTCACAACAAAAATAAATTGGGTCGAATTTGCTAATTTGAGCTAACGTCGTAAGTGCAGGCTTTTAGGGAGAAAATTTTGACGTTGGTTTCAAATAGATCTTCCTCACCTTACAGCGATCAACATAGTTTAAACGCCTATCGTACAGAAACAGCAGTAGTACGACCTGGTACCAGGGAAGGTACTCAAAAAGCTTGAATTTAATTTTTTTCTTTGAAACATTGTAATTAGGGGCTCATACCTCCAATAGAAAACAATTAACCAAATGTTGGATCCGGGTTGCAGTTTAAACCACACTGGTAGACATTAACTATGATAACGTTCATGATAATTATTTACTGAGTCACAGAGTTACATCAAAAAACAATCACTGCCATATACCTATTCACAAAGCAAGAAAGTTGACAATAAATGCTTGGCCAACCAATCTTCAAAAGGGATTGAGGCGGTATATAAAACTACAAAATAGGAGTAGTGTTCATTTTATTGCGCTTGTATTAAGATAAGTATTTTACATCAATGAAACCGGGAAAAAAGCCACTAACGGGGTTTTTATAAGAGCCTTCCGGCACTTTCCGATTCAAAGGTTCGCCTTTGATACGATGTGGGGTTCATGGCAGACAATATTATTTATAACAATAATGCAAAAATATGGGAAACCTTCTTTTTAGATAAATGAGACTATTGTACCAAAAATACTGTATTGCCGTAGAAAAGAAATTGGCTAGTTCTCGGAAGTTAAACAATGAAATGAAATCTCTAACATCAATATGATGGGGGACGATATTTAATTCCCTTCATGTATCAACGGCCGCATCACAAGGTTGTATATCAAAATAGATGCACAAAGCTGACACAAATATGATAATCTAATCAAACCTTAAACCTACTTTAATTACCCCTTTGCTTACTAGCGTATAAGTAGATAACAGAAAATAGATGCTTTTGAAAAGACTAATTGAAAACTTGATACTACGCACGTTTTGTTGACAACTAAGCGGTATCTCTCACAAACCAAAATTGTCCTTCCTGGTTGACGAAGCGAGTACACCACGAACACGAAACAATATGTAAAATATCAACTCACGTGAGTCTAACATAAGTGGGTGCACATCGTTTGGGGTCCAAATTCCATACCGGAAGTCCTCAAAGAAGCACTTGTTTATATGCGCTATGAATATACTGTACAGCTAAAGCAATGATGACGAGTCTAATAGCTGCTTCAGTTGTGGCTTGTCATGGTAATATTTGGAAAACATGAGAAAGATAGAAAGGTTGATGGTCAACTGCGTTTTTTTTAATTCTGAAAGAAAGGTTTTTGAAGCTAGAAGATACACTTTCTGCTATTTCCGACTTACATACATGCGTTATATATACTAAATCACGTTCGGTTGTCGCCTTGATTGTCACCTTGAAATCAATTGTTCTAAAATTAAAAAGTTAACAGATATCTCACTCCATTTGCAAAAGGTAATTTCAGTGGTAACTACAGGCGTCCTCACGGCAACGCTCGCTTGTTCACAGTTAAAAAATACGATCTTGTTGCCTGAAATTTGAAGACAAATGAAACACACTATCTATCTCTGATGTAACAAGTAACATAGATACGTAATTCCTGTCTTTTTTTAATTCTTATTATACAAATGTAGGTGAAGGTTATATACATAATCAGATGATAAGCAATGTGCAGATTGCAACGATATTGCAAGTTTTGATGTAATTTTGGAGGAAATTGGTATTCAGGATTTAATGTTCAAAAACAATTACTTACTTTCACTTTCAATCAAAATGTTGTTTTGCAGAATTCAGGAAAATGAGATGGCCATAAGTCGCAAGGACAACACATTGACCTGAGCCAAAATCAATATATATGCAGTATATAAAATTCAACAATTTCCCCTTAACCACTTACATTTAGGTAAATTTTTAACAAACTTGAGGAAGATGGTAAATGAAAATATTTGAATATTCTTGAATTTGTAATTTTTCAAAAATATATACATTATACAATTTATGTAGCCAATAGCATTTTAGTAGCCAAACGTTCACAAGCACAACGAAGCTCAGTGTTTGCTCAAAATCAAAAAAGGAATGTCCTTAAGACTGAAAATTTTCATTAATTTAAATGAAGAAACGTAATACGATACGAAGTTACAAGATGGGAGAAAGTAACAATATCAAATTAAATGAACACACATACAAGTACATCCACCATAGAATGGAGCAAGAAGTTTGGCGAAAGGGCAAAATAAAGACCGACTGATAAGGGATGGTGTCGGTTAAAATTAAAATTGAAATAATATTATAAAGTTAGTGATCATCAGGTGAAACTGATAAAACAGTTCAAATACGATAATCACTGCACAAACCGCAGCTAAAAAAAATAATAAATAAATAAATAAATAAATAAAACACGACTGGCTTGCACCAGTATCTAAATGTCATATTCCACAATGACTAAAACCAGACGTGAGTGCCTGGATGCTGTTCCGGCCATCTAGCTGTTACTCTCTGTGTTTTCTTAATAAGCCACAGACATCCTAAACTTAAACTATATAACCCTTTAGCCCTGCCATTGCCTCCATAAACACACTTATTTACCGTAACTGCTGTTTTATATAGCCAAATGTTCACACGCACATCAAAGCTCGGATTTTGCTCTTGAAAAATCAAATAAGAAATTACTGCATATGACTGAAAATTGTCATTTATTAAAATAGAGAAATGTAATATAATACGAAGTTACAAAATGGGAGATATTATCACACATGCGTCCCCCATACAATAAAGCAAAAAGTTGGCGTAAGAGCTAAATACTGGTGATGCATGACCACAAGCTGTGAGAGAAGGTCACATCCCCTCCAATGTTTCCATTACAAATATGTCAATGCAATTGACAGTTATGTGCAGCGTTTTAGATATACCCCTATGCTATATTTAAAGGATGCATTCTTACTCTAACCTTAACTAAAAAAATGACTTGCATAATAACACAATGTTGAAAACAATGACCATAAAAACATAAAATGTCTCGAAAACTAACAATCAGTTAACAAACTTTGATTGTATACTATTTGTCATTCCAGGCAATAACGGGTGACGTTACAAAAAACTATGCTCAATCAAAATTTGTTCAAAGATTAACTATTTTAGATAAGATACGTTCAATCGTATCTCTGTAAAAAACATTATCGTGGTATGATGGAAATTAAGTATTAAATTTTGTACATCATGTTAACATCCTACAGAATATAATTTATGTAAAGGTAAAGCAATGGTAGTCTGTGATAAAGGTATTCTCTTGGCATGACAAAATTGAAACAAAATATAACATCAACTCATTTGATGCAGGACGGTGACATATGCTTTACTGTACATAGTTCAGTTAGCTTAGGCGGTCATGCAATTAAAAACAGTTCGTGTAATCAATAACATAGAACGCCAGCGTCTTCACCGTGATTACAGTTTTCAATTCCCCAACCGCTGTGACTACACGATCCAATGTTGGATTCGGAGCCTGTGCAGCCGACATCATCCAACCATATGGTTCCACTACCTTGTCCGAAATACGCTTCTCGTACGGCAACTGCGTTGGAATAGGGAAGATTTAACGACTTGCAGAAAACTTGGGCATCAGTGTTATCCCAGCTGTCATCGCACACTGTTCCCCAGACTCTATTATGATACACTTCAACTCTGCCACCATACTTTCCATTGATATTTATTCCAACAAGACGGTACGGGTGACGGTGCAGCAAAGCTGGAATGTTCAATCAAAACCTTGTCAAAGAGCAAGTATTTCAATTATGACCATTCGCGTGTTTGTATTTGAGAGAGCCATATTCTGTCATGGAATAACTGAAATATAGTTTTAAAATTTTACAGCATGTTTACATTTAGAATTCACTCACATTTTATGTTATTTACAACAACACTTATTCCCGTTTTACCTACAGTTTAGTAAAACAGATAATATCAACAAACAATTTCATGACGCGGCATCAACCTGATTCACAATCCCTGCCGATGTATCCAGAAGGACAGCTGCAATAATAGGTGTTAGCATAACTCCTGCAGGTGGCGCCATTTTGGCAGGGACGGCTGCGACATTGATATCCTTCTGTAATACAAATAGCAAAAAATCGTATCGTGTTAAATATGATATCAATGTTATCAGTGAGATGAAATCGATTATGACTATGCCTCCCTAAATAACGCTCCAGATTTACCCTGTAATTTTAATCAAAACGGTATATAATCCGTTTATGTGAGAACGTACCAGAACATACTCTCTAGATCACAATAAGAATCAATTTTAACATATTGTTTGTCATCCTATATTAATTATTTAATCTCACCCTGGCAATTTGACCCTTGGTACCCAGTAGGACACAAACATCGATAAGAATTCACCATGTCAACACATGTCCCACCATTCTGACAAGGACGACTGGAACATTCACTGATTTCTACAATAAGAAATATGAATGGCAATATATGGTAAAATGAGCAGAGTCATTGTACATTGACTTATAAAGTAGTAACATATATTTGGTTAATTTCAGGAATTATTCAATACTTACAGAAACAACATTCCATCCAAATAATGCAGGTGACTTATATCAAATTGCTATTATAAAATATTTGCTATTCTCCTTTAAAAACGGTCGTTAATATAATACAAATTGACCTGATATATTGTAAGTTCTAACTTACAGGGGGTATAATTCTGCGTGTTTTTATTAAATTCTGCATGATTTTTAACTATAATATCATACCAAGGTGGCAGTATGTTCCAGTAAAACCACGTGGGCAACTGCAGTGAAATCCGCCATAACTGTTTCTACAGGTTGCGCCAAGGGTACATGGGGTACTTAAGCATTCATTTATATCTGGAAAGAAACAAAATAAATTTGCACCAAAGACTTTACTTTGAAGTTTACATCAGTTAAACTTTTATCACCTTTATTTTACATCATTCATGTGTTACTTGGAATTAGGCACCTTTTCTGTTGAATGCATTGACAAGATATGAGTTTTTAATATTTTTGAAAGAAAGCCAACAATAACATATGGTATAATTCGGGACCAGAGTTCAAATAACGTTTATGGAAATTTGTGTTAACTGTGACATCGACTATCACATATTTTTCTCCAAATGAGTACTAGGCCTACTGCATGGGTATAGTGTAAATTGTGATGCAACAAGCAATAAGTTGTGTACATGAAGACTTACTACCCTCTAGCAGGATGGCAGATATTAAGGCACATTTTCCACATTTCTGACAAAGAACAAAAGGACCGTCTTTTTATCTAAAGACATATATGTGAATATCTTATGAAAAATCAATCTGTCAACCTGTTAGAGAGTACAGACTTACCGTCTTCGCACCTTGGCCCATGGAAACCGGAAGTACAAGAACACAGAAACGAAGCTGCCAGGTTTACACACGAGGCACCATTTTTGCAGGGTAGGCTAAGACAATGGTTGGTCACTTTGGAAATATATAGTTAAACATGATTAGATCTCGTAACAGAAATATCTTGCTTACAATGCAGTTACACTCATAATACACGGGATAAATATGTGAGTTATGGAATGCGTGAAAAATTACGTATTATTTCTAGACAGTAATTTGTCGATTTCTTTATTTTTTGCTGAAACATTCTATAACACCGTTTGAGATAATGAACAGTACATGTAACAATTTATCCATTTTTCAAATATTTCCCAATTTATAACTTTCATTACCATTAGATGTTATCACCATTTGCCAAAATATCTTTTTTTTCTGCCTTATATACATTATTTTGGGCAATAAATAAATCTTCATTTTTCACTGACTAAATTAATTAACATTTACACATGTCATCTTACGGCTGAGCTCATTATTGCGATATTGGTGTAAAAACTGCAAAAAAATCGATTTCTCAAATTCCTCTTTTACCTGATCACCCACAATCACCGTTTTAACGCCGATTTAATGGCACCATTTAGTTCTCCAAATCCCTGCCAGCGATTTTTCTTAAAAGTATTAGTTCAGATTTTATCGTTGATAAAGCAAAGTTGTGCCTTTGTTGAATGGAAATATGTAAAAAGGGGCTCATAACAGAAATATCTAAATCAAAATGATGACACGGCATTTTAGCCTATAAACGCCTGGTCAACTATGCAAATTTTTGTGATATAATCTTGTTCGGAGATGAAGTCATGCCCCATACGGTTTGCTATCCCACCTCAAAATAAAAATAAAGGTGTTAAATTGACGATTAAAGCTTTAAGTTGCTTTGAGCTGAGTACCTGTATACTTACATGTATACTATTGCAACAAATATATAAACATCGATATTTGATATTTTGAGGATTTTTTCATTATTTAAAATCAGCACGAAGATAGATGCATTATTGAATAATAAGATGCAGGAAAGAACTCATTCTCGGTATCTGGATAATAATAAAGGGTAACAATATCCTTCAATTATGATTTTACTTGAACCTTTTCTATACTAAATAGTCGTTTTTGTGTTAGATCATCGCAAGAATATAAGAAATTTTTCAATAGCTTGATCAGTTAACTGGATTTAACGACAGCCATAGCTGTAGTTCTTACTTGTTTCACAATTTCGACCCGTATATCCAGACGGACAGCTGCACAAATACGTCTCAGATTGATTCCTGCAGGCTGCACCATTTCGGCAAGGCTGGCTGCGACAGGGATCTCTTGCTGTAACATAAATTTAACTTGAAATAACTTGAATCACCTCGTTCTTTTTCACAAAGACAATGGAAACACCTGCTCGCAAACAATAAATCCAGGAACGTGGCCAAACACACACACACACACACACTGGTTTGTTCAATGTGATGTTTGAAATAGGATCCAGTTAATGCTGACCCATAAAGTTCTGCTGTGCCCAATTAATTCTGTGAGCTAACCTTGAAAAGCCTGGTCACTTCAGTAAATTGGCCATGATTTATTTGCTTGCCTTTATTACCCATACAAAGTATACATTTTTAAAAAGCCAATATTTCAAGCTAAATGAAAATAGAATTTAATTTAAATTCAACGTGCAGTATCAAGAGTTATGACCAGTTAAAAACTACATTTTGATTTGGTAATGGGTGAAATAAAACAAAGTTGATTTATCTTATGCACATCAATTTTTTATTTCTCCATACATTTGCCTGAAAATTCACAGAGATGATGTCAATTATAGTAACTTTCAATCCAGGAAATTTCAGCAAGTTATCTCTATTAATTTCCAAGTTATGCTCGTTTTGCTATCAGGTATACCTACTTGAGCCAGCTTTTCAGCTCACCTGAACTTCGTGGCCAGAGCTGAATAGAAGTCAAATTTTAACACCATCTATGACAAAAACATCTTTAAAACTTATATCATGAATAAAGGAACATCATCCCCACTGTCTATATCACTGTCACTCGAAAACTCCTGATCAGTGTCGTAGTTTTCAATCATTTCAATAACAGTATCCATTCGCAGGCCCCTTCCGTAGTGAGAAGTCGCCATTTTGATTTTACTTTCTCCAGCTAAGTCTAGAAAATCGTCGATTTCTCGCTCATATATATTTCTATCGTCCTTTATATCATAAATAAATGAATATCATCGGCACTGTCTATGTCACTGTCACACGAAAACTTCTCATCAAAGTCCGGGTTTTCAATCATTTCAATAACAGTATCCCTTCGCAGGTCCCTACCGTAGCGAGGAGCCGCCATTTTGATTTTACTTTCTCCAACTAAGTCTTGAAAATTGCCGTTTTCTCGCTCATATATATTTTTATCGCCTTTAAAAATGGTGGCAATGAGAGACAAGAAACATACCCGGATGTTAAACTATATTTCATTTTATGACTCACGATACAAAATAGTACAGAAGACGATCTTTCCAAGATACGCACATATGCGGTTCTGGGCTTTTGGGGTAAGCGATAATTGAACCGCACATATATGCGGTGACGGGCTCTATGGGGTTAAAACCTACCCTGGCAGTCTGCCCCGTAGTACCCGGCAGAACACAAACATTGATAAGAATTCATCATGTCAACACATGTTCCGCCATTCTGACAAGGACGACTGGAACATTCACTGACTTCTGCAATTGCATAATACATGTTTCAGTAAAAATAAATCAAAATGATTAAGGTTTTCTCCACGGGCTGGAGAATCTTCCACAGTCATTTATATCCTGCAAAGCTTCTTATATTTCCCAATCCAGACCTTAAAGACGATAAAACCCTCAAGGATAAAGTACCTAATGTCGTTATTATCTTTCTAGCCTCCTAGACTGTCTTCTAATGTTGCTCTCATCGTTTGATTTACACACGGCAAAGGGTTGCTATTCAAAGCACATGCTCGTAAAGACAGACGTCGTTCAACTGACCGCAAGTCAATCACAATTAACGTAATGGTTTTAAAAAGGAATACTACATCTAATACTAGTGGAGGGACGTGTAGAGCAATAATTCTTTAGTAGGAGATAGCAGGAAATCACGTGAAGAGTACCTTTAAGTATACGTAGAAAAAGAAGCAGAAAGGAAATAGCTAACAAACAGCACAGAAGACTCTGTTAATTTTGGAATTCAGTATTAGAGATAACAATGTCTACATTTCATAAGTACTTGCTCTTTTTCGTTTTCATTTATCAGTATGATATTTGTCTTAATTAAAGTATAATACCAAGTTGACATAATTTGCCGGAAAGACCAGGAGGACAAATGCAGTCAAAACCATCATGGGTCTTTCGACAGGTGGCGCCTCCGGCACATGGGTTGTTCAAGCATCCATTCATATCTGGAAATGAACGGGTATATATTTGTAAATTATCAAATATTCTGTCAATTTTCATGGTACAAAGTTCTTTATTTTAATCCAGTGCATAGCTATATTTTAACGATCTTCTTTATACCTGTACAATTACAAAATGACGGGTGTTGTACCCACCGTTTTCTCACCAAATGTACATTATGCCTTGATAACTGGAAGATATGCACCAAAACAAGGCAAATAGTTCTCGCACGTGGTACCGTTTTAATAAAACTTCCCAAACCAACGATTGGTCAATATGATAAATATCTGCGGTCAAGCTCCCTTACTCGGCCACGCCAAAGCTTTGGAATAATATATGGTAGATAGTAATCAAATAAAGTTTGGAGTTTCACATGATTGACAGAATCCTCTATATGTTTATCAAATTCATAAAACATTTTCAATGTATTTGTCTTCCGTCTTTTATTTTCTATTTGACCTATTGTTAACAGAAATCAAAATTTTAAAATTATGCGTGAGTTGCTCACTTTTTTCTTCTAGGGTATGCACAAGCGACCATACAACAACAGCAAATAGTCCTGCGCATATGATTCCCACTAACACCAGTGCTATTTGTAACCGTCTATTGACTTTTGTCTTTGGTGGCTGTGTAATCCTGATATTGGGATCATCGGCATTGTCGGTTGGATGAGGAATCCTTAAACTCTCGTAAACACTTGGTGTCTCTTCTGGAACTAAATTCACATCCGACGACGTCTCATATGTTGCGTTAACATAAGCGGCCATTTGACTTTGAGGGGTGGTGAATAACCTGATTCCTAGAAATAATTTAATTATGATTTTTAAATTTAAATAAAAAAAATTAATTAAAATTACTGAATTAGTAACGTATGTTTCAAGAAGTATTTTTTCATCCATCATCAGCTAAGAGGCCATTCATAACGAGAAGAGCCGAATGCTAGCTAGGCCACGACCTAAATATGGCGGAGCTACATGAAAGGAAGACCGCTTAATCATGTAATGGTCTCTCCGCCTCTCACACGGTTCCCCACGCGTCGTCCCTCGACCGGTTGAATTGAGCCGATATTTGATAACCATGCGCCTACAGGGACGACGCGTGGGAGGCGTGTGAGAGGCGGGGAGACCATTACAGGATTAAGCGGTCTTACTTTCATGTAGGTCCGCCATATTTAGGTTGTGGCCTAGGTAGCAATCGACTCTTCTCATTCTGAATGGCCTCTAATATTAAAATAGTCCACCTGCTAATTTTCAATGTCTATCAAGAGCATCTTCATCAGGAAAATAGGCTACGCCTCCAACCCCCTTACTGCCATAAAAGGCAGGTATAGGTTAGTGAGGATGGCTTCAACATTTGCCGTTGAGAGAAGAAAATATAATACTTTCCCTAAAACATAACACAGCTGATGGAATTCTTCTAGCTCTGACGTAACACAGACTGTTTTCATTATTTCACATGTAAGCTACGCATGCACTTTACAACGAACAAAAATAACCCATGCTTATTGGCACTCTGCGACGATTTGGACGTCAGATTCAAAATTAATTAAATTGACTAAAGTGGGAAGCTAATATATTTATCTTCGAAGAGTAAATAAAATACATATATCTCACAGGACAACTTTTTTCATATATACTCCCTCAACATTATTTTTATAGCTTAAATGACAAACAATTTTATAAAATCAACTCCAATTTACTCAAATTCATTATATGAAGCTTAAGTTCCTGGATGCATACCTTTTCTGTCTGCCATGTAAAATTTCTTCGAAGTTGAGGAGCTGTGCTGAAATAATAAAAAAATGCCGTAGAGTCACATCTGGCAAAATCGCAGCATTTTTGAAACGGAAAAAAAATCAAAATGAGCATTTTGCATCTACGACGTAATTCACATTATCTTTTTCAAAATCACTAAAGCGGTTTGAAAAGCATTTTATCACATGTTTACGTTTCCCTGCGTTAGTATTTTATGACGTAAGATGGCATCACGTGGCAGGGTATAAATGCAAAACAAAGGTGGCCCAAGGCATCTACTTTGTAGGGCCCCTAAAACAAGTTGTGAAAGATCAGAAAGTATGTCATTTACCGAAATTTGCTGTGACCTCTCAGTGAGGTATGAACCAAGAAACGCAATGTTATGTTGCCCTTTTCCCTATTTGTGTTGATAGTTTTATGTTCATATAAATTTACACCTGGTACTGAAATTATAAATTGGGGGAATGGTTTAGAAGTTATGCAGGTCTGTAATTCAGCATGATGTAAGGGTCTTTTTTTGTTTTGTAAATGTCAAACAATTCCAGATTTTAGCGCGTCCGGAAAGTGAGTGGAATAGCATTACCTTTCTTCGTTGCCCGGGAGTAAGATGCTTCAAATCAATCACCGATACTAAACACCAGACGAGAGCGATAGCGCTGGCCCAGATGACCCGGTGCTGAATTTGATGTGAGTATGATACCTGTTGTTTTAGTGGAAAGCTAGATGATGTGTAAAAGAATAAATTACCTGTTATTTCTTAAAACTGTCTCAAAATTATGACCTTTGAATTTAAAAACGGCATAAAATAACCATAAGCGCTCGACTTTACTTTATATTGCTAACCCGTATGTGAACCTGTTGTCTAATACCCATGCACATTAGCGAAGAGACCAGACTAGAAAGCAAACTTTCTTATCGGTTTTGTCATTTTCACGAGGTCAAAAATTGTATGCTGCAAAAATTTGTTGTTTGTACAACACGTTATTTCAACTCTTATCTCAATTATTTATCATGAGTTCTAGGTCATTCTAGACTAAATACCTTCGTTGGGAAGTTGTTATTATCGAACTGCTAAAATAAGAATTAACTTCAACCAATTATAAAAATCAGAATCATTTTCCTTTGGAGCAAGGTTTGATAAATGTTCACAATTAAACAAATAAAGAATTAGGTATTAAAGTTCAAATGCGTCACTGAACCGGTTAAAACTGTTTAAAAGGCGTTCCTTTTAATTCCGTTGAAATTTCAGAGTCTGATGTTGCTAGGTAAAAAGGTAAGACGTGGTGATGCTGGGTGAGAAGAGTCTGCCATGATACTATCATTTCTTTTCTCCATAAGCATATCACTTACTTTAAGAGTCTACATTAAACCATATACATGTAGATACATTCACAAACTGCACTTTCCCCTTGATATCGCATCATAATAATTTGATATAAAGATTCTCAACTTTAATAAGTAAAACGTCACTTGTGAACCAATCAATGTTAAATTTCAGGATAAAGATTGTTTTTTTAAAGGTTTAACAAAGAAATGGCTATAGCGCTGAAATCACTGTGATAAGAATAATCATTTTATCCACACTCACGAACATTACTTTTTAAAATTATCGTCAACATTTTAACTGTAAAATGTGGAGCACCATAGCTGCACAGTTGTGAAATGATATTACTTATCTATGGGAGTATATAAATAAATATTCAAAATCTGGAAAACATAACTATTGTACTTACCAGTGCGTTTGCAAAGTGGTGTTTTCAAACAGCTTTTTTCTAATGTGACACTGAGCACGTTTGTTGACAACAACGCGTTCACTCCCACGCTGAAACTAAGCAGCATTACTTCCTGGTTCACAAACGAGCACAGGATGTGACGAGAAAAATATACGACGTTGCAAAAAGTTTGCAACTAAGAGCAGCTGCTTATATTTCTAGAAACGATATACTCGAAAATCGGAGCTATGTAAATGTAGAAGTCAGGTCCTGAATTTTTTTTCCAAGAAAAAATAGTACACCAGCAGCTTCACGGATGGCGGTCACATTTTTCACGACGAAGCCTTTCTGGTGGAGCTAAAAATCCCTTATTGCGATAGTTGAGGGGCCTTGGTGTACAACTAGATCCATGCATATAGCGACGCGTGATGGGGCTCAATCGTTCACTTCTGTGCACCTATTTATTATCTAAATTTTCAGCATGTCCGCCTTCATCATCAAGGTATATGTTTCCCACACCGCGAAAAACATTAATCGTAAATTTGTTAAGATTACAGCAACAGTAACAATTTTGTTTTATGAGTGAATTTTAAGAGAGATGAGAGATATGGATGTGGACAATAATAATAATAACATAATAATAATAATACATATTATATTTTATTAATAATACCCCATCATTTCACATCAAAGTTATATACAATATACAATTTTCAAATCTAAAGATGCAATATGTTATAGTTTCAGTAACTATACCAGATAATTTGAATTCCATTTTTTTTAATTATTATAGGATATGTATAGCATTTAACATGTTAATTTTTAAACTGTCTTTAAAACTAATAAACAGTCAACGAGCTTAACCTTTCATTTTTCATTCCAGACAATAACATGATATCTAAAGTGGATTTGGAGGAGCCCGAATGAGACACCTTAAAGAAGGAAGGAGCTGAAAACCAATGAGCTGGTCACTGACCAGAATATTAGGCACCTGCTAGAGCTTGGATGGCTTAGAAGGGGAGTTAAAGAAGCCATCTGGGAAAGATGAGAGAACCCGTCACTGAACTGTAAGGGAGAAATGAGATTTTTAAAAAATCAACAATGACATAACATGATTTACGTTAGGGGAAAGCAATGGACTGTAAACCTGAAGTAAAATTAGTCTCTTTGCGTGAGCAAATTTCAACAAAATATTTAAATCAACAGTTATTCATCTGAATGCAATATGAAACGATGTTTTTGTTATTCGTCCGTATAAGGTTTATCAGCTAAAGTAGATGGCATATTTTAAACAGTTCATTTTATTACGTATAATCAATAACAAAGAACACCAGCATCTTCACCACCCTCTGAGCCTTTGGACCTGCAGCTTTAAAAGATATTTCACCGTAGGTCTTTAATCGCATTTTTACTGGGTTGAGTAGCAATTGGTCTACAGACCGCAGATTTCGCATTGGAACATAGTGACTGACTAATTCATTGATGTAGATTGGTGTCAATCCATAAAAAGCATCGTGAGTAAAAACCAAAAATTTGAATAAACTTCTGGCTTGTAGAGGTAGCCAGTGTAAACTTTTTAAAACTGGGGAGATATATATACTTGTGGATGTCCGAGTTAATAATCTGGCCGAAATATTTTGAATGCGCTGCAGTCTAGCAATTTCTTTCTTTGGACAACCGTATAAAATGGAGTTGCAGTAATCTAATCGAGATGTAACTAAACTATTTATAACTGTGGCTGCAGCAGAGTCAGAAAACTGATTGCGAATTGCACTTATGTTCCTAATGTTAAAAACCGCTGACCTGCATACACTGGCAATATGTTTTTCATACAGTGATCCATCTAAAAATACACCAAGATTTTTTGCTTGAGGTTTTGGCTTAATAATGCTTGATCCAATTATGAGCTGAATTTGTTGTGCTATCATACGATTATGTGGCTGACTTATTACCAAACGTTCAGACTTTCCATCGTTAATTTTCAACTTATTACTAATCAGCCACCCGCGAAGATCATCAATACATTCAGACAATATATCAATAGATTCATTTGGATTTTCTAGATTGCAACAAGTAAAAATCTGTGTGTCATCAGCATAAATATGATAGCAAATGTTATGATGCCTTAGTATGGTCCCAATTGGTAAGGTATACATGCAAAAAACAAGAGGTCCTAGAACACTGCCTTGTGGCACACCAAAAGCTGTCTCTGAAACATTTACATGCTATCTACGGTTCCAAACACAGTTGACCGACCGGTATGCTTGCTACTTGCTACACACACCCAAAACCACGTGACTGAGTACTGTTCACATAACTAAGAGTGACCACAGGGTTATGTGACTTGGAGCACTAACACGCACTAAAGCTCCAGTAGCCGTTTTTCCTTCTGGCTTATCAGGGAAATTCTAAGGAATTGAAATAAGTTTAAAAACAATGCAGAATAAAGGGCGATGGTCAACTGTTTTTGTGGGTGAACATCAGATTAACATGAAATGCGTCTAAACTATTCACCTTTCGCACTTTTATTGACTCACTTGTGTCACGTCACACATACTAATTAACGCTCGAAAATTGTCACCTTGATTGGTTACTGAGTCTAAGAACCCTAGAAAATACTTTGAAAGCCACTTTTCAGTCTATTATAATAAAACAACATCAAAGAATTTTAAACACATTTGATAAAATCGATATATGCTCGCTATAGTAGTTTATACTATATATGTATTTATTAATGTAGGTACATTGAGTTTTTTTCCGAAAATACACAAAATCGTAGTAACTGAAATACATTTAATTAAAAGGATTTGTTATTCACATTCAAGTCATTCCTAAATGTGTATCATAAGGCACTTTTCAAAGAGAAATGGAATTAAGTCAAGTAAAATGAAATAATTTGATATCATATATTATTAATGAGACCCCATTCCTTATTATCCAATGCAATTGACAGTTACGTGTACTTTTTAAGGCATAATTCTGTGCTATAATAAAAGTATGTCTTATTATGGTAACCTTAACTTAAAACTTCTTAAATAATAATGCGATGTGGAACATAAATTATTTTTAAAAAAATGTTTAAACGGTGCGACTTAACTGTCTTTAAAACTAATAAACTTGTCTGAATTCTAATACTTATTACTAACTCTCATTCTAAGTAATAACAGAGTTACTACAAATGGATTGGCGGAGCCCGAGTGAAACGCCTAAAAAGGAAAGAGTTTAAAGACGATGGCCTGGTCACGGGGCGACTAGGTATTTTCTCGTGCTTTCATATTATAGATAAGTATCCGTTTTGGATAGGGCAGAGAACCTGTCACTTAATTGTAAAGGAAGATTGAGACCCCATCTTTCCCACATCTAGGTCTGGCTCCTTTGGCTGATACCTACATGTAGCTGTCTGACAAGTTACGCTATCAGCCTATTGGATAAATGAAACTCGTGCTTCCGTTGATGATTGGTGGTTCATTATTTTGATATTAAAAATATTTTTTGTCTTTACTGTATCCCAGTTACGGGATATTTTGTCCCGATACGTGATACATAAAATCCTACTGCATATTGATTCTGACATAGCATTAAATGTACTGATCTTTAAACCTGACAAAAGTTATTAATTTTACATAACCGAGTATCAATAAGACACAAATTGAAAAATCATTGTTATTCATCTGATAACAATATGGTGCCAAACTTTTGTCTTTCTCTCTCTTTATTTGGTCCAGTCAGCTGAAAGAGTTGACACATTTTCAACAGATTGTTCTAATATGTATCTTCAATAACAAATATCTCCAGCGTCTTCACTGTGACTACAGTCGTGACTCTCCCAACCATTGTGAGAACATGATGCAATGTTGGATTCTGATCCTGTGCAGTGGACATTGTCCAACCATATGGTTCCATTACCTTGTCCAAAATATGCTCTTTGTATGCCGAGTGCTCTGGAATAGGGAAGACCTAAGGACCTGCAGAAAACTCTGGCATCAGTGTTATCCCATCCGTCATCGCAAACTGTTCCCCAGACTCCATTATGGTACACTTCAACTCTACCACTGTACTTTCCATTAGCAATTTTTCCAAAAAGACGATACAGGGAACGGTACAGCAAATCTGAAATGTTCAATGAAAACCTATTTAAAGAGTGAGTATTTCAGTAATGATCCACTAATGCACGTGCACGCAAACGTGAGTGCATGGGCATCATGTGTGTGTGTGTATGTAGGTGTGTGTGTGTGTGTGAAAGAGAGTTATTTTTCATGATATGAATGAAATGTAGTTTTAAAATTTTGCACAGATTATCATTTAACTGTCATTCATAATCCCCTAAAATTCTTTTAACGTCAGCATTATGTATCATTTTACCCACATTCTGACGAAACGGATGAAATCAATAAATGTATTCCAAGACACTGCCCGAACCTGATTCACAATTCCTGCCGGTATACCCAGAACGGCAGCTGCAAGAATACGTAGATGTTTGACTTCTACACGTGGCGCCATTTCGGCAGGGCTGGTTGCGACAATGGTCTCTAACTGTATCAAAAATGACAACGCACTGACAATGTTGATCAATGTAGTGTCATTGGAAATGCCCCAATGCCATTAACGGGGTGACCGATAAAGATATTTACGATTCGTCCTTCACCCCTGAGTTCACCAAACCTAGTGAGGCCACTGCCTAAATACATATACTATGCTCAAATGTATACGCACTAAGAGGTTTCATACGTAATAATATATATTCACATAGAATATTGGATATAGGACAACCTATTTAAAGTCAAAAAAGGTTCAAGGAGAATTTTAAACACTTACCTTGGCAGTTTGTCCCGTAGTACCCGGCAGAACAGAAACATCGATAAGAATTCACCATGTCAACACACGTTCCACCATTTTGACAAGGACGACTGGAGCATTCATCGATTCCTAAAATTATAAAATGATATTGTATTAACAGAAAATAGTGCACGGAAACTGTCTTATCCCAGTCGTCATCGGAAACAGTTCCCCAACTACCATTATGATACGCTTCAACTCTTTCATCTTATTTGCCATTGATATTTATTCCAACATGACTGTACAGGTGACGGGACACAAAAGCTGGAATATTCAAACAAAACATGTTGAAAGAGTATTTCAGCAATGATCCACTTATGGACGGGCACGCAAACGTGAATGCACACGCACGCGTGTGTGTCAGAAAGAGTGATATTTTTTCATGATATGATTGAAATATAGTTTTCAAAATTCGCATAGCCTAACATGTGACAATTTATAATCAACTTTATTTTTTTACGTCAGCATTATAGGTAAATCATTTTACCAACACTCTGACAAAACGGATGGAATCAATGAAGTTATTCCTACACGCTGCCCGAACCTGATTCACAATTCCTGCCGGTATACCCAGAGCGGCAGCTGCAAAAATACGTGGAGGTTTGGCTCCTACACGTGGAGCCATTTCGGCAGGGCTGGTTGCGACAATGGTCTCTAACTGTAACAAAAATGACAACGCACTGACAATGTTGATCAATCTAGTGTCATTGGAAATGCCCCAATGCCATTAACGGGGTGACCGATAAAGATATTTACGATTCGTCCTTCACCCCTGAGTTCACCAAACTTAGTGAGGCCACTGCCTAAATACATATACTATGCTCAAATGTATACGCAGTAAGAGGTTTCATACGTAATAATATATATTCATATAGAATATTGGGTATAGGACAACCTATTTGAAGTCAAAAAAGGTTCAAGGAGAATTTTAAACACTTACCTTGGCAGTTTGTCCCGTAGTACCCGGCAGAACAGAAACATCGATAAGAATTCACCATGTCAACACACGTTCCACCATTTTGACAAGGACGACTGGAGCATTCATCGATTCCTAAAATTAAAAAGATATTATAGTAACAAAAAATTAATGCACGGAAACTTTGGCATCCCTGTTATCCCAGTCTTCACCTCAAACAGTTCCCCAACTTCCATTATGATACACTTAAACTCTTCCACCGTATTTGCCTTTGATATTTGTTCCAACAAGACGGTGCGGGCGACGGGGCACAAACGTTGGAATATTCTAGCAAAACATGTTTAAATAGTATTTCAGTAATGTTCCAATTATGCAGGTGCACGCAAACGTGAATGCATGCTTGTGTGTGTGTGTGTGTGTGTGTGTGTGTGTCAGAGAGAGTCATGTTTTTATGATAAGATGGAAAATAGTTTTCAAATTTTGCATACCCTAACATGTGACCATTTATAATTCACTTGTATTCTTTTTACGTCAGCATTAAATATCATTTTACCTAAACTCTGAAAACACGGATGAAATCAATTACTGAAAATACTGCAAGAAATTATTTAATAAAAAATAGTAATTTTGCAAGCGAAGCAATGTTACCAATGGCTGTACTCGCTCTAAGAAGAAGTTTTCCAATTGGCTTTTCTAAAGCAGAAACCCATGTAAAGTTTTCATTGGTCTTGTTGCAATGAAAAATACGCCAGTATTAACTTAAGTCCGGCTGATTTAAAATATCATAGTTTTGTCATTTGTTATCATAAGATATCCTACCGAACTGGCAGTATGTTCCTGTAAAACCACCAGGACAAGTGCAGTGAAATCCACCATAGCTGTTTTGACAGGTGGCGCCAAGGGCACATGGGCTATTATAGCATTCGTTTATATCTGCAATGAAACCAAATGAATATGTACCTAAGGCTTTATTTTACATTTCATTCTAATTTTGCTTTTTTTCGCCCTAATTATTAGTCCCTTTTTAAAAATCATTCAGATGTTATTCAAAATTATGTACCTTTTCCAAAACGATTTTGATTAAATTAACGATTTAGGAGACCTTCTCAGTAAGCATTAAGCTTTCCCTGTAGAAATACCGGAAAGTGGTGAAACACGGATTTTCTTGAAATTGATACATGTGAAGGAACCTTAAAAAACATGTACACATCTTAAAGGAAACTGCTGAAAACATTTGATTTCCATGACAACCGCATTTAAAGTTTAAAATGCCCAAATCAAACCTTTTTCACCCATATACATGAAGAGAATGCATAAAATTGATAAATAACTGTGGTTTCATTAACTGGGCTTTATAATTCATTAGATTTACTGAAAATGCTCCAGTAATTTTTTCTTGTTTTGAGAAAAAATTAACAGTTTTTAAATACAAAATGTGTCAACTTTGAAGCTGATTTTATCCCAAGGTCCACAAGTTTGATGTAAATCACTTATGATTCCAATTAGACAAGTTTTCTTCTTCTACATTAAATACATTTTGTAGCAATAGATTAACAAACATTTAACATGCATTCAAAGCCATTTTGTCGTAAGAAAAGCCAGTCCATGTGCAGCTCTTTTGGCGTTGGAAATGGAAAAGTTATGAACACTCTTTGGAGGGAAAGTTGATCTAATTCAATGACCTGAAATTGTTTGCATGGTAAAGATGGGCAAGTCTGGTAAGTGTATCATAATTATTATTCATTTTAAAATCTTATTAGAAATATTTTGGTGTTCTTGGATAATTGCTTTTTTTTTAAATTAAAACTGTTTCTTATTACTGGGCCTTTATCCATGTACAGTTACAATGTTTGAATGTTGTCCAACTGAAATAATTGAATTAACTGAACATGTTTATTACTCTACTGCCTATTGATAAAAAGTTTCTGGCGCTGTTGTATAAGTACCTTTTATTTTTCAACATAAATGTAGAACCGTGGTGCACCTGCCTGGTTGGAATATACGAGGGTTGATTGATAAGTAGTGAGCCTCATATATCTGAAAGCATGAAGTGTCCTGTGTGAAAGTCCGATGTGAATCCGTCGACTGGAGAGTGGATGGAGACAAATCGGCTCAAAGTTCAGTGAAAGTGTCCGATGAAATCCCACAGTAATTACGATGCAAGTTCCAGTAGAAAATATGAGTGTCGGTTCAGTGGTAAATAGGTTCCAAAAAAAATATTCTCCTTCAAAAGTCCCAAAACAAAACTCAGTCTCCTATCCGTTCATACTCCCAGCGTCTGTCTAAACTAACGCTCTCGAGATACTCATGCTCTCGCGATATGGTGACGTCATAAGCTGACCTACTTATACACAACAATAGTCTCCTTGAGTATCTATACACTTTTGCCAGCAAATTTTGAGAGCCTCTATGCCACTTTTATAGAACCCCTTCACTTCACGTATGACGTCATCATCTGACACAAAGTGAGTACCTGAAATGGCCTTTTTCAATTTGGGAAATAGATAATAGTCAGAGGGAGCAAGATCAGGGGAATAAAGTGGATGTTCTATCAGTTCAAAGCCACGCTCGTTGATTGCAGCAATGGCAATGACAGACTTGTGAGCAGGGGCATTGTCCTGGAGGAACAGTACACCTTCCCTGAGCTTTCCGCTGCCTCGTCGACATAAACTAACCAAATGACACCAAACTCCGGCTACACACCTTTAAATAGCCAGGGAATAGAAGGGCTGAAAAGGGATATACCTGCTTAACCCCTTCCACACGAGGCTCACTACTTATCAATCAACCCTCGTTTTTAAGGACAATAAGTGTGGGGCCCACACCTCTACAGACATGCTTACAAAGAAGGAAAAGACAAAGGAAATTAATAGATGACAAGGGTGTGGATTCTGCAGATTTCGAGGCCCAGTTTCAAGATATGTTCACACTTGCCAGGCAATAGTGGGGCACATATTGTGTCATCTAACTGCACATGTTTTTATGTTATGTTTATTTTTATAGGGGTTTCAAATTCATGCTTGTTTCTTAAAGCCATACTTAAATGTTCAAATTTTTAAAACGGCTTTACCTTTCATACCTTTGGAGATGGCGGGGGGGTCGGGATGACAGTACGAGATTTGCAGAATTTGATCTGACGCGCCATAAAAAGTTGAAAGATCTTAAGTCCCTGCTGTTGATGAAATATGTCATATCAACATATTCAAGTTGGTAGGGAAGAGTTTTTTTTTTTTTTTTTTTTTTTTTTTGCTTCTGTCAATATGTGTGTGTGTGTGTTTTCTTCATTTGTGTTTCTTTTCTGCCCGTTTTCTTTTTTTTTATTTTAAAATTTGATTTTAAACACCACAGAGATATTTGTCATAACCATTGATTTTATATGTAGAAACAGACTTTACTATTATACCAAATTCCGTTGTTCAAGTAACCGTGTCATGATAGAGAAAAAAAGATTTCACATGAATATAAACAAAGACAATAAATTTTACCTATTTTGCTTGACGCAAAATGTTCATAATATAGAAAATGGCTTTTATCTTTTATTGATATAAAGATTGAAAGCGTTTATGATCATTTATTGTCACCGTAAGAGAACTAGCTGTTATGCATATGTAAATATATCTTGCTATAATGTAACATGCATTTTTTTGTGTACATAAATATTTGTTACAACTTCAACTGGTTAAAACTGAAATCGTATTTGGGTCAGAGACCTTGGATTACAGAATAAACATCGAGCAAATTTTTTTCTACAATAAAGGAGAAAAGCAAATGTTTCTGTTATTTTCACAGCATATAGTATTCAGTGAAACAGAAGCTATTTATAAGTGAAAAATTATCTTTTCTTTCTTAACGATCTTAAGGATCTGAAAAGCATGCTTCATTTGCAAAAATAATTCATTACATTCGAGTGTTGGTCATGATGTATATCAAGGTAATAAATGTCAAATGCATTTGGAAAAACATGCCTGTTTATGTTAATGTTATGTTAAAACAATCAAAATCACTGAAAAATGACTGCCAAAATATCTCAAAAAATTATGTTTGAAAAATAATTGATCGAAATAAAAGCAAACAAAATTCTCTTTTCTCATTGTGTGTTATTTCTTCATATACTGAATTTATTAGTTTTTATTTTTTATTTTTTATTTGGTTGCACAAATCTAGGTTATTAAGGAAATAATTCTCAGTAAATACTTGTGTTGGCCTTACTTGTGTTGGTTCTTTCCATTTTCAAATTCCTTACTTATTTATTGTTGCCACAGCAGGAAGTTACACTTATTTGAAACAATAAACAGGGGCAGTCCCAGGATTTTAAGTGGAAATAGTGGGGGGAAAGACCTCCGCCCCTCAGAACCACCTCTCGACCCTGTCAACCCCAATTAAGTTGGGCAACCACACATTTCCTGAGGGGGGCGACCCCATTCCTATATTCAGCTCTGAAGAAGCTTTTCATATACAAGTCTAAAAGAAACGTTCCCCATGTGAAATATCATTGTTCTTTGACTTAATATGTCGATTTATAAATTCCCACAGGTGCAGGAGCCATGGAATTAGCATTAGTTGATATGGTAACCAAAGTATAATGCCTTTTGGTATACACCCATCTCTGCCTATGTTAATGTATTAAAAACAATTTAAATTACTATGGAAAAACTCTGCACTCATGTGTGAAAAATAAAATTAGGATAATTTTTGCTTTAAAAATCAAGAAAATTAACATTTTCATTCCTACATTTATTAATTGCTACAAAATTTTATTCTTTCAAGTCCAGTTTCTCAAGAATACGCCATGAACACATGAGTGTGGTCCTTTTCATATCCATGGCTTACTTACAGTTACCATAGCAACGGCCCCTGATAATACATGCAAGGTGGCTACGTGGGTTTTTGCTCGGAAAACTACACACTTTTTATATTTTAGTCCATGGAGTGCAACTTTTCTGCAGCATTGTTTAAAATTAACTAAAAAATAGGTATTTTGGTTGGTTTATGAAGTCTCGTAGGTCTCGGAGTTATGGAGTTTTCCGTCGTTGCAATGGCAAGCATAATATACTGTACATCAACGGTTTTTTTTTTTTTTTGGTATATATCAGTGCCTGCTTATGTTAATTTATCGAATATAAAATGTCTAAAGAAAACAATAACTCTACCCAAAAAACGCCCAAAAAATAAAGTTGGAAATGTTCTGTTTAAAAAATAAAACGCAAAGAAAGTCAATTTGTTATCAGCTGTGATTCCTGCATCTATTACTTGAAACAAAATTTTATTTTTTTCATTTTTGTGTGTGTGTGTGTGTGTGTGTGTGTGTGTGTGTGTGTGAATATTCAAGCCTAGTTTATCAAGCTCAGGATACTCCATTAATCCCTGAGTATGGGCCTTGGGAGAAAATTGACTTCAAAAATCACCCTATTATTGGTAAATCCAAGTTTCAAACTCATGGCTTAATTGCTGTTACAATAGCAACGGCCCCTGGGGGATATATAAATATATATATATATATATATATATATATATATATATATATATATATATATATATATATATATATATATATATGAGGTTGCTACACATATTTATGACCAGTAATCAGCAGACTTTTCATATATCAGTCAATGTTACATGTCCTTTCCATCAATATAACTTTTCTTTAATTTGAAAATTGATAGTTTTCCATGACTTTTCAAGTCCCAGGGGCTCAGGAACTTTGACTGGTACATTTGTTGCCGTGGCAACCAAGCGGGGACTTTTTAAAAACCGAAAAGATAATCATTTTTGCACTTCATATAACATATAGCACTTTTTTCAAAATTCAAAAATTTTATTGTGCAGGTGGAAGTTTAGTGCTTACTGAGAGGGCCTATTATTACTAGTACTTTTAAAAGAAAGTAGACAAGAGTAGACGGCGTGGATCTGGGTTAGAGTGCAAATTACAATAACGGACACCCATGGGATCCATGTTACAAAGTTTTCCTCCAAATAAGCGCTACGGTCTAGCTTTGTGATGTCATGAGCAACATGACGTGTACGTGCACTTACCGGCTTCGCATCTTGCACCTTGGAAACCCAAAGTACAAGAACACCGAAACGAACCCACCAGGTCCACACATTCGGCGCCGTTTTTGCATGGTTGACTTAGGCAATGATTGGTAGCTTTGGACATGTATAAACATGATTAGATTGTGTAACAAAAATGTTATGGCCTATATGAAAGAGATCATAAATATTAATGTTTTGTGTATGTTATGCTTTGAATGTATGGAATTTAACTGCCATTTGCGATGTGAAAGTAAAGTAGTACCTTCGTTGATTTTTTATCATCGGAATAAAAATTATTAAAAATGCATTCCACTGTTTTATCATTTTCACTGTATTTTCTTACCTCTTCGTCAAATAGATTTAAAGGCGTCATTTGTTTAGAATATTTTTTCAAATGATTTTGCTTGTTTCTACTGAAAAGTTAAAAATGTGATCATTACTTTTAGAATATACATAAAACTCTAGCAATTCTAGTGCTTGTGATAAAGCTAATTGTGTAACTCTTACTTGTTTCACAATTACTCCCGGTGTATCCATGGGGACAGCTGCAAGAATAGGTTATAGCATGACTCATACACGTTGCGCCATTTTGACAGGGCCGGCTGCGACAGAGATCATTTACTGTAATATAAAAGATCCTCGTTATAGAACTAGGAAACACTTGTAATTTTGCGGATTTGGGACAACAATGTCTGTAAAACATCAATTCGAGGTAATTAACAGGCCAACATAAAGTTTTTTTTCTTAAACCATGTTTTATAATTATAATTATTGAAGAATCTGTAAAAAAAAGTCAATTTCTAGGTTATAAAGGAAAGAATTCTCAGTAAATGTTGGCCGGTTATAAACTTTTTCTTTTGTTTATTTCGACTTTTCTTAATTTCAAAGTGCTCTCTCCACATGAGCAATGCCTGTTCTTAACTGCATGCTTATAATGGCACAAACACAGGTTTGTTCAATATGATATTTGATATAAAGGCACAGAGAGAACTTTAAATGCGAACCTTGACAGTTTGTCCCGTAGTACCCGGCAGAACACAAACATTGATAAGAATTCACCATGTCAACACACGTCCCACCATTCTGACAAGGACGACTAGAGCATTCACTTATTTCTAAAAAAGTAAATATTAATAAAGCGTGATAAAATGGTCACTTGTAAAAGGGCCAAACTTATTTTATCGTAAAAAATTATATAAATAACACTGAATACTTGGCACTGACTGTTTGTTTAAGAAATGAAAGTTAGAGATTTCGAAAATTAAAAAATTAAATTTCATATTTAAAAGGTCTTTACATTGACCAATATATAGTCTTTTTAATTTTTAGCTAAATTTATTATCATACCAAGCTGACATAATTTGCCAGTGAAACCAGGAAGGCAATGACAGTCAAAACCGCCATGATTATTGCTACAGGTGGCGCCCCTGGCACATGGGTTGTTCATGCATTCATTTACGTCTGCAAAAGACAAAAAATGTATACTGAACATATCCTGTCTATTTTCCAATTGCACTTCTTTGTACTTATTCCAGCCGTTATTATAGCATTTTTACATAGTTTGCTTACGACTGGTTTGTCACTGTAATAAAGACATACAGTAGGCATGTATGTGGCCACACTCCATTAGGTTTCGTAGTGCCCACATTTCAGACTGATATCTGATTATTAATCATTTTTAAAGTTGTATCCTCACTTTAATGGTTTGGCAGATTTTTAATATTTTCACCATATTTATCTAGAGATTCAATATAAAACCAAGCGTCTTCCTTCACTTACTTACCATTTGACTCATTGTTTGTTGAAACCAAATTATTGTTGCGTTGGTCACTATTTTCTTTTGGAGTGAACGCTAGCGACCATACAACAATAGCAACCAAGGCAGCGCATATGATTCCCGTTAACACCAATGCTATTTGTAGCCGTCTATTCACATTTGTCTTTGGTAGCTGTGCAAACCTTAGTTTGGGATCATTGGCATTTGGACGAGGAATCCTTAAACTCTCATACACATTTGATTCCTCCACTAAAGCATGATCAGCATCCGACGACGTTTCATATATTGCATTCACATACACGGCGCTTTGGTTTTGGGGAGTAACGAACAACTTCATACCTAAAAGTAGTTTTAGGTTGATTTCATCATGGACTCGACAACTTCAGTGTTCTATTTGTAATGAATTTAAATGTTTTACAAAGATGAAATAGATTTTATGCAAATTGGTATTCTCAGATCACCTGAATATAATGGTCACATCCAAATAAATAAGTAAAGGTGAGAAACCAATATATTTATTTTCAAAGATAATATTCAACACTGAGCAAACATTACTCTCCCTTTACATATTTTATAGCTTGAATTTAAAACAGATCTATGAAATAAAATCTTAATTATTCAAATTGAGTAAATTAAACTTAAATCCCTGGATGCATACCTCTTTTGTCTGCCATGTTTACTTTCTTCAAAATTCAAGAGATGTGGAATAATAAAATGCTGTACTGCCACATCTGGCAAAGAAAGAATGTAAAAGTGTATTTTGCAATTACAACGTATTTCACAAAATGCGCCGTGGTTGCATGGTGCGAAAATAATGTTTTTTTTTTTTTTTTTTTTTTTTTTTGCAAAGGGCGGTGAGCCTGCAGTAGTGAGAGTGCTCAAAATTTATTCTCTGAGCGATATCAAGCCCGGTATTACAGGGGCTTAAGATAAAAAACAGCATGAAATATTACGATAAGCCACCCACCGCGCTTTCTATGCTGACATGTTGGTAAATATGTGTTATCTATAATCCCTGTACATTAGCAACGAGACCTAACTGTAATGCAAACTTTTCTTTCGATTTTGTCACTTACACTAGATCAAAGGGTATTTAAAAAATGGTTGTTTGTGTTAAATATTTTTCAGCTCTTATTATGTTCAGTTTTAGGTCGTTATTTGGCTAAATATTTCCGTTGTAAAGTTGCAATAATACAACTACAAACAGAACCTACCGCAAACTTAAAACTGTGGAGATACTTATTGTACACTTTGCCAGTGTATATTTTGCCATTTATATCACATTATCATCATTTGATGGAAATAGACATGTACTTATTGATAAGTAAACAAGACTCGTAACCAAAAGATAATAATGTTTCTGATTCTTTAATGTTTAATAAAGAAAAGACATTATCGCCAAGGTCACTATGATAAGCACAACCATTGTATCTACACTCACAAACATTTAATTCATTTCAACATTTTAACTTTGCAACGCAGTGCGCCAACTGTGAGATGAGATGACTTATCTTTAGAAGTATAAACGTAAAATTTCCAAACCTAGAATACATAATTATTGTACTTACCAGTGTGTTTGCATATAGTGGTGTTTTCAAGCAGCCTTTTTACTAATGTGACACTGCGCACGTTTGTTGACAACAACGCCTTCGCTACCACGCTGAAACTAATCAATATTGCTTCCTGGTTCACAAACGAGTTCAACACGTGACATTGCAAATACGTCGCTGCAAAATGTTTGCCTCTAAAAGTGGTTGCTTTTTTATTTATTTGAGCTCCATTCATAGGGACAAGGTAGTACTTCTAAATTGTCGACTTTGAAGGTAGGTCCTGATATTTTTATTCCAATTGTAAAGACAAAGTACACCCCACAAATAAAATATGCACTGAGGTACTTCATAGCTTTACTTTTTCGTCCCAAATATGCTCATAAAATACGATCCAGATACTAAATCCCCATATTCCTAAGTTAAAACTTCCATAGAACTTTACTTGACGGTTGCAATAACGTTCTAGTTAGAGTAGCTTCACGGATAGAGGTCATAATGTTTACACAACATAGCATCTTTGGTAGAGATAAAAAAAAATTATCATTAGGTTGCGGTAGTGAGGCGCCTTTAGCAGTATACAACTAAAACAATACATGTGAGGACGTGTGGCGGGATTAAACTGTTCACTTCTGCGTGGGATGGCCCCACTTCGCACCTAACACTTAAAATGTATTATCTAAATTTTCAGCAGGGCCCGAATTTCATCAACACTGGAGAGCGCTGTCCTTTGGATACCGTGTACAGGTACCTGAACTATCCATTTATCACTGGGTCACTGCTGTTACGTCATATACATACTGATACAGGGTCGCTTGTCACCTTTATTGGTTGATGAGTCAAGAGCCATAGAAAACAATTTTGAAATGCGATACTTCAGTCCAACATAATGGAAACAACATCAGCGTCGGTTTAGTACTTAAAAAAAAAAATTGAAAAAACACTCATTACAGTAGATTATATGTAGATGTAGGTAGATAGGATTTTCCTAATCTTTTAACAGTTTCCCCTTAACCAAATACATATAGGTACATTTTACATTATCTTGGAAGGCAGTAACTAAAAATACATGTTAATGAACGATCTCGTGCTATTCACATTTCATTCAAACAATTTTCCAAAGAGAAACGGAATAAAGTTAATAATAATCATAATAATTAATACACAATAAATAGCTTTTCACAACAAATATTTCAATGCAATTAAGTTATGTGCAGTGCTTAAGATATAACCGTATGCTATACTAAAAGGATGCATTCTACTCTAAACTTATTACAAAATACGAAGTTGAAAATATGTACCGCAAAAACTATAAGTGCGGTTTTTAAACTGTCTTAAAAATCTGTGATTGAATATTATTTCTCATTCCAGACAATAACAGGTTTACCAAAGTATATTTGGAGGAGCCCCGGTGAGACGCCTTAAAAAAGAAGAATTAAAAAACCAATGTGCTGGTCATGTAACTGGTAAAGGGGGGCACCGAAGTCACCGGGGAGAGAGTTGAGAACCCGCCACTGAACCGTGAAGAAGATCTGTGATTTCTTATCTCTCCATTTGACCAGCTCATTGGGTTACTGAAATTAATTTCCTTGTTGAAGATCAATGGCACCGATCCAACGTCTGACCGTTCGGTTATTTTCTTTGCATTTACAACATTATCTTTCCTCCTCTTATGTGAAATCACACTACTAGATGAATCAGATCATTTACTCTCTAATCAAGAGTGTCTTTCATGACTTGACCAATATAGCCTACTATACCAATTTAGCCTACTATACATTCTTGAGTCAATGTACGAAGGATATGGTGGCCATTATAACCTATCGACACTGATATAACATTGTAAGGTAAAGCGCTGGTCTGTAAATCTGTGTTGAATTTTATTTTGTTGGCGTGACAAAATATCAACAAATTACAGAATTTAAAAAATCAACACTTGTTAAATAATAGGGTGTTCATATGGCACTTTTGTCTTCCCGTAGGAGGTTTACTAAGTTCTAAAATGCATAGTCAAAAACAAAGAACGCCAGCATCTTCAGCGTGATTACAGTTTTCAACTGCCCAACCATTGTGACCACATGACCCAATACTGGATTCTGAGCCTGTGCATCCGACATCGTCCAACCATATGGTTCCTTTGCCTTGTCCAAAATATGCACTCTCTACAGCAAGTGCGTTGGAATACAGAAGACTTAAGGACTTGCAGAAAACTCTGGCATCAGTGTTATCCCAGCTGTCATCGCAAACTGTTCCCCAGTCTCCATTATGGTACACTTCTACCCTACCACCGTATTTGCTATTGATATTTATTCCAATAAGACGGTACGGGTGACTGGACACAAAAGCTGGAATGTTCAAACAAAAGATAAAGAGAGAGTGTTTCATTTATGATCCATTCATCTTGCTTTATCTTTTTTCTTTCTTTCTTTCTTTTGTGTAAGTTATATTCTGTCATGATATGTCTGAATTATATTGTTTTATCATGTGGTATTTTACACATTATTCCTTCAGAATTTTATCTCTTTCCAGCTACAGACTAGCGAGCTATATCAAATTATTTCTATGTTTGTCTATTTTAAGCTTTTTACCTGATTCACAATTCCTGCCTGTATATCTGTAAGGACAGCTGCAGGAATACGATAAAGTTTCATTCCTACAAATGGCGCCATTCTGACAGGGTGTGCTGCGACAGTGATCTGCTTCTGTAGCAAATATGGCGAATTTTCTAAGCATGTTCTTGTTAGTTTTCTTTTTATTGAGTTTAACTACGCAGGCAATTCATATAATACATTTTCTTTATATATGGATTTCATGTACAAATTATATTTATCATAATCCAAACATATTTGCTCATATATTTTCAAGTTTCACCTTGGCAGTTTGTCCCGTAGTACCCGGCAGAACACAAACATTGATAAGAATTCATCATGTCAACACACGTCCCACCATTCTGACAAGGATGGCTGGAACATTCACAGATTTCTTAAAAAAAAGAGTATATTAATAAAACATTATTTCATTTTAAAAGCAAAACATCTTATAAATACCGCAGAAAATGTGTACTGACTGTTAATTTTAGAATTTAATGTTAGAGATTTCGAAAATTAAAAAATTCACTTGGTATTTAAGTTTTCTTTGCAATGACCTGTATACCACCCTTTTACTGGCTAAAGTAACATACCAAGCTGACATAATTTGCCAGTAAAACCAGGAAGGCAATCGCAGTCAAAACTGCCATGATTATTTCTACAGGTGGCGCCCCTGGCACATGGGTTGTTCATGCATTCGTTGACGTCTACAAAAGAAGCAAAATATATTTGTACCTTTCTTTTTCCATTGATTTTCTTATTGCAGTTCTTTGTACTTATCCCAGTCGTTATTATAGCAAATATATAATATTCACTTTATTCTGCACAAACAGAATGCGTTACAAAGTTATAGAAAAGAAAGACGCCATTACAAAACATGTAATTTGATAATAAAAAAAATGCTTGATGCGTTCAAAATGGGAACATAATATTTTAATGCGTATGAGAGCTAATTAAATTAGTCTTATATTAACTTGTGATGGACCCAAAGTAATGAAAAAACTTTCATTGGTCTACCAGGTCATTAAAATTACACAAACTTATGGTTTGGTACCTACCGTTGTCACACCATGTCCCTTGGTAACTGGAAGAGCAAGAACATCGGAACGAGGCCACCGAGTTCTCACACTTGGCACCATTTTTGCAAGGGCTGCTTATGCAGTGATTGGTAGCTGGAATCAATAAACATGTATGCCTCCACACTGTATAAGATTTCATGCCTACGTTTCGGGCTGATATCTTATTTTTAGTCATCCTTTTTTTTTCACATTGAGTGGATTGGCACATTTAATGTTTTTTTCACCATATATATATATATATATATATATATATGCAGAGATACCAGTACAATATAATTCTTAGTGTCTTCCTTCGTTTAATTACTATTTGACCCACTGTTTGCTGAAACCAAACCTAAAAATCATGGGTGAGTTGCTCACTTTTTTCCTTTTGGGTATGCACAAGCAACCATACAACAGTAGCAACCAGTGCAGCGCATATGATTCCCACTAACACCAATGCTATTTGTAACCGTCTATTGACTTTTGTCTTTGGTGGCTGTGTTATTCTGATATTGGGATCATTGTCATTGTTGGTTGGACGCGGCATTCTAAAACTCTCGTAAACACTTGGTGTCTCCTCTGGAGCAAGATCAACCTCCGACGACGTTTCATATGTTGCGTTAATATAAGCGGCGCTTTGGCTTTGAGGGGTGGTAAATAACCCGATTCCTAGAAATGATTTAAGCATAATCCCATTACTGAACTAGTGACACACGCTTTAACACGCTAAAGGAGTAGATTTTTCATCCATCATCAGCTAATATTAAAATGGTTTTCCTCCAACAGTTCGATGTCTATCAAGAACATCTTAATCGGGGAAATAGCCTCTGTCCCCCTCCCCTTACTGCCCTAAAAGGCAGGTATGGGCCAGTGGGGATGGCTTCATTATTTTCAACATTAGCCGTTGAGTGCCTATAACATAACACCCTATAACATAACACAGCTGATGAAAATATTCTAGTTGTGACGGAACATAGAGTGTTTTTATTATTCCACATGAAAGCAATGCATACACTTTACAGTGAAGAATCTTTATGCTTAGTGGTGCTCTGCAATCATCTTAAAGTCCGTTTCAAATTGAATTTAAGTTGTTAAAGTGGGAAGCCAATAATTTATTTTCAAAGAGTATATAAAACATGTGTTGCTTACAACACCACATTTTTGCATATATACTCCATCAACATAATTTTATAGCTTCAATCTCATTTTTTTTTTTAAATCAACTCCACTTCAAGATATGAAGCGTACGTTCTTGGATGCATACCTGATCTGTCTGCCATGTTAAAATTCTTCGAAGTTGAAGAGCTGTGCTGAAATAATAAAATGATGTGGAGTCACATCTGGCAAAATCGCTCCATTTTTGAAACGAAGAAAAATTTAAATGAGCATTTTACATCTACAACACAATTCACATTATTTTTTCTAAATCACTAAAGTGGTTTAAAAAACATTTTATCATAGGTTTATGTTTCCCTGCGTTAGCTCTTTATTCCACATGTTGGGAATCTCTACCATTAATTCTATCCTTATTATTATTGTGAAATCGTTTTCTGAATTTTTGGAAAAAAAAAGAATTGACCCAAGAATACAACATTGTCTTTATTTCTTTGGAGCCATTAATAATAATAATAATAATAATAATAATAATAATAATTTATTGTCTAAAATCTATATAAAATACTCAGTAGACTTTACAGGGGTAAATCGAACATCTCTAACAAGGTATAACTCTTGTTGCAGAGAATTGATCCAGGTAGTTTCTAATAGCATCAATGTTTCTGCTGTTAAAAACACATGATTGAGTGATATTTAATACTTGTCTTTAGATCCACGCAGAGAGTAACGTAGACACCAAGGTTTTGGTTTTAGGTTCACGACACTGGTGCCTACTGGTAATTCAAGTTGTAGATTGTATGTAAAAAAAATATGTGCGTGATTAAAAAAAACACAGATGAATCAGCGCGGAGTTTACTGTTAAGCAGTGGTGCTAAATTTGATGTGAATATGATTCCTGTTGTTCTAGTGGAAAGCTAGATTACGTGTAAAAGAATCAATCATCTGTTATTTCTCAATACTGTCTCAATATTATGAACTTTGAATTAAAAAACATCATAAAAAGAATCATTAACGCTCCTTCATACTTTATATTGCTGACCCGTAAGTAAACTCGTTGTCTAATATCCCTGCACCAGACTAGAAAGCAAACTTTCTTATCGGTTTTGTCATTTTCACGAGGTCAAAAACTGCATGCTGCAAAAACATGTTTGCGAAACACGTTGTTTCAACTCTTATCTCAATTATTTATCCTGAGTTCTAGGTCGTTCTTGACTAAATACCTTCGTTGGTATAGTTGTAAGTATCAAACTACTAATATAAGAATTCATTCAACCAATTATAAAATTCAGAATCATTTGTCTTTGGAGCAAAGTTTGATGAATTTTTTAATTAAACAAATAAAGAATAAGGTTTTAAATGTTTAATCGCGTCACTGCACTCCGGTGAAAACTGTTTGAAAAGCGTTTACTTCCTTTGAAATGTCAGAGTCTGATGTTGCTAGGTAAAAAGGTAAGAAGTCTCCCATGATGCTATCAGTTATTTTCTCCATAAGCATATCACTTACTTTAAGAGTCTACATTAAAACATGTAGATACATTCACAAAGTTCACTAATCCTATGATATCGCTTCATAATAATTTGATATAAAGATTCTCAACTTTAGTTTTTTATAAGTAAAACATCACTTGTGAACCAATTAATGTTATATTTCAGGATGAAGATTGTCTTTTTCTAAAAGGTTTAAAAATGAATTGACTATATCGCTAAAATCACTGTGATGAAAACAACCTTTTTATCCACACTCACGAACATTCATTTTAGATATCCCCGTCAAAATTTAAAAACTTTAAAATTTGGAGCACAATAGCTGCACAATTGTGAAGTAAGATTACTTATCTATGGAAGTATATAAATGAATATTTCAAATCTGGAAGACATAATTATTGCCCTTACCAGTGCGTTTGCAAAGAGGTGTTTTCAAACGGCTTTCTTTCTAATGTGACACTGCGCATGTTTGTTGATAACAACGCGTTCGCTCCCACGCAGAACCTAAGCAGTATTACTTCCTGGGTCACAGACGAGCACAGGACGTGACGAGAAAAATATACGACGTTGCAAAAAGTTTGCAACTAAGAGCGACTGCTTGTTTTCTAGAAAGGTATTTACTCCAAAATTGGAGCTACGAACATGTAGAAATCAGTCCCTGCTAGTACACCAGCAGCTTTCCAGGTGTAGATCAGTTTTCTTTGATAGAAAGAAAAAAATCCCAACATATTTTGGTAGTTGAGGCGCCTCGGTGTACAACTAAAGCAATGCATATAACGCCGTGTGACGGGACTTAATAGTTCATTTCTGTGTGGGACGGTCCGCCTTCGCACCTATTTATTATCAAAAATTTTAGCATTTTCCTCTCAATCACCCAGGTATTATATATTTCTCCTCGCGAAAAATATGTATCATAAATTCATTAAGATTACAGTAACAGTTACTTTTTGGTTTCATTATGTTGAATTTTAAAAGAGAAAAGGATGTGGAATATAATAACATTATAATAAAGATCATAATAGTACATATTATATTTTATAAATAACACATCATCATTTAAATTTAAAGTTATATGCAGTTTACAAATCTTAAAATACAATAATATGTCATTGTTTAATTACCTACATTGTACACCAGATAACTTTGTTTGTAACGAATTCTTATAGAAAATTCTTTGCATTAAATTTTTAAATGCTATTTTAAACTGTTTTTAAAACTAATAATCAGTCTACAAGCTTTAATTGGATTAATTTATCATATCTCATTCCAGGAAATGACAGGCTAACTGATTGGATTTGGAGGAGCCCGAGTGAGACGCCTTAAAGACGAAAGGAGCCCAAAAACGATGGGCTGGTCACATGACTGACCAGACGATCAGGCACCTGCTGGAGTTTGGGTGGCTAGGAAGGGGAGTTAAAGAAGTCATCTGTGAAGATAATAGAACCCGTCACTAAACTGTAAATGAGGAATGAGACTTACAAAAAAATCGACAATAACATACCACGCTTTATGTTAGAGGAAAGCAATTGTTTGTAAACCTGAAGTAAAATTACCCTTTGCTTGAGTTAATTTCAACAAAATATTTAAACCAACTGTTATTCATCTGAATGCAATATAAAACAATGCTTTTGTTGTCCGTCCATTGAAGGTTTATTCAGCTGAAGTAGGTAACATATTTTTAAACAGTTAATTTTATTACGTATCATCAATAACAAAGAACACCAGAATCTTCACCGTGATGATGACAGTTTCCACGTCCCCACCCTCTGAGCCTTTAACCCTCAAGAGACCAAGTTATTTTACTGACGGAAATGCCTAAGTGGGGTCATCTATGACCCCATTGTGTTCTATACAGGGATCCTTATTATAAAAGGCTGTTGAGGGTTTATCACACCTATACTACTCCCAGGATTTAAGACAAGTATTTTATAATGATCTAATGTAAAAAAATATTTGGTAATAATACTTTTATTGCATGAAATAACCAAGCACAGATTTTAAGAACAACATTACACCGGTATTTAGACAGTCCTTGTCAATTTCCACTTGCAGAAACATTTCTCTTTTTATTTGCCACACTAAATGAAAAAAGTACATTACAAAATTGCTTTGAGTAAAAATATTTTGACTTATGTTGAGATAGCATCCTGCTGACTTCAATAAGAATAATTAGCTGATTTGCTGAGTAGGGAATACCCTAATGCCATGGTAAGGAAGTCATACTACTCAGAACACATTCAATCAACCTACATGTATGTTACTACCACATCTGTGTATATAACAAAATCCACACAAACACTTTGTTAATATATGTATAAAATGATATCGACAGAATTCTTTTGATTTCCGAAATACCCGAAAATTGTAACCGTCAAAACGAGAGACCCAGTTATGAGAACAAGTTCCAACAAAGCTACTGAAATTAGATTCAGCGATGCACTATTAGGTACACTTCAAGCACAATCTTTACAAACCACTTATTTGTGCCTATGTTATGGGCACACTGGCTGGTTGCATGAAGTACATGCATGTGGCATTTTCCTGTCAGTGTTGCATGGGCAAAACATTTGAATTAAATTTGAAAACTAATATTTAAAAACCCATGCTTCTCTTTGGGGTCATAAATGACCCCACAAGAGTTTGTGCTGTATACGCCACACTAATTGGTTGATCCCTACAAAAAACTGTGAAAGTGTGTAGGATTAGTAGACTGACAAACTCATGCAACGAAAGAAAATTCGAATAAAAAATAAAGAGATGGCACATTAAATCATATGGCTGGGGTCGTAAATGACCCCACTCGGTCCCTTGAGGGTTAAGACTCAATATTGGGTTCTGATCACGTGCAGTTGACAGCCGTATGGTTCCACCACCTTATCCGAAATAGGCTTCTGTACAGCAAATTCCCTTAATAACTGAAGTATATTCTTAGCAAAATCGTAGTTACTGAAAATATATTTAAATAGAAAGAAACTTCATTAAGATTAATGATAATAAAAATAATTAAATGTCAAATGTTATTTATAGCACTCCATTTCATAGATTTCAATGCTACTGACGGATATGTCTGTTTACTATACTATACTATACTATACTATACTATACTATACTATACCAAAAGCATGTATTCTAACTCTAACCTTGACTTATAACAACTGAATAGATTTCAATGCTACTGACAGTTATGTCTGTTTAATCTATTACTCTATACTATACTGTTCTATACTATACTGTACCGTACTATACTGTACTGTACTGTACCGTGCCGTGCCGTGCCGTGCCGTGCCGTACTATACTAAAAGCATGTATTCTAACCATAACCTTGGCTTAAAACAACTGAATAATGCAAGAGTAATGTACTGATTTTTAAACCTGACAAACGCTACTCATTTTACATAACCGAATATCAACAAATCATTGCTATTCATTTGTCTCTCCCTGTATTAGTTCACTATGCGGAAAAAGGTGGCACATTTTCAACAGCATGTTCTAAGATGTATCTTCAATAACAAATAACTCCAGCATCTTCATCGTGACCACAGTTATGAATCCCCCAACCTCTGTGAGTACATGATGCAATGTTGGGTTCCCACCCTGTGCAGTCAATATCGTCCAACCATATAGTTCCATTACCTTGCCCGAAATACGCACTCTGTATACTAAATGCTCTGGAATAGGGAAGACCCAAGGACCTGCAGAAAACTTGAGCATCATTATTATCCCAGCTGTCGTCGCAAACTGTTCCCCAACTTCCATTATGATACACTTCAACTCTGCCACTGTATTTTCCAGTGGTAATTGATCCAACAAGACGATACAGGGGTCGGTACAGCAAATCTGAAATGTTCAATGAAAACCTGTTCAAAGAGCAAGCGTTTCAGTTATGGTCAGCATGTTTACATTTAGAATTCACCCACATTTTATTGTATTTACTTCGACACTTATTCTCATTTTACCTACTGTCTTGCAAAACTGATTATATCAACATTTTTCATGACACGGCTTTAACCTGATTAACTATCCCTGTTGGTATATCTAGAATGACAGGTGCAAGAATAGGTGTTAACATAACTACTGCACGTGGCACCTTTTGTAGCATGTTTATATTTAGTATTATTGTCAGCAGTAAGACATGATATGATTTTAGCAACATTCAGTGAGATGAAATGGATTATGTTTATGTCTCTGTAAATAACGCCCTAGCTTTATTCTGTAATTTACTGTTTTGTCACCAGACCTCTGTATGACACATATAATTCGTTCTTGTAAGAACGAACCAGAACATGTTCTCTAGGTCACAATCAGAAACATTATTTTGCATATTATTTGTCATCTTATATTTATTATCTTTTCTCACCTTGGCAGTTTGTCCCGTAGTACCCGGCAGAACACAAACATTGATAAGAATTCACCATGTCAACACACGTCCCACCATTCTGACAAGGACGACTGGAACATTCACTGATTTCTATAATAAGAAACATGAATAGATGTCAACTGAAAAAAGAGCAGAGTCATCATTCACCGACTTCTAAATTGGTAATATATTCGGTAAATTAATGCCAGGAATTATTCAATCGTAAAAGAAGCAACACGCCATCCAGGTGTCTGATATCAAATTTCTATTTTAAAATAAAACTATGCAAAATCTGTTTTCCCGTAATGGCATTTAAAAAGGTCGATAATTCAAAACAAAATCACTTGATAATGATGTAATGTATGTTCTAACTAACTTACAGGGGATAATTCTACGTGGTTTTGTTAAAATTCTGCATAATTTTTAACTGATATCCTACCTAGCTGGCAGTATGTTCCTGTAAAACCACCTGGACAACTGCAGTGAAATCCGCCATAACTGTTTCGACAGGTGGCGCCACTGACACACGGGTTATTCAAACATTCATTTATATCTGAAAAGAAACAAAATATGGACCAAAGACTTAATTTTAAAGTTCAATTAAGTTAAGCGTTTTTTTTTTCACCTTAAACATGTAATTGTGAAACTGTTTTTACGTCATTCATGTGCTGCTTGATAAATGTGCCTTTTCTGTTGAACGCATTTACAAGATTAGAGTTTTTTATGATTTTGAAAGAAAGTCAACGAGAATAAATGGTGTGATCCAGAGTGCAAATAACGTTTATGAAAACTTGTGTTAACTGTGACATCGAATGTCGCATATTTTTCTTCAGATGAGTTCAACCGGATATAGTGAAAATTGTAATGCCACAAGCAACAATGTGTTTGCATGTAGACTTACCGTCTTCGCACCTTGGCCCTTGGAAACCGGAAGTACAAGAACACACAAACGAAGCTGCCAGGTTTACACACGAGGCACCATTTTTACAGGGTAGGCTAAGACAATGGTTGGTCACTTTGGTAAAGTATGGATAAATATGATTAGATTTCATAACAGAAATATCTTGCTAACAATGCAGTTACACCTATAATATTGGGGCTTAATATGTGTGAGTTATGGAATGCGTGAGAAAATGATATATAACTTCTTGACAGTTATGTGTCGGTTTTCTCTACTTTTCGCTGAATCATTCTAAAATACAGTTTAACATAATGAACGTTTCATGTAACAATTTAACCATTTTTCAAAAATTTCCCAATTTACAACTATCCTTAAATTATTATTTTACTTGAACCTGTCCTAGACTAAACGCATGGCCGTTTTTGTGCTAGAACATCGCAAGAATACAAAATGTTTTCCAATAGATTGATTACTTGTTAATTGGGTTTAACCACAGCCACAGGTGTAGTTCTTACTTGTTTCACAATTTCTACCCGAATATCCAGAAGGACAACTGCACAAATACGTCTCAGATTGATTCCTGCAGACTGCACCATTTTGGCAAGGCTGGCTGCGACAGGGATCTCTAGCTGTAACACAAGTCTCAGGTGCTAATGGTGGTTCTTTTCCACAAAAAAACAATGGAAAAAACTGCTTGCAAATACTAAAATCAAGGAATGTGCGTTGGCAAACACACACACACTGTTTTTTTCAATATGATATTTGTTATAAACGCACAGAGAGAACGTTTAATACATACCTTGACAGTTTGTCCCATAGTACCCGGCAGAACACAAACATCGATAGGAATTCACCATGTCAACACACGTCCCACCATGCAGACAGGGACGGTTGGAACATTCACGGACTTCTGCAATTGTATAATAAATGATTCAGTAAAATGCATAAAAATGCAAAACATGTTTTGTCCGCTGCCTTGAGAACCCTCAACAATCATATTTATATCCGACAAAGCTTATATTCCCAATTCAGACCTCAAAATGGATCAAAACCTATAAAAAAATAAAGTTTTTTTAGAGTGTACCGTGCCTACACCTGTAGTGCGCATGCTCATCAATTAAACTCGAGGTGAAGAAAGCATGGCGGCTGGGGGCGATCGCAGGAAAAAAGCTCTTCTGTTCTATTATCTTTCAAAACAGAGACGAAAAAGAAATGAATTGGCCCGTAGAGCAGCAATGAATCGGCTATCTACGGAGATAATGTCACCAGAGATATTCACGGAAATATTCACGGAGATAGGCCTACCCAGCTGATCAGCTGACCCAAGACCAAGGAGCATGCGCACTTAATATTTCTCAGGTGGCTTCCGCATGGCGAACGGAGCCGAGATTTAATGACTGTTCCCCGCAGGGACGACGTGTGGGGAGGCGTGTGAGAGGCGGAGAGACAATTAAAAGATTAGGCGGGTTTTCTTTTATGTACGTCCGCCATATTTAGTTCCAGGATTTGTAAAGCCTGGCTCGATCAACTCGTTGTGAATGCGATCTTATCCCAGGGAAATCTCGTGAAGAGTACCTTTAATAGGAAAAAGAAGCAGAAATAACTTAACTAATAAAACAAAATGTATCAAAATAAACAAATTACAATAAATGCAGCGAAATGTGAAGTGGGAATGGAATGATAAAGGAGGAATGATAAGAAACCAAAAAGTTGAATACCAAATGAAACCTAAAAAAGAAAAACAGAAATAAACTCACGCCTACCTGAAAATATAGAAGAAGTGTGTCATTTCAAGACAACAAAGTGGACAAGAAAGAACACGTCTTTCCTATGGCGCGACTTGCGAACGACTGATCTCTTTCCCTCGCGCGAAAGAGACTTTGGACAAAGAAAAACACACACAAAAGAATACGAAAATACACGAATGAAGACGAACGAATACGCACACAAGGAGAACACAATGAGAGCACAAGGAGAGCGAAACTAAAGTATTTCTCCGGTCGAAAGTACACCAAGAAAGGACACATAGTTCTCGCACGTGATACCATTTCAACAAAGTTTCCTAAACCAATGGTTGGTCAGTGTCATACATATCTACGGTCAAGCACCTTAATACTCTGCCATGCCAAAGCTTTGGAGTAATATATGGTAATTAGTAATCGATAAAAATTTGGACATGTACATGATTGACAGAACTCTTTATATATATATATATATATATATATATATATATATATATATATATATATATATATATATATATTTATGAGTGCATGAATTGAGAGGAGTCGCCGAGGCTAGTTTGCTGTCAAAATTTGTTATCATACACAACACAACAGAATCAAATAGATGTAGGTTGAAAATGTCATTTTATTGACATTTGCACTTTGATTAATGTTCAAAGTACGAATGAAAAATACTGAGAGTTAGATATAAATCTATGAACGACAATCATGCATGTTATATAATTTTCAAGCTTAAAGATATAATTTACATTTCAGCAAAGATGGAGGGAAAAAGGGATATATATATATATATATATATATATATATATATATATATATATATATATATATATATATATCAAATTCATAAAAATTTTTTTAATTTTTTGTCTATATTTTCTATTTTCTATTTGTCTTCCGTCGTTTATTTTCTAATTAAACCTATTGTTTACAGAATTAAAACTTTTAAAATTATGGCTGAGTTGCTCACTTTTTTCCTCTTGGGTATGCACAAGTGACCATACAACAGTAGCAACCAGTGCAGCGCATATGATTCCCACTAACACCAGTGCTATTTGTAACCGTCTATTGACTTTTGTCTTTGGTGGCTGTGTAATCCTTGGATTGGGGTCAGTGACATTGTTGGTAGGACCACAAATTCTAATACTCTCGTAAACACTTGACGTCTCCTCTGGAGCAAAATTCACATCTGATGACGTTTGATTTCTATTAACTTTTGTCTTTGGTGGCTGTGTAATCTTTGGATTGGGGTCAGTGACATTGTCGGTAGGACCACAAATCCTCATACTTTTGTAAACATTTGGCGTCTCCTCTGGAGCAAAATTTACATCCGATGACATTTCATATGTTGCGTTTACATACCCGGCGCTTTGGTTTCTATTAACATTAGTCTTTGATGGCTGTGTAGTCCTTGGCTTGGGGTCAGTGACATTGTCGGTAGGACTTAAAATCATCATATCCTCGTAGACAATTGGCGTCTCCTCTGGAGCAAAATTCGCATCTGATGACGTTTCATATGTTGCGATTACATACGCGGCGTTTTGGTTTCGAGGAGTAGTTAATAACTTGATACCTAAAAGCAGAAGTGAGAAACCAAAACATTTATTTTAAAATATTATGTTGAACACTGGGCAAGCATTTCTGCACGTACTCTCCCATTACATATTTATTTCTTTGGCTTAAATTTAAGACAGGTTTATAAAATGAACTCTTATTTGTACAAAATGATTAAATTAAACATTCATCCCTGGATTCATACCTCTTGTGTCTGCCATGATTACTTTCTTCGAAATTCAAGATCTGTGGAATAGTAAAATGTTATATTGCCACATGTGGAAATTTTTAAGCATATTGCAAACGAAGAAAATGTAAATTTGCATTTTGCAATTACGACGCTTTTTACCTTTTTGTAAATAACTGAACGGTTTGAAAAACATCTTTAGCATAGGTCCACATTTATTCTCTTTCAGCTGATTCTGAAAATTAGGATGGGCCCCAAAATACTACATTGCATTTATTAAATTTGGGTCCTGAGAGGAATTTCATTTTATTTTGATTCCAATTAATCGTCGTTGCTAAACGCATGGCGTTTAAAGCAAAATGCAGCGGATTTCGGCTGGACAAGGGCGTTAAACGAGATAAATAGCGTTTTACTGGATTGAACGTCGCTGAGTTAACCGTTTAGCACAAGTGTAACGAAACTGATGGCCCGTGTTACAGAAACCCATTTAGTTATTATGGTTAGGGTTAGTCTCCATTTAGTTATTATGGTTAGAGTGAGCCTGACCTAAGTGGGTCAAAATCCTGTACAAGTGAATGGAAAGCGGACTCTTTACCATGAGACTCTGACATGTTACATCGGCGTTTAATTTGATGTGAACTTACTCTCTATTGTGCTTGTTGGAACTACATGTAGATGACGTCAAAATAAATAACCCACCTGTTATTGCATAAGACTGTCCTAATAACAGGACTCCTAATGAGACTAGTACAAATCACCTCAATTATTTTTTTAAATATTAATAAAAATATCAAAATATTTATTGAAACTGGAACTGTAACAACTGAGAGATCGCTTACGCCCGCATCCTGCCCACCTCAGTCTGAAACACGTTATCGGGAACCAACACAGATCTCTTTGGTTCCTCAACACGTTTCAGTGGCGTACATGTACAAACGTTGGCTGTTAAATGTGCCGTGGTTGCATAAACAATGTTTTTCTATGGTTGCAAACGGCGTTGAGTCTGTAGTAGTGACAATGCCCACAATTTATTCTCTGAGCGATCGCAAGTCCGGTGTTATAGGAGTTTAATATTAAAAACAGCAGGGAATATTACGATAAGCGACCCCCCGGGCTTTCTGTAACTGATATGATGGTAAATATGGTATCTATGGTGGTAAATATGATATCTATAACCTCTATACATTATCGATAAGACCTTACCGAAATGTAGACTTTCTTATCGATTTTGTCACTTCCACTAGACCAAAGAATATTGCAAAAAAATTGTTGTTCGTATTAAACATCTTTTCACTCCTTATTTTTATTAATTTATTTATTTTATTTTATTTATTTATTTATTTATTTATTTATTTATTTATTTATTATTATTATTACTTTTTTTATTTTGCTGAATGTCTCCGTTGTAAAGTATCAATAATAAAACTACAAACAGAACCTACGCCGAACTTAAGATCAGGTACGCGTTCATTACACTTTGTCAGTTCACACTGTCATTTATTTATTATCATTTGATGCAATTATACATGTACTTTTTGATGAGTAAAACAAGACAAGTTACCAAAAGATCCTAATGTTTCAGGTTGAAAACCGCCTGATTCTAAAACGTTTAACAAAGAAAAGACACCATCGCTGAAGTCACTATGATAAGCACAACCATTTCATCTACACTCACGAACATTTAATTCCCTTCAACATTTTTACTTTTAAATGTGGAGCACCATAGTTGCACAACTGTGAGATGAGATAACTCATCTATAGAAGTATGTAAAATATTCAAAACCTAGAATACATAATTATTATACTTACTAGTGCGTTTGCAAAATTGTGTTTTCGAACAGCCTTTATACTAATGTGACTCTGCGCACGTATGTTAACAGCAACGCGTCAGCTCCAACGCTGAAACTAAGCAATACTACTTCCTGGTTCAGAAACAAGTTCAACACGTGACGGGGAAAATATACGTCACTGCAAAACGTTTGCATCTAAAAAGTGGTTGCTTTTTTATTATTATTTATTTGAGCTTCATTCATATAGACGGGGTTATACATTTACTCCTTTGAAGGCAGGTCCTGATTTTTTTTTCTTTTTCCATTTGTCTAGACAAAAAGTACACCCCACAAATAAAATGTGCACTGTGTTATTTCATAGCTTTACTTTTTTCGTCATAAAATACGAACCAGATACTAAATCCCAATATTCCTAAGTTAAAACGTCCATAGTCACTTGACGATTGCAATAAATTTCTAGTTTAAGAGGTCATAATGTTTACACAACATAGCATCTTTGGTAGACATAAAAAGTTATCATCAGGTTGAAGAAGTGTACCCTAGGTTCTAGATTTCCGTATTGCCAGCTCGATCTTGATTTCATACATAACCCATATCAGCAATACGAAACTCTAGCCACTAGCGGCAGATTGAGGGCGTGTTTGTCAAAATGTTGCCTGGGGCGCTTCCATATTTGGAAGTCGCAAGTCTCGTACGTCACAGCTGTATTCGCCTGAGAGCTCCATTTTTGGAAGTCACAAGTCTCGTACGTCATAGGTTTGGCCGCCTGAGCTGACTTTCCCGCCCTTCGGTGACTTTATCTCGTGCAAACGAGACAAGAAGCAAAGTGGCTGATACGGAGTTTGAAGTTTGAACTAAGAATATCTTGTAGTCGTAGGTCAGTGCAACAACACAAGCAACATTCTGCTTTAAAAACTGATTTTGGTCTAGCCATTGCGCAGCCCTTATAGTGGTGTCGGGCATACAGTGTAGCTGTCAAACTTGGCACACGGCAAGCACGTGTGTTGTGTTTATATATTCAGGAGTAAATGTTATTTGATAAGCAAAAAATACAAAAAACATTGGATATTGGATATATCTTTTTCTTTTAGGAGAATATTATTTATTTTTCACTTTACATCTTAAATACAGTAAATGAAATTAAATAAAGCATAATTTTAAAAATCTGTTTTACGTTTCATTTTGGTTTAATGACATTCAACTGCAGACTCACTGCGGAGCAGTTCTTTTTGACTGACGGAAATCGTACACTGTCGCTGTTCGTCAGAGCTAGCTAGTAAAAGTGATCCCATCCCAAGATTTTTTACCAAGCTAGCCTTTACTGTGCACTGACATTCAGGGTTAAGTAGTGAGGCGCCTTAATTGAGTAATATTCCGCTACAGCAATCCATGTGCGTACGTGTGACGGGATTCAATCGTTCACTTCTGTGTGGGATGGTCCGACTTTTCAAGTTGCACTTAAAGCCTTATTGTCTAAATTTTCAGCATTTTCTCCCTTAATCAGCCAGTTTATTTTCGTCGTTCCATTGTCGTCGATTCTTGAACCAGGCATGGCAACTGATTGATTGACTGATATCTGGCTCACGGAATTATCAGCCACAATTACCAAAAAAGACATGTCCAGGTTTTACCCCTTGTTTCACTTCCCGTATTAAGCAAACAGTGGGAACCTTTATAATAATGGGCCTTGGTGTGAACTAATCCTTGGCCTGGACATTGTCCACATCTATCTCCTTAAGGTTATTATTTTCTTACAAGCAGTTTCTACGCTAACAAGCCCCAAAATATTGACTCCCTAAAGAATAATGTTCGTACGAATTGCTTATGACATGTTGAACACTGCCATAACATACTGCAGTGTGTGAGGAGCCACATGGATTCAGCCCCAAGGGGTTTGGATCGAGCACTTTATAATCTATCGAGCTTTGCTCGCAAAATGACGACATGCGAAATTTATATGTTGTCGGGACATGAGTTGAAAATGTGAAGCTGTCCTTGGTTAACATAGGGAGCGCCACAAAAAAAAAATATTTTTTCCCGGTGGTTACAATGGGGAATATTAAGTAAGTGATATTCCAAAAGCTACAAATGCAGAAAGCCGAGTTTGGTTTGTATGCGCGATCGAACTATTTGGAAAGCGTTCAAGGAAAGTGCCCTTGAATCGGGTTGGGCGAAAGCGTAACAAGATCAGCAGATATGGCCGTAGTGCCTAAATCGTGGGAAGATATCCACCCAACATGTACGATCATACAGGTATATTTAAATGACCAAAAAAACGAAATCTGAATTAGTTATAAAAACATTCCCAAGAAACAGGATCAAACCAGCTTTGATGGGAAGAGCAAACGTCGTATACAAGGCATGTACTTTCTGACTTTATGACGACTTTAAATGGTAGCGTTATTTAAAATAAATCTAACCTAGCCTCCGTTAAAACTAATTAAATTATCTTAACTACTCCAGTAATATGTAGGATGTAAATTCTACAGACGTATCGACTAATACATTTATTTGCGATGAAATGTGTCCAGTAGTTGTGTGTGTATACATATATATATTTATTTATTTATTTATTCTTGGTCAAAAATGGTTGTCTCACCTTCAAGTTGAGGTGCTTTTGTTTACAAATGATCACCTCTCAAATCCAACTGTGCATATTGTAAACAGTTCTTTTTATTCTTAACTCGGTTCTTTTATTCCAAAGTGACATAAGGCTGATCTCACCAACATCAAAACATCTTATAAAATCAATTGTAAAAATCGAGAACATTACATTAACCACTGCCGTCGTCCTAATATTTTCTTATGAAGGCTCCATTTTAGTTTAATAAAATTTCGTAAACGTATGAGTATTATATGACGAAGTAGATTATATCGTTTGTTGATACGAGAGGTAGTAAATACAAGAACGGTATATTCTTTCATATAATTTATTACTATTTTCCCGTTGTTTCCCCCGCCGTTTTTTCTCCATTTTTATTTCTACATGAACTTCATCCAATTTCTAAAGGCCTTCTCTCCGCTTACATTACACGCAGTTTGCAAGCATCATAAGAACAAACCAATCTACCCTGGATGCAGTTACTGTACAAGCACTCCCCGATCCTTATTCACTCATGGCTGTCAATTACTAACATTACAAATGTATCTTTCACAGTTCACAAGATTCTGAATGAATTTTATCACATAAATGACACATCATGACTAATACGAGGGGCGGTTACTGTAGCTGAAAACGGTAAAAATAAAATCATTTGTGCGGCCACCACTTCCATTTTTGCCTTCCCTGGATAAATGTGGCTTTAATATTTACAGGTTGGAGACAGATTGACGAGCACAGGATCGGTTTGGCTAATAAACCGGTCAGCATAAATGGAGCGATTGTTACATTGTACCTGTTCCAAGCTGAGCATCTGTCGTGTTAAGTTAATGCTCTTCAACGACGAAAGTTTTGTCGCCGGGCATCACAATCTTGGGCGTTAATAATAATAGTGCCGTACATAACGCTTAATTGTCAAATTCCTTTCTTGTATGTGAATCATGCTTGAAGATAGTTCGTATTGACATAATATACATTATTGGCCCACGTCAGCACTCTTCCAGTATATTTGGACTTTATTCTCGCAGACCCATTTCTTTCTGCGAAAAATATCTTAAAACCTAGTTCTTCTAGTTTTCTCAATACATATACATGCTTTGGTGTTATATATTTCGAGAAGTTCCATATGTGGAATTCAATGGCTAACTGTTTAACATGTTTTAAAGATCCTTCCTTTAAGGCAGTCTTTAAGGCGTCCCATTCCGACTCTTCTACGTCCATTTTCAGGTAGTCTATTGTTGCCTGAAATTTAGAAAAATGTTAATTAGAAGCGACGTTGACTAGATTTGACATTTTAAATATTTTAATAATCTTTGTATAGTTTTTATATATGCTTTTGATACTTCATATTTGCTTTTTTAATTAGTAGTATTATACTTTAATTCTAAAGCAAAATTTTGTAAACACGAATTAAGTATAGAATAGTATTGCATTATAAGAATTTAACATTGCACAGTGTATATAACTGTAACGTGCAGTGAAATAAACATAATAAATTGTTATATAAGATATATAAATATTATCATTATAACTGACCTCTTTTCTTTCAATGTATTTATAATGTGTTATTTCTTGTTATTTGTACTAAATGCATCTTGTTGACAAAGGGAAAATTGGTGAAAAAATTACTTTAGCTACATGAAGACCTTCTGTCAATTCTAGTCGTTTGCTTTTAAGACCAATAAAAAAGGAGTATTTATTACATCTGTATGTTTCAGCATCTGCCTTACTGTCCCTAGAGTTTTGAGGGCCCATTGTTGTCCATTCTTCCACTTGACAATTCTGTTTTCACGAAAGAGTCCAATGTTGTAAAACCACATGTTTGGTTGGACCTCTTTGGACTCTTGCTTTAGGCCGATGCTGAAAAAAAATTATATATATACACATGTATACCTTTTAGATATTAAGAAGATATTAAGATTATAACTGCTGATCGAGTCACAGACTTGGGTCCCCAGCTCTTTAAGTGAACCATTTTGAAAATACTGTACCTTATAATAGGCAAATGTTAAATTACTGACATGGCTGAATAGCCTAAGTTTATCAAGGAGTTAATTTGCATTGTAAACATCTGGGCCCGGTTTCATCAAGGCTGGATAGGCTATACTATGGATAACACTATTCAAGGTATAAATCTCTTATCCTCTGTATAGTTATCCTCTGTATAAAATTGTGTTTCATAAAGGCTGGATAAACAGCATGATAGTAATCCAGTGGATAAAAATTAATCCAATACCATATTTGGTAAAATACATTCCCATAATGCAGTTGGTTGCTATAAACATTATAATAGCCATGATAGTTGCTAACAAAAAAGTGATCTATACCATATTTGGAAAATAAATTACCCATAATAAACAATATTATCAGTATATTTCAAGATGGTACATTCATTAAAATAATGGGGAAAATATTCTACAGGATATTTTAGTGTCAGAGTCACAAACACATCACATTGCATTAGTTGTGCCTCATGCAATGTTTACAATTTGCAGTTGAAGGGCAAGGTCGTGACATACTTTTTAACAAAATGGCTGACTTGGCACATATGGCAGATTCTGTCAATAGCAGTGTAGAATTTTTTTCATCGATTTAAAAGGTATGTTTTAGTAAAATTAAAGATCATTGGTATCTCACAAATTGCATGGGTTCTGTTCGTAGCAGGCGCCATGTCAACTTTGATAAAGTCTGTTATGTAATCTATTGATTCAGCATCACTTAAAGCATTAAAAAAGCAAACAGACGTCTTCTAAAATTCTCTTTCTAATCATTCTACGCCTGTGAAATCCCATAGGATTTACTCCCAAAGCAAGCAGGTTCTCCATTTTTGATGATTTGACAGCATGATAGCAGATTTATCCCACCTATTTCGAGCGGACAACTTTATCCTCAGAGTAAGCTGATTTATCTCCTGGATAACGCTATCCACTGTTGATGAAACACACTATCCTCTGGATAGCTCTATCTAGAGGATAGCGGCCATTTTTATCCATAGGATAGCGCTATCCAGCCTTGATGAAACCGGGCCCTGGTCTAACTGACCTTGGTATTTACATGTCCATCAGTATTTTAAGAAAATGAAATAGACCAAACTGAAAAAGGAAATTATTATTATTATTATTATTATTTAAATGGTATTACTGACCTTGGATCAAATCCATACACTGTGCAGCTCTTTGACATATATCTGTCGAAGGACCATTCATTGCCCAATCTGTACGCAAAACATAAATATAAAGCAGATGTTCACTGTCAAGGCATAAAACTATTCCCTTCATTTCTAGTAATTTTAAATTAATAGAACTCTTTGAAATGGAGTGCAAATTGGGCGCAACCTGCCAATTTTGGTCAAAACCTGATCGTTCTTATTTAGATAATGAAGTGCGAGATATGTACTTTTGATAAAGCTAATAATATTGATTTGGCAAATTTGAACCAGATATTTGATAAGAACAAACAAGCAAATAATGTTAATCTCTCTCTCTCTCTCTCTCTCTCTCTCTCTCACACACACTCTCTCTCTCTCTCTCTCTCTCTCTCTCTCTCTCTATATATATATATATATATATATATATATATATATATATGGTTTAGTTTATTCCTACCCAAAAGAATACACAATACATGAGCCAGGTTTGATTGCAAACGGTGGGTCCATACAAACTTCCCAACCTCCATCTTCAGAGATTCCAGCACGAACTCTATTACGGCAGTCGTACTGCTGGCGCATGAGATGGCTGCAATATATAAAAAATTATATAGTGAAAAAAGATGTCTCTCAAAAGATGAAATTCTAAATAAAAAATATTAATAATATTAAATGAATTTAAGGATAAAACACAGTTTAATAAACAAAAATTTCATGAAAAGTTACCTTTGTATTTCCTTGCTTATAGCCCATCATATGAAGCTAACCTACCAAATTCCTATAAATTATTACACTACTGATTTTCCTGTACATAAAAAGCACATTCACCTTTTTCCATTTTTTTTATTATTATCATTATTATTATTATTATTATTATTATTATTATTATTATTATTATTATTATTGCATCTTCTTCCACAACAGTGGTGACACGTTTGTACACAAAAAATTATCAGCTAACTAATCACCGAGACGGGATAAATATGAAATATTCAAATCAATGATAATAAAGCTAAATATATATTTTTTATTATCATTTTGAAAATTGACTATTCTGCCATAAATTCTATCGGAGAGAAATACAAGTAGACTGTAAAAGATACGAGAGGATGCAAGCACCAAACCTGGACGAGATAGTCTCTATTTGGCCAAGTCTCTCTACCCAGTAACTACTTTCACATACTGCTGGTATGACTTCGTAAAACAATGAACTATTACACAAAGATGTTTTTTTTTTTTTTTTTTTTTTTTTTTTTTTTTTTTTTCAAACTATACAAATACAAGAATAGTATTAAAGGGAACTAAGGTTTTGTCTATTGTTCGAAATAAGCATTTAAAATGATCATCTTAAAGTTAAAGACTTACCCATAAAAGCCTTTCTCTAGTCTGTCGTATTCCTTTAATGTCATTTTCAACTCAGGTATAAACTTATCCACATCCCCCTGTAGCGTCGAGGCTACTTCCCCTCCTAGCTCTTCTTTATAAAAGAACGGGTCCCCATACTGTTTGACATCGGTGTCATTTTTATCCATTAACGCCATGGTAATTTCATCCACCAGATTGTATGATGTGACACCCGTGAGACGCTGAGGCTACAAATAAATATAATAAATAAATAAGAAAATAGAAAAAAAACAAGGATAGTTAAGCTTTTTACAAAGTAGCTATCAGGATTCTGTAATTCTGATATTTTCTACAGATATGCTTTTATACCCCAATTTTTTTTTTCTTACAATCGATCTTTTTTTTTTCGATCATTTCTTTTTTTTTCATTATGCTTTAGCAATATGTGGTGTCTTGTTACAGTTATAGTGACTTAAGTGTAAAAACCATTTTATACTTTAAAAACATTGAGCATATACCGTTACTAATGAGAGAGAGAGAGAGAAAGCTTACCAACTGGGAGCCTTGAGATTTGGGGCCTTGAGATTTGGGGGTTGGCGTTTTGGGGCCTTGAGATGCGGGGGTTGGAGATTTGGAGCCTTGAGATGTGGGGGTTGGCGTTTTGGGGCCTTGAGATGCGGGGGTTGGCGTTTTGGAGCCTTGAGATGTGGGGGTTGGAGATTTGGAACCTTGAGATGCGGGGGTTGGAGATTTGGAGCCTTGAAGGGAAGAATCAGAACTGATCAACTGTGGGCCTTGAATCATCCACAACATTAAAAACACAACAACAAGCCCAGCTGAAAGACCAACAACCATCTTTAGGGAAGGTGGACGAAAAGGTAGGCCCTGGAACTTCATTGCGGTACCGCAACTCCTAGCAGTTATCTCAGACTTGTTCTGGTAGCACACAATCTTAATAAATTCACGCAGCTATGGGTGGCTTAGTGGTGGATCCTTGCAAACAGATGCACTAGTAGTTCTAGCGTGCAATATCGTTAACTTTGCCTTCATTAGTTATAGATCTGGTGACATTCTACTGCGGCATCCGCTTTCATTGTGCTGATCACACCGAGGACAACTCCATGTAGCTAAAATGAAGAAATAAAAATCTAATAAATGAATTACTTTGAAAATCGTCCAGTAAATTAAGTTCATAATATTAAGAATAATCATCCTGCTCATAATTTACCGATAGTACGCTGTGCGGTATCTATACACTCCTTGTCACGGGGAGAAGATTGAAGCACTGTAGCCATGTGGTATGTAACTTGGTCGGTTATCAATAATAATAATAATAATAATAATAATATACTACAAGAACAGCGATGAAGAGGCAAGCCGGATGGGAAATCTAAAAAAAAATGGGCTGGAGAAAGAGGGACAGAGTTACGTTAAAAGGCGAAGAACCAGGATAGCTGTTAATTCTCGGGTGCTTCCACGACCTAATTGCCTACGGACGTAGTGGTGAGTGGTTCTGGGTCCACTCTTCTTGACATATGCAACTGTATGTTACGCCACGGAACTTAACTTACTCAGCCTCCCTACCTTAAAAAACTTGGTTACCAACGTTACATGACCCTAGGAACAGTGTTACTCTCATGGAAATCCTGGTCAACTAAGCCAGGGCACTGACCCTTTTTTTCCTTGTGAAACTGGACCAGACAAGCTTGTGAAACTGGGCCAGACAAGCTCCCCAGTTCTCTCTGTCATAATGCAACCACGACTTTGTTATAATGTCTGACATTGGAGAAACACCGCCATTTTATTTTAGGGGAAAATACCAAGATAACCGAAACTGAATTAATCGCACACAAACCAAAATTTAAGTCCAGAAAATGTCTTGTACCAGTAGGATTTTATATTTAATAAAAAATTTTATGGGCTCTGTTTACCATGGCATATATGCTGTTCCACCAAGACATTTTGAATAATTCTCATTAACCTTGCAGACTTTCTACATAGTGGGCAAAATTTTCACTAGTAGGCACATTATGTTTAAAAAATGTCAAAATCAGTACACATACTGCAACAGGTGCGTGGCATAAGCATATCAGAAGAACGATACCTGCGTATATAGGCCTAATGGGCGCACGCCTTATGATATAGTTATTTCCGTTTGCAGAGTCGATAAATTGATTTCCCAACAGAGACTGCGTGAAGCACCAAGTTATATAGATCATATAATATACACCTATAGTATTTTGAATGACACACATTCGATTCCCACTCAGTCCTTTTTTTTTCTTTTATTTATTGTTTTAATTGTTATAATTGTTTAAGTCACAAAATATTTTACTCGGGACAAGTTTGGAAATAAGACTTTCACGCAGAATATAGTATATAAAGAGATTCTATAAATCATGTATACTAATCTCTTATCACGTTTCAATCTATTACCATGTGACGGGTATCAGCTAGAAAGCTGTATAAAGAAGTCTTCATCGTCACAACAACTAGTACCAGTACCTAGTGTATACGCCCTGAAATACCAACTTAACTCAGGTGACACCTTATAGCTGGTGGCCTAGTTCTTTATTTAAATAATTGAACGAGTGTCTTTCAAACAACTTGGCTTACGGTTGACCTCACGCATTGTTATTCGTTACAAAGGTTTGACTAACAATAAGCGCGTCCATGTTGAGAACAACATTCGTTATAATCAAGACATATATAGCACACAGAGATTGTCTGGTTTCAGTGCGTTTAACATGGAAATGGCTTGATCACGAAAATAACAATGCGAACCACATACGTGTACACATTCAATCTACTCGATAAATTTACACCTGACCCTATAGAATATAAACAGACCAGAAGACAGCAAATTCAAAAGGGGAGTCTGTTTCTGAAAAAAGTAGACCTTTTATCATGAAACCTTCCAGTATCAGGATAAAATTTTACCCAGAGGGGACCTTTTCCCAGCAAAAAAGGCTATTTTTCGAACCCCCAAACCCCCACCCCCCGGCTACGGGCCTGATTAAGCAACCCAGATGCACATATATTTTTTCTGTACCAAGTACCAGTAGGCTTACATGTACATACAACCCTTAACTATCCAAAATCATATAAATTTAAGCTACTCGATCAACTCACCAGCGTATTCATGCATAGAAAGAACACCTTTGAGCAGCTTGCATGTATGTGCCACCAAACACTACAGGAGCTCTATAGGTATATGAACGTGTTTGTTTTACCTGTCCTCCCGGTCGATGAAACGATCATATCACGTGATATGAAAAAATATGAAGAAAATAGACACGAGCTCACGAGGTGAATGTTAAGGTTGTCCGACTGAAAAGGCCTCTTACCAACATGAGCAAAATTGAAACATATATATCCGAAACTTAAATTCTTACGTATTTAGGTCACGATCTAAAGCAAAATTGGCCTTTGGGGTGGACGACAATTAAAAAAATGAATTGTTACAAAAATGAGTCTATATTGGAGAACGTCCTCTCCCCAAAATAGAGAAGACGTTAACCGCAGGTGTTCTCACGGTGTTAGCCAGACAGAGTGTGCTGCCTAAATTAGCACTCGTACAAGGAGAAATAAATATGGCGGAGGAGTTCCAAGTAAGTCGTTTACAAATGCACGTTAGTTACAACACTCTCCTTTCATTGTCCGTTGACATGTTTGTGCCTTTTAGCATTGAAAGAATTTATTTAACTGACAATGGTGCATGGAACTTCTAGGTCCAGTGGTACACGACTTGGAAGAGGTGGGAGATCAGGAGGACTGGTCCAAGATCATGAAGAGAGAATCCAGTAGTTGAGAAGAGAACTTGAGGTATAAAAAATCATTAAAACTTATATTGAACAGACAAATTGTAATTAAGCTTCTCGCTGTACATGGAGGTTTTGTCAGGTGATTATGAGCATGGTGGTCTTAAGATGCTAAATATGTCTGACTTAATAACATCTCTCAAATGTACCTGATTAAGAAGAATCTATTTTAGAAGTAACATATATGCTCCACTTCTTCAAGCTAAATATGGTTTTGATGTATTTAAGTACATGTGCGATTTCGGAAACGCTTACTTACCTAAACTTATTAATTGTTGCAGTAATTACTTTTGGAAAGATGTCATCATCTCTTGGAAAAACGTAACCACATGCCTTTATGATAAAAAGAGCATAATCACACTGGAGCCTATATGGTACAACGATAATTTAGTGTTGGGTGTAATCCTGTGTTTATAAAGCACTGGTATACCAAAGGTGTAAAAATTGTTGGAATTCTTATTTATTTTTTTTTTATTTTTTTTATTTATTTATTTATTTTTTTTTTTATTTTTTTTTTTTTTTTGACGAAGACAGGATTTTTTTCGAAGGAGAAATTCGAAAATAAATTAACATTACAAAGCTGCAGTGAACTCAGATTCTACGGTTATTTCCGTTTGCAGAGTCGATAAATTGATTTCCCAACAGAGACTGCGTGAAGCACCAAGTTATATAATTCATATAATATACACCTATAGTATTTTGAATGACACACATTCGATTCCCACTCAGTCCTTTTTTTTCTTTTATTTATTGTTTTAATTGTTATAATTGTTTAAGTCACAAAATATTTTACTCGGGACAAGTTTGGAAATAAGACTTTCACGCAGAATATAGTATATAAAGAGATTCTATAAATCATGTATACTAATCTCTTATCACGTTTCAATCTATTACCATGTGACGGGTATCAGCTAGAAAGCTGTATAAAGAAGTCTTCATCGTCACAACAACTAGTACCAGTACCTAGTGTATACGCCCTGAAATACCAACTTAACTCAGGTGACACCTTATTGCTGGTGGCCTAGTTCTTTATTTAAATAATTGAACGAGTGTCTTTCAAACAACTTGGCTTACGGTTGACCTCACGCATTGTTATTCGTAACAAAGGTTTGACTAACAATAAGCGCGTCCATGTTGAGAACAACATTCGTTATAATCAAGACATATATAGCACACAGAGATTGTCTGGTTTCAGTGCGTTTAACATGGAAATGGCTTGATCACGAAAATAACAATGCTAACCACATACGTGTACACATTCAATCTACTCGATAAATTTACACCTGACCCTGTAGAATATAAACAGACCAGAAGACAGCAAATTCAAAAGGGGAGTCTGTTTCTGAAAAAAGTAGACCTTTTACCATGAAACCTTCCAGTATCAGGATAAAATTTTACCCAGAGGGGACCTTTTCCCAGCAAAAAAGGCTATTTTTCGAACCCCCAAACCCCCACCCCCCGGCTACGGGCCTGATTAAGCAACCCAGATGCACATATATTTTTTCTGTACCAAGTACCAGTAGGCTTACATGTACATACAACCCTTAACTATCCAAAATCATATAAATTTAAGCTACTCGATCAACTCACCAGCGTATTCATGCATAGAAAGAACACCTTTGAGCAGCTTGCATGTATGTGCCACCAAACACTACAGGAGCTCTATAGGTATATGAACGTGTTTGTTTTACCTGTCCTCCCGGTCGATGAAACGATCATATCACGTGATATGAAAAAATATGAAGAAAATAGACACGAGCTCACGAGGTGAATGTTAAGGTTGTCCGACTGAAAAGGCCTCTTACCAACATGAGCAAAATTGAAACATATATATCCGAAACTTAAATTCTTACGTATTTAGGTCACGATCTAAAGCAAAATTGGCCTTTGGGGTGGACGACAATTAAAAAAATGAATTGTTACAAAAATGAGTCTATATTGGAGAACGTCCTCTCCCCAAAATAGAGAAGACGTTAACCGCAGGTGTTCTCACGGTATTAGCCGGACAGAGTGTGCTGCCTAAATTAGCACTCGTACAAGGAGAAATAAATATGGCGGAGGAGTTCCAAGTAAGTCGTTTACAAATGCACGTTAGTTACAACACTCTCCTTTCATTGTCCGTTGACATGTTTGTGCCTTTTAGCATTGAAAGAATTTATTTAACTGACAATGGTGCATGGAACTTCTAGGTCCAGTGGTACACGACTTGGAAGAGGTGGGAGATCAGGAGGACTGGTCCAAGATCATGAAGAGAGAATCCAGTAGTTGAGAAGAGAACTTGAGGTATAAAAAATCATTAAAACTTATATTGAACAGACAAATTGTAATTAAGCTTCTCGCTGTACATGGAGGTTTTGTCAGGTGATTATGAGCATGGTGGTCTTAAGATGCTAAATATGTCTGACATCTCTCAAATGTACCTGATTAAGAAGAATCTATTTTAGAAGTAACATATATGCTCCACTTCTTCAAGCTAAATATGGTTTTGATGTATTTAAGTACATGTGCGATTTCGGAAACGCTTACTTACCTAAACTTATTAATTGTTGCAGTAATTACTTTTGGAAAGATGTCATCATCTCTTGGAAAAACGTAACCACATGCCTTTATGATAAAAAGAGCATAATCACACTGGAGCCTATATGGTACAACGATAATTTAGTGTTGGGTGTAATCCTGTGTTTATAAAGCACTGGTATACCAAAGGTGTAAAAATTGTTGGATTTATTATTTTTATTTTTTTTTATTTTTTTATTTATTTATTTATTTATTTGTTTTTTTTTTTTTTTGACGAAGACAGGATTTTATCGAAGGAGAAATTCGAAAATAAATTAACATTACAAAGCTGCAGTGAACTCAGATTCTACGGTATACGAAACTGTATCAGGCACAAAACACAAACTGATGTTACTGAGAATACCCCCTGTCCATTTACCCCACAATCTGTAGAACTACTCCTTGAAAGCAGAAAGGGCAGCAAAGACGTTTACCAAACTCTCTTTAAACCGGCTAAGAATAGAAAAATTGAAAAAAGGTGGAACTTGAAATTAAACACTGATACAAAGTATGAAATTGTAAATAGTAACTGTTTTAGGTCTACAAATGAAACCAAACTCCAATGATTTCAGTATCGGACAATACACAGAATCTTGCCGGTAAAATCATACTTGAAAACTATTGGTGTGGAAGAGGACGATGACTGCCCATATTGTGGTGAAGATAAGGAGAATATTTCACATATTTTGTTTCATTGTGCAAGAAGTAAAGACATCTGGTGGGACTTAAAAAAATCATATCTTTACCAGAACGGATAATGAGGTCATTCTTTAAGGAGAAAATACCCTTTTTGGTTTTCCTTCTAACTTTGTTAGTCCAATAAACTTTATTATAATAGCTACTAAATTTTATATTAACCGGTGCACAAAAAGAAAGAGAATATGCAGCTTTCATCGCTTCTCAATTTTTTGAAAGAAAAATATACCACAGGGAGATACATCTCATCAAAAAAACTATGGGGTATTTGGAGCAACATTATTCAATGACCAAATTATGAAAATTGTGGTGTTCATACATTTTCAAATATTTTATTTTGGCAGTAAGCTATTGCACATATCAATGCAGAAATGACAGACATAAAAGCGAACATTTTTTTTCATTACCAGAGCATGCATGCTGGTGTTGCCAGACAGTGCTGGATACATTGTGACCAGTGTGACAAAAATCCTGCCCTTGCACCGGATATGAAGATGCTTCTGCTAGTAATTTTTTTTTCCGGGCAGTGACCCAGCACCAGTGGAGATGGCCCATTCCCATTTCCCACTCACTGTTATGTCCCTTTCATTTCGGCTGCTGGTGTTTTTGTTTGATCATTTATCTCTGAAGAAAATCAAAGAAAAACTACATGTATTACCCTTTTTGTACCGTGAGTATCTGTTTACAGACTAAACATTATTTTCATAGTTTATTTTATATGACTTTCAAATTCCTTGTGGATATTCACTTTTCAATATTAAAATCTAGTAGGAAAAAAACAGTTGTTTATTACTTGTAATTTAGAACATACATAATTGTTTTAAAGGTATCTTTCAAGACTGATTAAATGTGTTGAATATTTGTGCTGTAACATGCATTCCAATAAAGATCTAATCGGTTTAACATTCTTTCATTCTTCTTCCCACAAAGCTTGAGGTCATAAGACCTCTTTCATGCAAGTCGTTGTGTAAAAGGATTCTTTTCATTCTACTGTAATCTGTGCAACAATTTGGCAAATGTAGTAAATAAAGGTATGGAAAAATAAGGTGCTTTCATTTATCAGTACCTCATACCAAAAGAAAAATATAACACTTTATATATTCTGGTCATATTTCCAACTAAAATCAATAATTTTAAACGGAAACAATTAATGTATGTCTGGATGGATTTATCAAAATTTTGGGGTTCAGGAGAAAATAGGCAAAGTTTCAGAATAAATCTATTTTATGCTATATAAGCGTCTATATCGGTAAGAGTCCCATTAAAAGTGTTTGCCTGGTCTTTATGGCTCTGTTTGATCAAGTTACGACCTCACCCCTTTAAGGTATACATACAGCCTATTCATTTAAGCAGTCGCATTTCTGGCCTCACGGAATTGTCATCTGTCGCTGTCGTTATATCTTTTGCAGGTACACACAATGGACAATAGAAGTGTCACCCCTACTGAACCAATACTATGGGGGAGATAAATGACTGTGGGATGATATGCTCCTGGTATCATTTTGTTAACATCAAATTTCACAAAAAGACCAACAATACAATTACATGGTACAGCGGTTTTATACTCATTAGTCACATTATAAGTAGACCAGGCATTATAACTTTGATTACTCTGATTCAGGGGGTGACACTTCTATTCTCCAGTGTGTGTAGTATACACAACTCTGTTGTAATCTTTCATGTTATTTATTAGCTACTTTCCAGTTGGTTCCCGCGCCGCTTTCTTACCATTTCTATCTCTACCTATCTCTGCAATTTCCAGCGGCCTTCTTTCGTTTACATTACACACAGTTGTGTAAGTATCATAAGAGCATGTCAAACAACTCAGTTACTCTACAAAACACTCCCCACTCCTTATTCAATCATGGCTGTCAATTACTAACATTACGCATCGTTCAGTCTTTTCTCTTCTCTCTGCTTCACCCCTCTATATTCAGCTAGTTTAGCGAGGGGACAGTGCAAACCATTAATTGTTATATTAGTGTTTGGTACGATCCGGAGTGACAGGAATGGTAGTCCTCGGAATGGAAGTCCGGGGTCCTATATATATAATAAGTACAGGTTAGGGATAGTCAGAGTATTGGGGTTAGTATATGGTACGAATATCACCTTTAAAATGTTATGGGGAACGGACTACGGTTCCCTAGCTGAATACCATTCCTGACACACGGGCCGTGGGTACGAACCCATAACATCCTGCTCCGGAGGCGACAACTCAACCAGGACTAGAGCAAATAACGCCATCCCCTTGCGGCCGTATTTAAAGATTTTTGTTTACATTTTTGTTTACATAAGAGTAAAGTACACACAATGAAATTTGTTCATATAGGTAGATATAAGCCAAGCCCCGTTGGGTGTTTTTAAACGTCAAAACAATAAAAACCACCTGCGAAATTACACTGCTCCTTTTCGAGTGCGAGCTACTTTGCCAATCGATTGCGTTAGTTTAGCCGCCGCAATGTACAACATAGACTAACAGTAGCAACACAAATGATATTACGCGAATGCAGCAGCTGGTTTATCAATTGTGACTAATTCAGTACAATATAAGATGAAAAACGAGATTAACAGAAAAGGCGACGACCTATTATGTTTTTGGTGATTTGTAAAAACAGACTTTACGACCAAGATAGGCATACTAGGGATGAAATGTAGGTAAAACTATGACGGAATTTGAACATTTCAAGAATAGACATGGTCTTAATTTGAGCTCTTATTTTTTTAATTGATATGATTACTTATTGATCTAAATATGAAACAGATTTATGAAATATTCGTCAAAGTGCATGGGTACAAGAAGGCCCAATATGCACACACGTAACTCCTACAATAATGCCATATGAATGCATATGTGTGAGCTCAACACACGCGCATGTGCTCGCACACACAAACACACACACACACACACACACACACACACACTATCTAATGTAAGAATGACGTTTGCATTTTTGTTAACTACGACTCCGCAGCTCGAAAGAAATTAAATATTTACTCTCATGCCACAAATTTATTTCTACTAAAGAAAAGAAGCTTTTATTTATGTGCATTTATTTGTTCTCTGTTCACGAGGAGTTTCTTAACGAACCTAAAATGGTCGGTAAATAGTGCAATTTATCCAAAGGATTACGTCGTCAAAATAAAACAAGCATTGTGCGTGTTTTTATCAAAGGTACTTGAAAGTATTCACTGACCCAGACGGCTTGAAGAGTTCCCTCAAATATTAAAATAGCTTTAAACCAGCAAATAAAGTTAGTTCGGCTTTCAGTAGGAACCTTTTTATTGTCTTCGGACATAGTGTAACACTATTTCTGTACCACTTGAAATTCTGTATTGGTTTTTAAAAGTTCCAGGTGCGGTGCACTTTTTATATTGTGACAAACTTCTGGTAATTTTTTAACCGAATTTTAGATGTTTTCAGTAGGCCTTTTTTATATGTTTTACACTCCTGCGTAGGTTGTAATTGGTTATATGCCATGATTATTCTGGATTTCGTTTCCATTAGTATTTGATACATGTAAATTAATTCCTTACGTCGGTAGAATTTATTAAAAACACGAAAGCTGTATTTTGTTTACATAATTTGTCTTCCTCTTCAGCTTAGAAAAAAACTAGACATATACATACGTGCGTACACACACAAACACACACACACTCACACACAAACACACACACACACACACACATTCACACACAATCTTACACACACACACATCTATTTCTTCTTCATTATGACCATCTCATACCAACGTACATATAAAACTCGTCTACAACATAAAAACTTCATATTTACATCATTAATCTATAATAAAGACAAAATCCACGAAGTAAACCAATAAAAAAATCACGTGCTTTGACTTTCAGTCTCAAATGGTCAGGGGGTGTAATGGATTCCCTGTATGGCTGACCGGTGACTGATGCAGGTGACGGTCAAGATACCCCCCAGGCTATGCCATGTTTGACCATCAGCGGTTAAGTGGTCTGGCGTCCACGGTATTGAAGTGGTAACAATGATTTGTTAAAGCAGTTTCCAGTATTTTATTACCCTTTACCAGGACCATAGATTGATTTTTCACAAGATATTTACATATAATATGTCTTAAGATAAGTAGACGGTCATTTTACTATCTCTGGCTTTTGGTCATCTTCCTATATTATTTGCCACCCTTGGAGAGGGTAGTATTTTATACGGATCCAGAATTTTGAGTATTTTTATTAGCGAGGACGATGATACTGTAACACGTAGATTGCAGAAATGGGCATGCTGACTTTTTTTTTTTTTTTTTTTTTTTTGAGGGGAGGTTACTTCCCAAGCTAAATGGGGATCACATTAAATAGTTTATTTATAAATGTTTGGTTTAAAGAAGGCAAAAACATCGGTGATTTCATATTTGGCTGCCCTACGGTGTATAATGGCGCTTTCTCAATAAATAACCTCAAGTATGCAATTGATTATTTGATATCTTTGGAAAGTACTGGGTACACGTATGTTTATGATTGAATTGTTGATAAATCGGAATTAAATAAATCAGAATGTGGTGAAAAGCTTCAGATTATTATAGATACTAGCAAAAAAAGCATCGAAAATGGTAAAACTGGATTGTTGTTAATATATTGCATATCAAAGTAATATTTGATGAATACATAACGGACGAAAACGAAAATCGTCGCTTTACCTATCAGATTTGCACATGATTTAGAAGAAGAACGTTTTTAAAAAGTTTTTTAAAAAAATATTTAGTTTACAGATTTTGGGAGGGGTGGGCATTATGGAACTATGTAAAGTAGAACTGTCTAATTGATATCCCAGTCAAGTAAAAAAAAAAAACTGAGCTCATATAACCCCGAGCAGTGAGAAAATAGGACGCGACATGTGTACCCATGATAAACAGAAACGCCGGGGGTCGTTTGCTGTGTTAACAAAACCCACGCACGCGAGCACTTCGATCCTTAGCTACCGGTGCCTCAAGGTAGATCGTTTACGCAACAGGGTATTGTATAATGGGTATTGTAGAGTGAAGGCTACCGATTTCATACGGTTACTAAAAAGAACCAGATTCCTTGTTAAATCGTGTCATCCTTGTACCCCCTTCCCCTCCCAGTATTCATGAACTTTGGTCAACCAGTTGGCACTGACACGGGTCTACCTGACGATCTGACCCTGTTAGAGTTTGTAAGGGGGCAGGTAACCCTCCCCCCTCCCATCCTGTGTACCGCGCGCACACACACACACACACACACACCCACACACACACACACACACCCACACACACACACACACCACCACACACACACACACACACACGGGAATCCAACAGCACGCTGCAGAACACTGATGGTGTTCGACAATTAGCAAAGTCAAAATAAAAATGTCAAATATTGTGAGAGAAAAACACGCGT